TTGATGTTCTTAACGCCAAGGCTGCAGCACTCTTCCATAATTTTGATGTTCCTAATGCCAAGGCTGCAGAAATAACCTCACCGCTAAACGCAGGTACCTTTTAACGCTAAACTCAGCAAGGAAGGAGACACTTATAAGGGTCTATTCGGGCTCACAAGGGATAGTCTGCTAATTAGCATGTATTCTTAACAAATATAAATATATATTAAAAATAATAATATAAATATATTTTTTAATATATAAATTATACTTTCTTTTATATTTTTTTAAATTTATCTTTATATATTATTAGTACATAGATCTACGCTCTCTACCCCTGTAGCTATCAATCAACTTGCTTTTCTACGCACTCTGCATAGCAGGTTGACAGAATTTAATGCGAGGATCCTCCAGGTCTTTGGGGTTTAATTGATGGATTGGCCTTGCCCAAGCAAGTTCGATGGGATGCAGCCTACGCCGTAGCTCATTGAAGCTGACCTATGCTAGTGCTGTCTTTATTCTTGACTGAAGCCCACTAGAATCGCCATCATTTGGCTGGTGATTTGGAAGACCAGTGGCCCTACACGAATTTTTGGGATACCGATGGTTTCCACCATTGTTTGGGTTGATTGTGATTAGAGAATGATGAGGCCTATCTGCCTCTCGAACGCCTTTTTCCATGGGAAGTGGCTCTCTCAATTAGTGATCCCTACTACGAGCAATACCGCTCGTGACGACCATGTATACCGACTGCACCCCATCTAGTTCCTCAAGATCAGAATAATGTAAGCGTTGGGAGCCACGCGCTCAAGGTCCATAGAATATCGGTTCGTTAAAAGGCTTCTTACGGAGCGACTCCAGCTCATCAGAAAGGGTGATAACACACCCAAGCCTCGCGAGCGCAACCGCAATTTTATGTGTCTCGTAGGACGAAGTTCTGAGGAAATTATTGGTAAATGTCAAAAGTGGCTGCCGCATTTCCGGTCCGAGAGGCACGTCCAGATGTAGTGTGATAGCGTTGATGCGCTTCAGGTCTGCAAGATTCTGGCTGAATCGCGTCGTGAACCAATCAATTGCAGCCTGTCCTCCCATCGCTACCATAATACTGAAAGCGTTGGCAGCGACCAGCATGCTAAATGCAGAAGGGTACCACATTATGACGCCCTCACCAATAGAGCGAGGACATTGGAGAAATCGGGGTTCAGGTTGACAATCTTCGGGTTGACATTCTTTGACTCAGCGATGGGTGACTTCTTTCAGAATGGCGACAGTAATATCCTGTTTCTCCCATTGGTCTAGATAAACCTCCAAGACATTGTGCAATTTGACAAAATTTCGTACTTCGGCCGGGGTATTGAGGTCAGAACAAAATTCATGTAAAACGACGAGTGATCTCAAAGAGGACCCTCACTCAACGCGGATTGGATTTTTAATCCTCGTTACTGTTGGCGTATTTCTTCTGCAAGAATGAAATGAAGCCTGATTTGTCGAACTCTTTTTGTAAAACTCCTTCGCCTCCTTCTCCACTTTTAGCGTCTTTTGAAGCTCCTTAAGCAGTATTTCGCTGTTGATGGATAATCCGTTGATAGCGTCGAGCATCCTGAGCGTGGTATTGTGATTTGTATCCCATAAGGATTTTTGTAGATGATGTCGTGTCCAACCTGAGTCCCATGCATTCATGACGACTGTGGCGGTTTGAATCTCTAGCTTTTGACAATCTGGGTGCACAAAATCGGCCGAACGAACAGCCGGACACGAGGAAGTCTTCGATCTTGACTCTTCGCCGTCCACTCCCGGTGTTGGGTCTGATGAGATTTGCCTTTTGTCACCTGTTTTGAATAATGAGCTTGTGGGAAATGCTAGATTCAGGAAAACTCACCAGCTTCACCCACTATCGCCGGACCGGCCCCCTTTTCTCTCTCCACTTCTTGTTGATCTGCGATAGCGTTCTCCATCGTACTTCGCGTCCTGACTCTTACGTAAAGATGCACTGCTTGATACCTGGAGTTCTTCCAGCGTTGGATGATATCATTTGCTGAGCTCAAGCGTTCCTCACAGGGCCCATCCGTGTAGTTGGGAGATACGCCCTTCTTATGTTGGGCTATATCCCTCGCTCTTTGATCAAAACGGGTCCGAGAGAAACTGACAACTGCTTCCGGGATTTCAAATATCTCGGAGCTCTTGATGGCCTCTACAGCTCGGGGAATATCGTCAGGAAAATAGACCAAGATGCGGATTGCGGCAAGATCTCCTATTCGTTAATGGAGCTTAGCCGTTGATTCTTCGTAGCTTGGTCTCGTCGCTGGACCTGGTTTCTGCTTTCTGACCTTGTTCTTCAGGCTGAAAAGGTCTTTGGTTCGACTGGACACTGGTTGATGAAGAATGTGTGTGTCTTTGAGTATTCATTCGCAATCCTCTTTCACTTTTTCTGTCAGCTTCTCGAATACCTGTTGATGCGTGCCGTAGTCTTTGACAACGTCCTTCTGAACTTTATGCCAATTCTCACAAGCATCATTCGGTTGGGCATCAAGATCATCTCCTGTCGAGAGATGACGATTCAATACCTCGATCAGTTTCTCGTCGTTCCTTTTCGTGTCTTGACATCCTGGCGGAAGGCTATTACCTTGTCACACCATTGACCTTCGCTAGTTGTTGACTTTGTGATTGATTCCGGAATGTCTGACGGGCAATCCGGATCAGCCATTGATCGTGCAAGTGACTCGGCTTTCTAGCAAGCCGCGGCAGAGGGTTCCAAGTTTGTGCGGTCGCTCGAGATCCTGAGCAACAGGTCGGTGGTAGAGAATATGAGAGCAAAGACTATTGAGAAAGGTGTGAACAGCAAGCAAGCAAGCTTTCGAAGCACAAGTAGACCAACACTAAGAATAAATTCATCTGTTCACCGCCGTGGAAGGCCTGCATCTAGAGGCCGGAGATACATTTGTTGCAGTTTAAGACACAGTCCGTGCAAACCCCTGTCAAACTAACAAGCTGACCTGTTGAACAACAGAGAGAACCAGGAGTGCTTTGGGCCAGGCTGTGACTGGATACGTAGCCATACAGGACAATCATGTGGGTTGTAGATCACCTCGACCGCGGCCCCCACCTGCCCATTTTTGCCAATGCCAAGACGTACTTCTGCCCCATTCAAAGCGTCCTCCCCGGCAGGCTACAGCCTAGTACTTCAGCATGAAGGAATTTTTACCAACGTGCAAGTTCAGCTATACAAGAAAATGCTTCTTACTAGGCCGATCAATGAGAGAAACTGAAGTGTTGACCTGAGGTGAAATCTGTTCTTCGGGCGCGGTTCTAGAGGCAAGAATGGCCCGAAGTTCAACTTTTGACTTCACGTTTTTATCGTCAGCCTCCAATTTTACGGCGAACCACCAAATTACGTGACCCCTCATTCTGATACAGCAGGGATGCGCATTGTGACAGGTGCTCTTGTGTTTGACGTTGAAGATCCGAATACGCCCCGCATCCTTCTCCTCCAACGATCTGCCAATGACAGCATGCATAATCAATGGGAATTTCCGGGCGGCGGCTGTGACGACGAGGACGAAAGCATTCTTCACGCTGTGGCGCGCGAGCTCTGGGAAGAGTCCGGTCTTCAGGCAAACCATATCAGTGGGCCTGTCGGGGATCCGCACTTCTTCACCAGTCGATCTGGGGCGAAAATATGGAAATTTAGTTTTGCGGTGCAGGCCAAAACACCTCCTGAGGGGCGGTTAATGGCAAGGCTGGACCCCACCAAGCACCAGCGATTCGTATGGGCCAGCCTTGCAGAGGTGATGGCGAAGAAGGTGGCGAATATCGAATTGGATTTTACAACACTGGAGCTTGTGGCTACCATACTTCAAGCTTTCGATCACCTTGAACACAAGTGAGAGCAAGGGCCAGGAACAACGGCCAATGGCCAGAATACTACCAATCACAAAGTCCAACAGTCCACATATCCTCATCTTTCTCATTCAGCCAATCGAACTGCTTTCGGGGTAAGGTAAGCCATGCCATCGCCCAGATTCTCCGGATCACACAAGCTCAAAGACCTTCTCTACCAGCTCGTCCTTAGCCATCATGGTCATGGCCTCTCCCTTCATCAACCCGTGGGCATAGCATTCGCCGACAAGCATATGACGGGACCCCATGCGTCGCAGGCAGAAAGGCACTTTGCCACCAAAGAGAACGCACACAACATCGCCCCTCTCCATCGCTGCCGGACCTAGGACATACAGACCTTTCTTCGTTCTTGCAAACCTTCTGCCCTTTGATGCTGCATTAACTGAGCGACTCCACTCCTCTTTCCCGCCCTTGCGGTCTGCCTTCTCGCCCAGCTCAAGAAGGCCGGGAGCAATGGCGCCTGATGCTCTTATGGACCTGGAGAGGTACAACGCTGCCTGTTCCAACCATCTGAATCCGTTAATATCATGATACTGGGAACCCTCTCGCCAGATATTTGGACGCAGCCATTGCTAAGGGTTTGAGAAAAGGCGAAAAAAGCTGTGTGGCCGTTAGGATATTTATCTTCGAGGTTGAAATCCTTCTTCTGGCATATTTTCCGCCAGAGGTACTCAACAGATGACTCAGTACCCCGGTGCTCTCTTGTATCATGAAATTCACGGTCTCTTAACACCCTAGAGCAATCTTCTAAAGTATCAACTTGCACGCCATGAATCCGCAGGATTAATTTGTCATCATCAATTTCCATTTTCGGCCTTGAAGTTCCATGAGCCTTATGTGGGCTGATTGGCTCGGCGAGGATAAAGCCTTTGTAAATCGTCCAGTCAGCTACCCAAGACGGTAATTTGCTCTGGATCGATAGGCTTCTCTCAGGGCCTGTATTATTCTCAGTCGCACGGTGGGAAGGCAAAGAACCGTGCTGTACGACTGCCAAAGCTATCAAAGCCGAGTCACCTTGACCGCCTCTCAATGCGCGCTTAGCAAAGTCAATATAAACCTGCGGCAGACTTTTGTTATAGTCCGCCTCAAACACAGCCAGCTCTCTGTTTGGATGATACTTTGAACGAAGTGAGTAATGGCCGAGGAAAGCGAAGATGTGGTCGCGGGGATCTGTTGGCTGGAGCTCACGAGCACGGTGGAGCTCGTACAAGAAGTTAAAACGGTTTGCGTGATAACTTTTTTCATTCGCCTCGACGAAGCGCTGAAAGAGATATTTGATATTTGAGGTGCGGATGTTGAACTTCATACGAAAATGCCAATAGTCCTTGAGTTTATCGCAAAATCTGTGCACAACTCCCCAGTCAATCTTCGTGTTTCCCCAGAACATTGTCGCCGGTGCACCCATTCCAACCTCTTGAACGACCCAACAGCGTTTGAACCAGAAATCTGTCAGAAAAGATTGAGATCATTGCTCTTCAGAGGTCACTCACCAGGGAGCGCTTAGTCAAGCCATCTAGAGGCCTCCATTCCCTGCTCGACTGCACGTCAAGATCCTGGGTATATTGATGGCGGAACTTCTTCTCCTCGGCCTCATCACAAAGCTTCCCGTCGACCTGGTAGATCAGCCCGAACGCAGACTCGGCTTCATCCTCGTCATCCAGACCAAGCCAGATGAGCACCCGACTGGCATTCGCATTGATTCTGTTCATAAACTGCACCTGCTGATTCCGTTCCCCCAGATCATCTTGATTGATACAGATCTGGTCCGCCCAGAGGCGTCGCTGTGTATCCTGCGAACGGAAGCGCCGCAGCGCTGCAAACAGGTTTCCGCCTCGTAGCTGTAGACATCGCTCCTGGTCGCCGTCGCTCAGGAAAATCTCGTATCTGCAGTTCGGTGGGCCGGGCTCAGCCCAGGCGTACGAGATCGGCTCGTAGACTCCTGCGGAGTCGATACGGACGACTTCTAGTGTGCCTCGCAACGGGTCGTTGGGCCGTCCTGGTGACAGAGTCAGTATTCGGATCGAGTCGTGGCTCTCGAGCGGTCGATATTGGAATTGTGGCGCTGTTGCTTCAATGTGGTCATGAAGTGGAGCCGCCAGCCGGCTTTCGGTGTCGCTCTCGGGTGCGGGATCGCCCACGGTGCGGTCCGAAGGTCCATAGGGGCATCTAACCCGTAATTCCTTTGGTAGGTAGTTTAATTGGTATTGACCACGAAGACGACCAGCTAGAGGGATAGTTACTTGTGGAGAAAACATGAAAACACAATCAAGCGTTCTCAGCAGAGATCGGAAAACCAATTGCTCTTCCCAATCCTGACTCCCACACCCCAAAAACCTCTTCTCGCAGCCTCGTCGGTAGGCAGGAATAGTCTACCCGCTCTCCCCCCACATGCGGCTGACAACCGGGCAGCTTTTTCTGTCAGCCGAGTGCCCTATCAACCACCGAACGGGCTAATGGTGACGGGGCGTTCCTAGCTTGACACGCCTGAAATCTTGGGTGCACTCCTGGAACATTCAACCCATTCAGGAATCAATCCCGGCCTCCGTACTCTTGGTTGTCTTTTCAGTGTCCGCATATAAATGATAAAGTAGGAGTAGGAATACCCGTTGCCTTGACATTCCTTCTGACATCATCTATGCCGGACTGTTGTGGACACATTGGGGTCCATGCCATTTCTCAAGGCGGAGATTATGACGGGAATGCACTGCGGGCGGCATCAGGGAAAATTTGCGGAGCACGGTGCAGGTTTTGCTGAAGTGACAGATCCAGAAGCCGGGAAATTGATGCTGACTACGGAAGCTCCCTGGCTTAGTCGGAGCCTGTCCCTTCATCTTCACTTGAACTCTAAAGCGAGCAAACACAACAACGTGATTGATTGGGGATCTGTCCAATGGATGTAGAATGTAGTATACTGAACCTTTGAGGGAGTAGCCCTTTTCTGAACCAGTCTGAGCTAGTATCAACGCTCGTCCCATCGAGCGCGGCCACGCCGGGACATGTATGAAGGTGAATCTTGGGGTGCTCGATAAATAGGTGAGGGTTGATGTGGTGGTGTCAATCGATATATGAGGGTGGGGGGGGGGAAGGAGAAGGCGGAATGGAGTGTGTTGGATAAGACTAGAACGGCAATTCTCGACGAGTCGCTGCGGTTCGGCTGGAGAGGAGGCATTGCTCGGTTTTTTCAACATCCCGCAGCGCAGTTCCGATTCAAGACTTCGTAAGACTCTCTCACGAAATCGTCGACGACGAAAGCTCTGAAGCATGCAGACCACTTATCCGGCCATGACGCCTCCGAGGATAATCTACACTACTCTCCGGCGTGTCGACGGGCACATTAAGATGAGACGCGGGACAGAGAGTCGAGGCAGTGCTGTTTCAAGAGGAGGTCCGAGTCGGCATGCTCCAGGCATCCTCTGCATTCCGGAGAAGCTTCATCATCACCTCATGCAGAGAAGGCGGGTCAATGTTGTCCCAACTGCATACCTAGAGTAAGCACCAACTTTCTCCAGCATCAGCAAAGTCCATCTCGAACCCACCAGAGGCGGGCTAGGTGCGTATGTATTGTAATCCAGGGATTCCGTAGCAGGTCTCTCGGCATGTCTGGGTAGGGGTTAGTACGAGGGCTCGGGTCGGTTGATGTAAGACAGGCGAGGAGGGACAATGGGGTGGCTGGGAACGGGAAATGAGGCGGAGGAGCTGGGGTTGCGAAGCCGAGTGAGAGAGTTCTGGGACATGCTGAGCAGCATGGGCAACCTGGCATCGCTACATTCGTGTCAAGGATGCTGGAAGAGGCGGAGGAGCTGCTGGTGCAGGTGATGGAGACGAGGAAGAGAGTGCTGGGAAGTAACACACGCAGTTACGCTTAGGAGTATGGAAAATCTGACATCTACTATGAAGAAGCAAGGCAGACTCCAACGAGAAAGCCTCTTAACTTTCTCATGAGAGCAACGCTTTGAGAAGGACTCGACCCTGTCACCCTAGAGAAGAACTTGTTTGGTGGCTTGGGTCAGCCAAAAGCAAGAGAAGCACCAGCATCCTGACGTTAAACCATCAGCGGCCACCAAGGGCAAGGCAATATCTATTTTCTACGGCTCAAATTCGTACAATGACCATCAATACAGGCTTTCACACCACAATCCCCATGCAACAGTCTTTATCCGTCACCATTGTCCTTGGCGCTCATATTGAGATGACTGCGCCAGCAACCCCCAAGAACATCGCTACGATCCTGCAACTTGCTACCGAGGAGGACACCAGAATCGTCATCTCAATGTCCGTGTCCTCAACACCAATTCCTTCCGTCCTGGAGATTCTGGAAGTCCACCCTAACATCCTCCTGCCTTTTTCGACCTATCTGGCAATGCTTACACCCATGCACATATAGATAATACAGCATCTCTTGCTCCCTGCTCGGCGATCCAATAGTAGTGAGCGTAACCTACGCTGTGCTTGATGAAGACGATCAATCCTCCACCAGTACCACGGAGTCCTCCGAAGCACAAGAATCCCGCCGCCTCGGCGTTGCAACCTCCTTCCTCAGGGCGGCTCCAAGATTCAAATCGCGGTTAAGAAATGTCAAAACACGATTTCTACGCGTAACCCCTGCGTTTTGCCTGCTTTTGATTGGTCAATTTCTACTGCAATTTCGCAGCCAATTTCGCTGTAGGACACAGCAATTTGTACTTATATCTGCATTCGCTGCGCCCCTTATTTAGATTCTACAACTGGCTATCTCCATTTTCATTCCACATAGCCACGTTCGACAGGATATAACTTCACCTCATGACGTGGCTATAGGAGCTGCCTTGCTCGTAATGACTATAAGCCGTACCTCTAAGCTTTCGCGCCGCTCTACCGGAGGCTGAACACCCTGTAATTGAAATGCAGAATGTGGGCACACTGTCAAAAGTGATTACAGCAGTCAGTAGGTCCCGTCTTCCGCGCCTTTCTGGGGTCTTACATGCGGCTCCATTTTCTCCAGGGTCCGAGTCATAGCTCATGAATAAGCTCAGCTCGTCGGGTGTTTGTTCACTCAACCAGTACCATCTTTGAGCACTGTTATATCTCACATAGTAAACTTCGCCAACGTATTCCCGGGATGGACGATCGGTAGCGATCAAATCGGCCGCGTCGACTGAAGTGAAGTCGCAGAACGCAAGTGGCGCGTCTCTTACAACATGCTTGAGAGGCCGCCAGACACTAAAGCGTTGAGTGCTTGAATCATTGAGAAGCGCTTGAGACTAACTTGATGATACGAATCCGCCAATGCTCATTGAGATATTTCTCGTGCTCGGGCTTGCGTAATTGATAGCGTAAACGCTTCGGGCCAGCGTCGCGTGATAAGTCTACAGGTTTTTCAGTATCGGCGGGTAAGTGGAATTTGAGTGGTGAATTACCTATATGGACTTGCCAGGCAGGCTCATTCGGCGAGTCAAAAGATCCGCCAGCTCCTATCACCTTGCTCCCTGGACTAGATGTTGATTTCCGAAACTAAGCGTGTCAATTGATGTCACGAGATCCCGAAAGTTAGCGCTCCTCGTACCCTGTAGTCATAGCAGATAACGGCCTCGGCTTTCTCCATGTTCTTGACAAAGTGTGCCACCTCTTCTATATATGACTTGAAGACGTTGGATTCGTGTAAACCATCCATGAAGCTACTCGGAAAGTGCTCGAACTGGAAGCCATGATTGTGCAAGCGCGGTCTCGAGACACATTCACGGATATCCCTGATTGGCACATTCTCACGTGTTGCAAGCACGAGATTAGTACGCCGGCTTTCTTCGTGAGCTTCAAGAGGCCCAGAAAAATGGTATGGTTTCTCAGACTGAAACTTTTCGTCGTCCTGAAAAAATCGCAAAGAGGGCGTAGTGACAGGAAGATCAGGCACGTCTTGCAATGACATGTTAGATTGTTCCCTTGCCTCGGACCAGCACTCGTCGATTTTGGTCCAGACTAAAGATGAACCTTCTTGTTCAACTTGCAGCTGCGAAGGCAGATAAACATATTTGCTCACAAGAGCTAAGCTCAAGATTTATAGCTATCACGTTAATCGCACATCTAGAATCCCACTTAGATATAGTAAGTGCTCCACTAAGCTCGATATAGTTAGTATAGTCTTAGACTTCACATTAATTAAGATGAGAATCGTATGAGATTATCAACTTCATCAAAGAAGAATCTTGATTGACATGCTTCAAACACAAACTATGCTAGTGCAATATGCGTATATTTCGCCATAATTGTGAACTAAATTAGCTTGCCCCGAGGAGAATGCCTCAAAGCCTTGCTCTTCTCAATAATGCCTTAGTTGTCAACCTGCGAGGACACGTCAGCAATGACTTATTGGAGCAAACTCCAAGCTACTAGTACTTATGCAGGGGCAGACGGCTTCTTGCCGAGCATATAATGGGAAGCTCTGCACACCTGTCTACAAGGCGTGAACAGGCATTTCGCATCAATAAAGCTGTGTGACAATCTGCAGGAGATACGTAGAAAGCAAGTGTCAACCTGCTGTGCAGAGTGCGTAGAGAAGCAAGTTGATTGATAGCTACGGGGGTAGAGAGCGTAGATCTATGTACAATTGGCTGTACCGTACAGCGAAATTAGAAGCGAAATTGCGTCGGAAATTGACCAATTAGAAGCAGCAGAAACGCAGGGATTACGCTTATTAAACGCGGCCAATTAGCCCTCTCAGAAGGTCAACAGCAAGTTATTCTATTCAGCTAGAGGAGGGGAGCATGCGTAGATATACGTAAAAATCGGCTGTACGACACATCGAAACTAGAAGCGAAATTATCCCTTCTCCTGTCGTTAATTGCTCCATTCATTGATTGGTTGAGATACCCGCCGCTAAAAAAAGCTTAGCCTGAAAGGGTCCAATGAAAATACATATTTGTAACCTAATTCTTTAGCTGCATAACTAGCTTACATTAAATGAGATTCTGCAACTGATGCTGCCATTCCTCCCTCCTCTTTGACTGTTCCATGTGTAAAGCCCAACAACTCGAGTTGTAGCAGATTGGTACCTCACACCTAGTACAAAAATGGCGGGTCCTTGGGGTACCAGTCCGACTTCGTTTCGAAACTCGGGATATATTGCCGGACACTTCCCGTAATGCTTTTGGAACCCCTCCACGTCGACCGTGAGGCGTACACACTACGCATTGACGGTAGGTCTCTCGTTTGCCCTATTTATGACCCTTGCTATCCTCTTTTCGTACTATAAATAAGCAGAGATCTTGGTACTCACGAGGAGGAGCTCTCCGCCGTAAAACAGCTCCAGGGTCTTGTAATAATCTCTGTACAATTTTCTCTTAGAACTCAACATAAGAGAGTCCTTTCTCTTTACAGCTTTTCTTTATCTCTTTATAAAGAATGTAGCTATTTATAATAGCTGCGTCAACAATCAGATAGAGTAAGGGGAACTAGTTATGTAGATGATAATGTTAGGCAATTAAATAATAGCTATTTTGTTGTGCATGACTATCAGAGCCTCTCATATTCTTATTATAATCTTCAAGGGCGTATAGCTTTCGTAAAAGCCACATTTCTTCTCCTTTAGCACTTCTTTTATCTAAAAGCTTTGCATTCTTTAATAAGGCCCTAAGGCGCTTAACATAGTCGAAATAGCAGTATTCTTTAGTCGTAGGATCATGAATAGTAGTCATTATAGCGCGAACAGCTATATCGCAGAAGCTAATATAATTGACATTATTTATAACGAAGTTGTACCATTCACTATGATTATTCTGCCTAGTCATAGCCTTACGGAGATAGGCCAGCTCTCTAGGGATTCTAGACCCTGCCTTTGCTGTACTATTTATACTAACTTCGTGCTTGTAGAGTTCCTTGTAGAGAGCACGTATAGTAAAGAAGTTGTCCAAATGAATCACATAGTAAGGTGCCGGCCGAGGAAACCGTTCAGTAAGTGAATCCACTAAGTCGAGCACTACTGCTTCGCTTTGATTCCACTCAGGGTAGCTACCTATTTCGGCCACCTTCTCCTGAATAAAGATGAAGCGGAAATCAACTATATAGCCATTTAGGTAATAGAGGCTATAGATTTTATAGCCCTTACCTGCAGCCTTGATATTCATATGTATTATATGTTTCAAACAGTCTAAGAACTTGACCAACTGTTCGTTAATGCCTAAGTTCTGTGGAAGTTGGTATAAGGCAGGCGTTGTAGCAGCTCGAAAGGTATTGGCTAGAGGGCCAACCTTCTCATACCATTACCTATCTAGAAGGTCTCCTGGCGGGTTAATCTTTAGATAGCGAGAAATCTGTTGGAACCGGGTAAGGGAGATGTATTCTATAATTGGCTATTCAGAGAGATTATCATCTATATTCCAGTAATATAAGATATCTCTACCACCAGGCTGCGCTCCTAGTAAAAGGATTGCACCAAAGTAACCGCCAACTTCAGCCGATGTAACTTCTTGCTAAGGACGTTTGGATTTGCCAGCTTCTTCCTCTTGCGCATATTGATTTGTATTCTCTGCAATCTCTGTAAAGAGTCTCTTAGGAATAAATTAATGAAATAAGTCTAGAGGGCCAGAATAAGGTATTTGAGTAAATGGCTGACCATTAAGACCTGTATTTGGGTCAGTAGGAATCTTTAGCTTTTCAGGGTATGGCTGACGTTCACCAATATGTTCAAGTAAAATTTCGAGCTTCTGTGCTTTGTTTCGGGTTGCTTCAAACTGTTGGCACCATTCTGGCTTAGATTCTGCTTCAGATCTCTTCTTTTTAGCTGTTGCAGAGGTATTTTGGGCTCGTAAGGGCTTAAAGCATCTGGAGGGCCGTGGTTGAGTATCTCTTGTGGAGGAAGATTCCTGATTGGGGGTAGCTTTCAGCGTAGTAGTAAGCTGGGAATGTACTTGGGACAGATGACTTTGAAGCGCATTTTCGGCCGCTTTTCGACTTTGAAACTTCGTTCTTTTTGGACGAGGCAGGTCTTCAGCTAATGGAGCGTCGTCTGCCTTATCGGTAGGTCCAGAGATCTCTTCTTGGTGCGTTTTGTGGACCATCTGGTTTGTTTACCTTCTGTACTTCATGACGCGAAACCACTTTACTATCCTGAGATGCAGCCTTGGCACGCGCAACGCGGGGCCTTGGCGCCAAGGATTACTTGACCAATCAATGAATGGAGCAATTAACGACAGGAGAAGGGATAGGAGAAATAGATTAATCAAACGCAGGCGATAGGCAGGAGCTTCGCATAGAAATTTCAACCAATGAGTGCTTATACAGTTCGATAGAAGCCAATCTTGTATCTCGTTTGCGACTAGTGCTTCTGCTTGACAAGAGACATAATAAGTGTACCTCGTTCGCTAATATCTCCTTAGCCAATTAGACAGTTCCAATTCATGGTCGACAGATGTGTATGATTAGTCCGATATTATCCGTCCAAGGGATCTTCGGTCCCGGCATGAGTTGTCTGATCAACCAAGACCTACTGATCGGGTTTGACCTCATTAGAACTTACATAACCTAGTTTATGCAGGGATATTAGGCCAAAAAAAAATGGGTGCTTCCAGCGTATTTATTAGGATTTCCCTATCCTCTTCTCTAATCATACCAAAACTTAAAACGAGAACAGTTCCTACCTACGATCATTAGAATTTGTCTCATTGTCATAATTGAAGCTTATAATTTGCATCCTTTTCAATCCATGTCTCCTTCAGAGTTGTCTAAAAGATCAAGCATTACAACCTCGGTTGACGCTTCAGGCAGATTGCAACCATGGAAGCTTTTTTCCTGTATGCAGATTAAGGAGCTGGAAGAAGGTGATCGTGCTGATTGCGGACTGAGCGATGGAGGTATCAATAGCAGTGCTTCGATCAGCTTAGTTTCGAGATCAGGTGAGCCTCTCATCCCACAATGGAAGGAGATACAGAGAGCTGACAAAAGCGGATCGATCAGTATCCAATGATGGCACGCGTCACTGTCAAACATCAGTCACAGGATAAGAGCCAAGAGGGGAGGGACGGGTTCTCGCAACGGGCCTTGAACTGCCGATCCGATTTCTGAGTATCAAGGCTGTCACAATGTGATTCATGCACCGACCAAAGCCGACTGGGCGATATGTTGTTTACTGTCAATCCGAAAATTTCTACAATCTCTGGATATAGAGAACAACAACAATCAACTCCCATGAAACAATGACCATGAAATAAAATAGTAATGTTAACGTAGCAAACCATTATTGTTGAACAGCAACAGTTGTATTATTTAGCTGGAACCTAGAAAAACCAGAACGGCAGCTGTAGCTAAAGTAGCGTTGAGTGATGCCAGAACCACGCTAAAAGATACGCCAAGCCTAATTAGAACACGGGTAAATCGTACTCAATTATGGTTAGGGCAGCCGTTAGTGATGTCAAGAGGTGCAGGTACATGAGGTGCAGTGGTTATGGACCTCATGAGGGAATTTCTTGATGAATTCCCTCAGTATTCTAGTCTTTTGACCCATGCTTCGTGTATGTGGAGAGCGTACGGTCCATCATTATGACAGCAGCCAAGCAACATCAGTCCAACAATCGAACCTTATCTATATTAGTTTTACAATTTATTCTTAATTATTGTTGAGTGGGACTTTGTTATAATTATCATTGATGCTTAGGGGCTGCAGAGACTTTGGGATTGATAATAGTTGACGTTTTAATTGAAAAACACCGTTTTCTATACTACTGTCACTTGCTGTGCGTCTCTGAGTCCCAAGCTCATGGGCCAAAAACGTCCATGGGGTCTAACATGGCGCTCAAGCTCTCTCTTCGTTGTGGGAACCGTCGGCATTGCATTATTCACAGACCTCTTCCTCTACGGTATTATTGTACCCATCCTTCCCTACCTACTCGAGGATCATATCCACATACCTCACAACCAAATCCAGGGCTATGTGTCCGGCCTGTTAGCAATCCATGCCCTTGCCAGCGTCCTGTTCTCCCCCATAGCCGGTATTATCGCCGACCGAGCTTCAACTTCGGCCAAGTTACCCTTTCTCGGCGGCCTGCTCGCTCTGCTTCTCGCCACGTTACTGCTATGTCTGGGTCAGACGTTCGCCGTTCTGGCGATTGCTCGCGTATTGCAAGGTATGAGTGTTGCAGTTGTATGGACGATCGGCCTTGCATTGGTTCGTGATACCGTGGGCCCGGAGAAGTTAGGGACCACTATTGGCTCCATCTTTGGATTTGTATCCATTGGGCAGCTGGTCGCCCCTGTGCTTGGTGGAGTAGTCTACAGTAAGGCTGGGATTCTTGGAATATTTTGGATGGCATTTGCGGTCCTGGTATTGGACTCTGTGATGCGGGTCATGCTTATCGAGAAGAAGACTGCGGAGAGATACGTATCTGCCCAACAAACAGAGGCGGGCGTATCTGGAAGTGAAGAGGATGATGGCGACGCCCTAGTCCGAGACGAGGCTCGGGAGGAAGAGCCGTTGCTCGAAAGACAAGAATTGCGAGCGTATAAACTGACAGGTGGTGAATCACAAACTGTTATAACGTGGGCGTTTCCCTTGATATCTTGCCTAAGACATCCGAGACTGCTTACGGCGTTGCATCTTGCACTGTCCCAAGCGATCCTTTTGTCCGCGTTTGATTCTACTATATCTACAGTTGCTCAAGAATATTTCAGGTTTACGTCCTTGGAGGCTGGCCTACTCTATCTCGCTATAGTGGTACCTTATGTCATTGGGGGGCCTATCGCTGGTCGGATCGTCGACAAGAGAGGACCAAAGGGTGTGGCAGTATTTGCATTTGGGTTTCTTGTGCCTTCATTATCTCTATTGCACCTCGCTCGCCCTGGAGGCAAGGACCAGGTTGCGATTTATTGTGCTATTCTATCCTTGAATGGGTAGGAATGGCATGTATTGGTGCGCCATCAATTGTCGAGGCTTCATATGTCGTTTCGATGTACCACAAAGCTAATCCGCAGATCTTTGGTACTCACGGCCCCTGGGCCCAGCTTTACGGTCTGACTTCTATGGTCTTTGGCCTCGGGCTCACTATTGGCCCTCTTGTGAGTGGGGGGCTCAAAGTCGAAATCGGTTACGGGAACATGAATTTAGTTGTATGAGTGATGATCAAATTCTTTTATAGAGCTAAGACGCTGACCTTATCGCAGATCGCAGCAATGTGTTTGGTCACTGCAATTTTCTCTTATATATTTATCGGTACGGAACCGAGATTGGGTTTTTGAGAGGTGAAAACGGTGTATCTTCCGAAGATACCACACATAGAGTCTGCTATTGAAGGTACATCTATCGGTTAGGTTCACAACCTAAAAGCGCTGTCCTTTTGGTGGAGTGGTAGATGTATTGTTCCTCTTATAGCGCCACCTCAAGTACATTGATTCAGTTGATCAATAATACTTGACCCTCTGCTATAAATGTTACTCCCTGCTCACTCAACCAATCCTACACCTTGACCAAGCCTAGCCTTGTCGAGGACCGTAACAGGTCGACCACAAAAAAAATGAACTTGCTTTGCCTCAGTCGAGTTGTAGGCGGTCCCAATGCTTTCATAGATGGCGTCCATCCGTGCCAGGCTTTGAAGAAGTCAGAAGCGGCTCGGTCTCTTCATCTTCAACTCTTATGTCCTCATTATCATGTCGGTTTGCAACTTCTTCACTTTTTCTTGCAGATGGGCGAATGGGTCTCAGCCAGAAAAGCGGTATCACACCAAGCACAGCCATCATAGCGATTGCTAACCATGGTAAGACAATAGAGCCTTTGCTCAACCCGATTGTAAACATAGCGCCACCCATTGCTGGTCCTACTGTGCGTCCGATTGCAGCGGTGCTGGTCGCAACACCATTTAAAGTTCCTAGAATTCCTGGGCTAGTTGCAGAGTTTGTCAAGAGGATTGTGCTGCATGGCCAGGCGAAGACTGTGAGCAAAGTCTTAAAGATCATGATGGCTAAGAGAGCAGCTTCTCGTGCAGTGGCCGAAGGGATAAGAGCCGCGAATGGAACTAAAGCATACAGAAAGACAAAGGCAATAGCGCCAACTCTAAGGCAGGGGAGTACACCAAGTTTCTTGACGGTGGGGGGAAACACGACAAATTGCAATACCATTCCCACCATTCCATTGACCATCAACAACAATCCAATTCTGCTGGAGCTCATTGCAAAGCCATCAGTAAAGAGAAACCAATTTTGCCTTCCATGGCTCATAGGGGCAGTGGATGAGCGTGGATGATGCATGAGCACTGGGAGTAGCTGATCATATGCTACGGAGTGCATCGCAAGGAGACCGTATTGTAAGAGATTAATCTGCGACTGCGAGGTGAAGACCGATTTCCAAGTAAATTGTTGAAGTTGACTAGGAGGCTCGGACTTTTGAAGGCTGTTGCGTGCTCGGCCATGCTCAGTTGGCCTTTCATAAACTGCTTGATGTGCCCCTTGTTGATTGAAGCCAGACACCGACTCGGAAGGCTGATGTTGACCAAGATTTATTTGTCGAGAACAAGGCCTTAGAAGCGCCCGACCGAGATGCAATCCAACGTCGTTCTCGTTTTGTGAAGTATGAAGGGTCTCTCTTAAAAACAAAAAGCCAACTGCAATGGTAGGTACAAAGAGGCAGCAGGTAGCCAAATTGGGAGCTGAATAAGGAAATCGTAAAAAGAACGAAGATGATCCAAAGGATAGGGGATATTTGTGAGCAGGATCGGCTATCATCCCACCCATAGCAGGCCCAACCATACTACCAATGGTCCAAACAAGCGGCATGATACTAAAAGCTCTGGGCTGTAAGTCCTTCTGAGGTACCAGCTCGGCCGTTGCAGTGCGAATGATTCCTCCATTACCTCCACCAAGACCAGCGAGAGCCCTGCTGATAAGGGCTAAGCTCAAGGTTGTCGAAAAGCCGAACATCAAGCTGGTGATCATGGTGCAAAGGAGCCCTGCGAGAATCGTGCGCTTCCTACCAAATCGATCTGAAGCCCGGCCCCACGTGATTGCGGTAAGGAACTGGCAGAAGGAAAAGCTGGCGGCGCAAATTCCGGTCCACTTGCCAATACCATCGCTACTCACTCCAAAGCTTTCAATCATCTCTGGTAGATATGGAAAGACTGACGTGTAAGCGATCGGCTCTGCGAAACGACAAAGAGCTGATATCATCATACGCAACCTCATTAGAATAAGCCATAATCTTGGGAAGCTAGGGAGAATAGTCCGTACCCAGAGCCGACAGCTGACCGCAAGGCTGTCTAGACTTTTCCTCCATACCGCACGACAGAGTCCGCACGATTGAGATACGATTAGGCGAGAAGACTCCCACAAATTAGAAGGGCTGGATCTTCGAGCGAGTCTTGAATCCCATTGCCGCTGGCAAAGGTTGGTCTGGGCCGTACGCTACCTTCCAAACAGGATGGAACTCGAATATGCAGGTGTTGAACTTCTGAGAGGGCCTATTGGCCAGGTTTCATACGCGGTGTCCCTGCGTTTCGCCTGCTTTTGATTGGTCAATTTCTACTGCAATTTCGCTTCTAATTTCGCTGTACGGTAAAGCCAATCGTACATAGATCTACGCTCTCTACCCCCCTAATTATCGAACAACTTGCTTTTCTACGCACTCTGCACAGCAGGTTCACTGCAGGTAATATGCGCTGCCCTGCACCTGTACGTTGTTCACCGCTTTACAGTTGTTTCGGATTGTATGTTTCTTGAAGTGTTCATTCCGCGGGAATGGGCATCTTGCAGCATACTAATCGGTCAGACCGTATGAGCGCTCACTGGCCAATTTTTCTACGCGTAATCCCTGCGTTCCGCCTGCCTTTGATTGGTCAATTTCTCCCGCAATATCGCTTCTAATTTCGCCGTACGGAGTACTCTGTACCACACGACGAATTTGTACGTGTATCTATGCACGCTGCCCCTAATGAGATAGAACAGCTTGCTTTCTGCGCCCTCTCCGCAGAAGGTCACACCAAAGCTATTCTGAGAGCCCTGCGAATATTCCTCCAGCTCGTCACACCGTTGCTTTGCTCTTCTAACAAGGGATAGGCGGTGCTTCTCTTGCACAGGCCTTTCTGACCAAATGGTCTCACCGAAACTTTTCTTTCTACCTCAATTGTTTCTCTAGCAGTTCATCACCCATGCGCTTCAAGGCTCAGTTCATCTTATACCTCGCCCATCATCCTCGATAACGACCTTCAGAGCCGATTGGAAGTTGTCCATATCTCTTTGAGGTGTGTTTTTTATCTAAAATTATGCTTAACTCTAGTTGCTCATGAAAGCGAAAAAGCATCTCGAATGTGCAGCTCTCATTGTGCCAAACCCTTACACCACTCGAATGCAACAGAAAACAGATTTTGTTTTGGGAAACACCCCACAAAATCGCATGGAGTATGACCTAGTAATTACAATAATTAATCTCATTTAATCTACAACACGCAGTAAGTGATATCTTTTCCCAGCAAATAGCCGGTCTTCCCTTATCAACGCCCATCATATCCTCCTATCCCCCTCACTTCTGGTAGACCTGGATATGCGCATTTCCCCCACAGAGCTGCTTGTTATTCCCCGTACACGGCAGATTGCACGCGTTGTCATTCGGGTTATTGCTCCGCGGATTCAGCTCGTTGCCACAAACACATTGGTTTCCCTGCGTCACGCCAAAGTACGTGAACCCGGCGCACGTGCTCGCGCAGGCGGCGGGAGTTTGGTTGTTGGATGTGCTCTCGGGGCCATTGAGGGCACGCTGAGCGCCGCCGTTGTTGGTGCATTGCAGGTAGGTGTAGGGCGGCACGGATTTGGGGATCCCGGTCTCTTCGGGGGTGGGGCAGGGTTGTGCGGGCACTGTCACGGTTGTTCCTGGGAGTCTGGAGGTTGGGAAGGGGTTTGGTTAGCTAACATTGAAATAGCGGGATTTGGTACAGGTGAGGGAGCTTACGTGACTGTTTGCGCGGGGAGGGTTACGGTTTCTGCATCGAGAGGAAGGGTTACGGTTGTGGGGATTGTGACGGTGGTAAGTTGGTCGTCGCCCGGAAGTGTCACCGTCGTTGGCACCGTTACCGTTGTTAATTTCCCGTCAATCGTGATGGTGGTGACTTGGTTCTCGCCCGGAAGTGTTACCGTCGTTGGCACCGTCACCGTTGTTATTTCCCCAGCTCCTGGCACAGTGACGGTGGTGACTTGGTCCTCGCCCGGAAGCGTCACCGTCGTTGGTACCGTCACCGTTGTTATTTCCCCAGCTCCTGGCACAGTGACGGTGGTGACTTGGTCCTCGCCCGGAAGCGTCACCGTCGTTGGTACCGTCACCGTTGTTATTTCCCCAGCTCCTGGAATAGTGAGGGTCGTTCTGCAATATGACTGGTCAGCCAAATGGCGCCTTGCATCGGGCAGCATGTACAAGGGAATGAGGCTTACGTTTCAGCTGTGCAAGTCAGGGTGGTGCTTGGGGCGGTGGTGGGCTGAGGACTGGAAGTCCGTCCAAGAGCACAGTCACAGGCGCTGCTAATCCTCGGCAGACTGGAGGAACACGGGGTGACGAAGGTCGGCAGCGGATGTGTTGAGGTGGACAGGAAGGCCGAACAGAAGGAGGCCACAGGGCGAGTCGGGTTCAGCAGCGCTCGGAGGCAGTTGTCCTGCTCGCAGACGGTTCGTTTCTTGACGACCGAGGCATTGACCGCGGCGAGCAGGCCGACCACGAAGACCATAGAATGGTGCATGATGGCGAGGAGGACGATTGTCAATCAGCTGATGTCAGAAGGGGTAGGCGTTGAGGGCGAGGTATCACAATGGACTTTCAACCTACAGATGGTATCAGATTAATCTTGGGAAGGCATTGTTCCTCTCTTTGTACTCCTGATCCGCTCGACGCTAGAGACAGACAATAGTGGTTCTGGGGGAATATTAATGATTCAATAGACCGGCCCCTGGCTAACAGCTAGCTTGGTAGGTCTTCATTAACCCCACAGCCGGAGCTAATGCGTAGAACTTGCTGTCGCCGATTTGCGAGTATCGTTTGCCTGGCAGCAAACTCCTTCCGTCGGGCGTCAAGCAAGACTGGTGAAGCAATCACGAAGTCAATGATTAGAGAAATCATATCTCAATCCGAGCAAGGCTTCGGTATACCCGGCGACAGGGAAATGTGTAAAACTTGGCCCGTCTGAATCGGGAAATCAGTGGCCCATGGAAGTGGTAATGACATGGAGAGGCTAGTACTATCTAGTCTTAATCAATGTTTCTAAATCTATTAATTGACAGCCGAGATTCCGGATTTTTCAGGGGTTTGCCGTATTCGTACTAGACCGTCTTCCCTACTAACCTAGGAAGAGTTACTGGGTATGTCCTGCCTCAGCTCGCCGGTCTCCTGGTTCATCACTATCATTATGTTAGTTAGCAGATTACTGAAAGAGGACCCCAGCTACTTCCAAGTAGGAAGGGAAAAACTTAATCTGTAGCAGAATTAGTCCTCTTCGAAGTTTGATTATCCTGACCTGTTCATGTGTCCACCCAATGCTAACACTCAGCTGAACATTACATGGCTAATGGCGAATCTTTCAGAACGTTCAGAACCTATCAGTCACGAACTACAGGAACATTAGCGTCCTTAGCTTTGAATATCAACAAAGCCACCTTGAGACCCAAATTCTCCTTTCTTTCAATCTTGCCGGATACCATTCCTTTTAGCTGTTTATACTACTTAGCGAGTAGAGCGCCAGCTGCTAGGTCCTCCTATCCAAATGGGGAAACTTGTCATGGCCCGACAAATTAGGAACAGTCTGGCTGGCCTGGTCTGGCCACTGATCTGAAGGTTATTGACGTAAAAAGCTTCCAGACCCTTGCATATCAGTCTTCAAGTGTTGCGATATTCAATCATTAGCACTGGTCCTTTGACTCCTCACCACGTGTTGTCTGCACTCAAAGCCCGTTGTCAAGCTTGTCGCGAAGGCCTATGCAGATATTACGGGATCTTATTTTGTCAAACTGTATGAGCGCTCATTGGTTGAATTTGTACGCGAAGCCCCTGCATTCGTCTCCGTTCTGCGAAGACCCTTTTTCAGTGAATGCGGTTAGACCGCCCATTAAAGTTCAGTTGCCTTTTTAGGTCGGGGCTAAAGAAGAGTCACGGTACGGCTTTCCAACAATGTTCTTGGCACGTTATCTCTTAGCGTAGTTTAACAACCTGTGATGCACAACTTCGTATTGTACATATGTCTACACACACTCATCTCTTATTAGTTAGATAGAACAACCTGCTTTCTATGCAGCTCTTGCAGAGTATTATACAACTACATATCTTTATACACTCTAAGCAATCTTGCGGTTAAGCTCGGTTCAAGCGCACTCTGGCGACTCCCTTAGCATTATTTTAAGGGGGTCTCTTTCTGCCAGTGCTACTTACGCAGATAAAGCATGCCGATCTAGTGCAACCCGAGTAGCTCATCCTCCAGACAAGACGTCTTCCGTTAGACTGCGGATGGACTATAAGTTTGAATATTTAAATATAGTCAAGGGAGCTCGCTTCGCTGCTAGAGAAAAACACATGATTGAATGACTCTGGATTCATCTCAACTTGGCAAGATGAGCAAGTCCCCTTTGGAAGTCTTCACCTATCAGCCATTACCTACAACATCTGATGGCCCCATCATTCGTCTCCTTAAGCTACTTCCAGGTCCAAGCGACCAGAAGGTCGCGTGTAAGATGGTGCCCACTTGTCTTAGAAATCCTCCGTCTTACGAGGCTCTCTCTTACACTTGGGGCCATCAGGGTAAGACCACTGCCATCGTGTGCAACGACGCTCATCTGGACATCTCACAAAGTCTCGAGACGGCGTTACGCCATCTTCGTGATCCTAGAGAGCCGAGAGTGATTTGGGCTGATGCAATCTGTATCGACCAGTCCAACGAAGTGGAGAAGACCCACCAGGTCTCTCTCATGCGGGATATCTATCGGAAGGCTACAAGGGTCGTGATCTGGCTTGGTCCAGCGAGTAGGAACGGCCCGGGAGAGCTCGCTCTGGATCTTGTCCACTACCTGGCAGCGGCCTCCAAAGAGCCAGCTACCGCTGTCGAAGTATTGCATCAGTCTGCAGACATACGCCTGCTAGATCATTTCGCAACACAGATATATGAGATTCATGGTATCCAAGCCCAGCCCAACCAAGCGTTCACCACAATATATAAAGCATTTTTCGAACTATTAGAAAGGCCGTGGTTCACCCGGACTTGGATTTTACAGGAGGCCGCTGTTGCATCCGACGCTATCTTACTGCTTGGTACAAGATCAGTTTCATGGGCTGAGTTCTTGGACGCATTTGCATTCTCCCTTAAGCAGCCGAGTCTCATGACAATTATGAACCCTGGAAAGCTGGAGTATGCAATAGGTCTACTTACAGTGTGTCAGGCCGTCAAGCGGGGATCTGAGCAAAGACTGTTGGACCTTCTCCTTCAACACCGGAACTGCGGAGCAAGCGACTCAAGGGATAAGGTTTTTGCTCTATGCGGACTCGCGCGTGATGCTGGAGCTGATGGTCTCGATGTCCAAACGGATTATAGACTCGATACAGCAGAGGTATACAGAGACCTGGCCATCAAAATCCTGAAGCAATCTGCGGACCTGGCACTCCTCAGCGTGCCACGTCCTTCTACGTCATCAAACGTAGCTGGGTTGCCTTCGTGGGTTCCAGACTGGTCGCTCTCAAGCCACTCAACCTCCTTCAGAGCGCGAGACTTTTCGGGCGACTATCTATTTCGCTCGAAGGCTTCCAAGGACACCATACCTGATCCGAAATTCTCTTCAGATGGCAGGCTGCTCGCAATGAATGGGATGGTGGTGGATCGCATCATCAAAGTCGGATCTTTGCACGACGCAGATACGGAATCGAATTACCTCACCAAAATCCCCAAGGAGCAAACAATTCTCAACGAGTGGGAACACGTGTCGGGTGCCCGATCGTGGTCCAAATACTTCACTGGCGAAAGCAAGTTGGATGTCTACTGGCAAACCCTTGTCGGCGGCTGTCCTGCCCAGAGTTACGAAGAGCTGCGAGGTCAATTCCACGATTTTGACCGCACCACCAAACGCTTCCGCATGCTGCACTGGGTGGGCCTGCAAAACTATCGTAAGACGTACATTGCCGCGTCATACGTCATGTTGACCGTCTCCGCCATGTCCGATGGATTTCGTGGGCGTTTGACCAGTCCGCTGACGGGCGGGTATGCGACTTGGGGGTTCGCTGCGAGGATGGCAATGGCGGTACGGCGGAGGAGAATGATGAAGACCGAGAAAGGCTTCGTGGGGCTTGCATCAGGTGAAGCCGTGATCGGTGACTCCATCGTTCTATTCCAAGGTGGACATGTTCCTGTCATTCTCCGATGGACGGGAACGCGTTGGCAGCTTGTCGGGGATGCGTATGTGCATGGCATCATGAATGGAGAAGCATTCAATCTTGACAAGTGTCAGATGATAGCCGTGGCTTGAGGCTGGGTAAAAAAAATTGCATTCCTTTCATTTTGGTATGCGTACAGTCGAAAGGTAAACTCATACTGACTATCAGGCAGGAGAGATGTTGCTCATTAATAGCTTTACCGTGACAAGGACTAATCAAGTAACTACCAGGGTCGTAGAAACTCTGGTGGGATCCCATTCTGCCTTCAACTCTTTCAAGATCTCGAGCCTACCTTCTCCGCAGAATCGCAGTTCGATCCGTCTCTTTCTTGTACCAGTCTGAAAATCAATATACGTTGACTACTAGTAGTTAGTAGTAACGTCTTCAAGTTGAAAACACAACAAAGTATGTTGACTTTGTCAAGACAAGTACCCACGCCATGACAGCCATAACCACTGCACGTGATTATTGAGCTTCGCCGCCATGCTAAGCCCGCGCAATCATCACACTTCGACTCTGAGTCGTTAGGCACAACCGTCATACTTACCATCAAGAATTTTCGCACCTAGCTCCGGTCCTTCTAGGTCGCTGGGTTCATTACCGTCCTGTACATGTCACACAGCAGCAGTGGCTTCGATCATTGTTTATTTGAAAGCCCAAGCACGCAAACAAATCTTGCTGTCGCGCCGTTTGACCTCCTAGTTTCAGAGTTGTTGGACCTGTATAAAAGATGGCTTTAGTGCAAACCTTCTCATTCTACTATGTCGCGATTTGATTTCGACATCATCCACTGTCTTTGTCTTGATCTTGTCAGAAGGCATTTCAACCGCCGCGCCGTCTTAACGCATCTGCTACAAGTATTCTCTCCCCTTCTCTCGAACGACCACCATCGCTCCGAGTACCTCTGCTGCCCAACCTCCTACCTTAGTGACAACCCAACCTTCACTCTCTCGATCCCTTCCCGCACACACATCGCCCCTGCACGCGACCCCATCATCTACGGCTTTGAAAGCGTCGAAAATTGTGGGTTAGCCAAGGCAAGTGAGAAGGTGGAGGGATTGAAGTCCGCGCCATACCTCTTCAGGGCGGATGGGAAGGGAAGTAAGGGTGTAAACCGGATGCGGCTAAATTGGTGTGTGCATTGAATTCGGCCGCCGGTCACATCATGAGAGTTGTCTGCTCACACAATGACGACCTCGTGGCAGAGGAAGTCTCGTGGCATGTTCTCCAGTGGCAGTTCTTTACCAGTCCATCGCTCTGGCACAAACTCGTCGAGCTTGATTCTGTCGCTGGCTGAGAGATTTGCCGTTACGATATCATGGCTCCCGCTCTGTTGTTGTACCACATTTTCGGTGTCGTCTTCGTATTCTTGATTGCCTAGCGAGCACAGGAATTCAGCAAGCTCGTACTCATTGATTTCTGCCACTCCAATCCTGCGGTATGTACCAGGCCCTTGGTCTTCGGCTTTTGCCAGTATCAGGCCCCTTAAAATCTCAATTTCCCACTCACCGAAGGTTGAGTCAAAGATGCAGAAGACAGGGAGAAAGACGGGCTTCAGCTGAACGAGCTTCTCAAGCTCGATCTCCTCGTCCAGCCTGATCGTACCGAATTTCATCTTGTAAGTGCATTTGGGATTTCTTGGCGGTGTGTTTATGGCGACAATGTTGTCTGATCCGTGGGATATTATCGTACCAACCTTGGGATCCATCTCCGATGATGTTGCTTCCGTTCGGGCCTGTGGGAAGCCCGTCTTGAGAAATGCCAAACGACAGCATTGTCTCTCCAGTGTAGTCCGGGTGATCGTTCGACCTGATCATTTCAATCAGTTCGGCATCAGGTCCAGATGTGCTCCGCCTAGGTCTCTCGTCAGGGCGGTCTGGTTGAGGTTCCATTGTATCGACACGCAGTAGCGGGGCCGACAAACGCAGATAACCCCCTACGACTGAAGTGAAGGGGCTTGTTGTCCATTCGGTGGTGGCATTGAGCAGCCTCGCCACTGCCTTCACCCTTGTGGCATTTTGTTTAAAGCTCGAAAGGATCGGACCGTCGATAGACATCCATGACCAAGACGGCGCTCTGTGCTCCGATGCTCGGGTGGCGTGCAGCGATGACTCCCAGCACAATTGACCGAGAAGGCTGTACTCCCAAAGGCCGGCCAGGTATTCTCCCGAACTTGGTACGAGGGTAGAGACTTGTCTCGCCAGAGCAGATATGGCTACCATCTTGTCGGACGGGTAAGTCAGATTCATGTAGACGTAGTCTTGCACGAATGCCTGCCACATAGGCAACAGCTCCTCTGGCTCTACCTCGGAAGGACTTGCCCACGGGTACCAGTCACGCGCGCTGGAACTTCCATATCTTGGCGGAATGCCTTGTGCAAACCTCTCAGAAGCTTTAAACTCGAAGCATTCGAAGAGAACCTGCGTATCTGTGAAGTGCACAGCACGAGGCTAGATAATGCGCTCTTGCAGAACCCAAGCGCGTTGATTGAGAGGGGCTATGTCCACTAAGGCTCTCCATTCATCCTCATCATAACAGCAATATGTACCGGCCCGGAGTTTTCCGTTACCTGCCACAACCTCCACGATTCCATTGGACAGTGTTGCTGTAGACCTAGAGCGAAAGAGGCCTTGACTGGGATCAGACGAAGCAGTTGCTGCGACCGTCAAGTATGAGTTGGCGTAGATTGCCCACAAGGAGGCCGCATTGCGGTCCCAGTCCTCTTTAGAATCTTGTAAGCAGATATCAAAGTCACTCCGGATATCACCTTCGTCACCAACAGCACTTCCCTAAGACATGCCCTTCCGCCAGAAACTATACGTGGTGTGGACTTCCCTGTGACTACAAAGCAGAATCTCTCCGTTTTAATCAGCGGTCAAGCATTTGTAGTCCCTTGTGCACAGGAAGTCTTTCTGCGCCTTTTCAGGGATGTGACGTACCCGAAATTCTTGTTTATGTGGAATATCTGCATGCCCCCTCCGACATCAACAATCAAGTCTCGGGACGATGTGGAGTTGTACACGAAGATCAAGGCCAATATAGTTCGATGGAACAACTGCGATGAGGTAGACATGTACGAGGTTCTGGAGAATGCTGGCGAGGGTGTGCCGCGGGAGCACTTGGAAGCTATGGGACTCCCGGACGGGGTGGAGTGGGAAGACTGGTTGGTTGATCTTATGGAGTAGGTCGGGTCTAAGCTCCGACAAGCGTACCGCTTTCGCAGGCAGGCGTCCGGTGCAAAGGTATGCTCAACCGGCCATCAGAATTCTGCCACTGGCCTTGACGGTGGCGCATTCTTGACGTTCCCAATTCTGTACCCTTTCTCCGTCTCGCCAGCATGCTCAGCGGCCACTTGGATTTACCTTTAACCACACCCTTCGTTTTTATCTTCCACAGGCAATTCAATCCACACCACCAGCTCCTCCTTCAGCCAGACCTTCAAAGCTCCAGGCTCGCTAGGCACGCCTCCCGCTTGCAACCAGTATGTGGTGCCTACTTTTTGCAGTCGGTAAAATGAAATGAGACAGTGGCGTCATCCAGTGGTTAAAGTAAGTAGCGATTATTAACTTTGGCCCAAAATAATTTAACTAGGTTAGCAACGCGTAGTTGTATGGTGGAATGCTCTCGCTTCACTCGGTGCCGCAAGAGTACGTTCCTTCCTATATGGATTCTCAATGTCATCATACATCCACACTTCAATGACTACCAGGTGGTAGAAAGCATTGTAGAATATGTAAAAGCAGCACTAACAGCTAAAACACAAACTGGCACCCGAATCAAAGAATGTCATGTTGTAGAAGAGTAATAAGTAGTTATGATATCCCTACCAAATCTGTCTCTCTGGGAAAGATATGATAGCGCTAGTTACAACGCACTTTTCGATGGGACCAAGTGGCACTCATAGTTCTGATGCGTGATGCACAGCTGCTGTGATAGATGCGTAATGGGTTGCTTCCTGATTTTAGGGCATGCCACGAGGCTGAAGAAAATCTCTTCGATATCGGCTTCATAATCATGGCATGACCTTGCTGAGCAGCAGGTCGAATCACTACAACCTATTGTGAAGAGTGAGGAATTGATTTTTTAAACTAACACTTAGCGTTGAGGTGCTGTGCTGAACAATCGAATGCTTTTGCCTACGTCTTCTCAGACAGACACAACCATCCTCTAGCTGTTGAATTTTCTGTTACTGGGCAGACCGAGCTTGATGTCATTATGAATGCCATTATGAGGTGTCAAACAAAAGCTAGTAAACGGTCCTCTGAGGGCCGCGGTCCTTTTGGTCCAACATAAGGGCTATCAAGTGGAGAGGCGATGGTGAGAGGAGACGGGTCAGTGCCCATCAGCGGAAAAGGCACGCTCACCTTTGGCATGAATGCATCGCATAACCTGGATCCGTAGATAGAGGGACAGTGCGGCTATGGTGCAGGTCTCGAGTAATGACCGAGTATTGTAACCACCATATATTCCTGGCCATGGTAATTGGCTTCATGACGGACCCCAATCAACAAAATAGCAGAGTCAGACCATCAAGGCAGAGCCTGAACTAGTGTGATCCTGAGAGCCGCGCCCAAAAATGTTGTTAGAATAGGAACATATTCTCACTTGCCATTCATTTTGTGCTATTGTCAGTATAACCATCAATTGTTATTGGGGATTGTGACAATTGTGCCAAGCTAAGGAAGCTTGGCAGAAAAAAACCAACCCTCATAAATTGTGCAACTACCTTTGCCTGAACGAAAATCCACCAATTGCAAAACCTCTCAGACATAATCAATTCAGCACATTGCTGGTTCCACAAGCAAGACGAGTACCTCTGTGTACTGACAAGATATCTTTGTCTTTTGGGGCGACGATTCGAACATCAAGACTCCCAGCATGAGTCGGCGGACAAGCTATTGGTGAGTCACATGGCAATGGCGCCTCGCACAATCCAAGCCGCTGACCCACACAACAGTTTGTGCTCTCTTTGACAACTTCAACTGCAGCATCCAAGCAGCCTTCACCTTCTGCCACTCCATCGCCATTTCCTTATTGAGTAAGTTAATTATTTCAACCTTTGTTTCAAAAGTCTGCATCTGCGCGAGCAGACACACTTTGATGAAGCAACATCCTCCGAACACATAACGCCTGGGGGTCTTCAATCCTGTCCCTCATTCTACTTCGTCAATGTCTACAGCATCGGCACCATCGCCTCAGACATCACGATTCAAAGGTCCTCGCAGACATGTCCCTCGACTTGCGACAATAAAACGTACTCCCGGTCAACCAGCGTTCATTCGCCCACCAAGTCTCAATGCACCTACACCATCTCGATCGCGAGTCTCACTGACTTGTCCAAATAATGCTTGTCCAGACCCTAATATCATCGAGGATGACGGACGATCAGTCTGCGCTACTTGTGGTGTTGTTGCTCGAGAGTCTAACATTGTCAGCGACCTGCAGTTCGGTGAGACATCCAGCGGTGCCGCTGCCGTTCAGGGCTCCTATGTTGGTGAGGGTCGTACCCATGGCCAAAGCTCTGGTGGACCTCACCCTGGTTTGGCACATGATGGGCTCAGTTCTCGTGAGTTGACGACATTGAACGCCAGACGGGAAATCGACTCTCTGATCAACAATCTACGAATACCCGCAAACCTGGCCGACCCCGCAGTGAACATCTTCAAGCTAAGCCTGGCTCATGCGATCTATGACAGTGATGGAAACAGAGAGAAGGATAGGAAGAACTTTGTGCAAGGACGCAGTATCCGTACCGTTGCTGCCGTTGCTCTCTACATTGCATGTCGTCGGCAAAAGAACACTAACACAATCATGCTGATTGACCTTGCGGAGACAATGACACCACAAGTTAGCGTCTTCAAAATGGGCAATATCTACAATCGTTTGGTCCGTGCTATCTGGGGCAACGCAGATGGAAGTGTTTCAAGCTCTGGCTATGTGGATCCTATCAATCCAGAAAACTTGATCCGACGCTTTGCGAGGGACCTAGAATTTGGATCTCTCGTTGGAAAGGTTACTGAAGATGCTATCCGACTGGTGCAACGAATGGACAGAGATTGGATGACCACCGGAAGACGGCCGGCTGGCATCTGTGGAGCAGCGCTGATTCTAGCCGCACGAATGAATAACTTCAGACGGACGGTACGAGAAGTCGTTCTTGTTGTCAAGGTGTGTGAAGTCACTGTGAACAACAGACTAGAGGAGTTCCAACATACCGCCACCAGCAAGTTGACGGTCCAGCAAATGAGGCAAGGTGATCACACTGCTCCTTCAGATCCTCCGGCATTCCAGAGGGCGAACGGTGAAGGAAAGCGGCCAAAGAAAACAGGACGAAAGAGGAAGAATCAAGCTCCAGAAACTGCGGCTGAGATTGAGAATAGCGAAGAAGAGAATGAAGAGCGCCCAAGGAAGAAGGGACGAGTTGATAAGGACGGTTTTGCTATTCCAGACATACCCATCGATCCATCCCTTCGTGATGCAGCTTCTCAAGAGCCACCATCCGACGAAGCGGTGGCTGCTGCATTGACAGCTGCGGTCAATAGTGCCGCAGCACAAGTGGAAGAAGCTCAGGGAAGTGGTTCAAATCAAAGCTCGACTACGGCGCAAACCTCAGCACAACAGCCTGATAGACCACGACGACCTGGCAGGCCAAAGGGATCCAAGAACAGGCACGCCCCAGACGAGACAGATGCCGAAGTGGCCCTTGAAGCTGAGATCGAACATGACATCCTTGACACCATGAACAGTGAAGCTATGCAACGTGCCACACCTTCCGTCACGCCTGCACCATCGGCCAGATCAACACCTGTTCCCGAGCCATCTTCGAATGCCGCGCCTGACAAATTCAACCAACCACCCGCTTCGTCCTCACAGCAAACAGCCAGCGTAGATACCTCCAACCAACCACCCGGTCCGAATTCGAACGCTCTAATCATCACGCAACAAGAAGCCACCCACTCCAAATCCACAGAGGTCCGAATGGACCCGGAAATCCTCTCCGACGAATTCGACTCCGACCCCGAAATCGCCAACGTGATCCTCTCGGAACCAGAAGTCCGAATCAAAGAGTGCATCTGGGTTGAAGAAAACAAGCAATGGCTGCGCGACGAGCACGCGAAGCGCATCAAAAAACAACTACAAGATGCTGCTGATATCGCTGCGGGAATCGAGCCCGGTTCGTCGACGGCGAATGGTCAGAAGAAGAAGAGGCGGAGGGGCAGAAGGTTGGGGGATGTAAGTTACCTGAAGAATAACGATGCTGATGGGAGGGCGGGGAGCGAGAGTACAGCGGGAGGTGGGGGGGAGGAGCAAGATGAATCAGCCAGAGCGAGGAGGGCGGCTAGCATTGCTATGAAGGGCATGCTGGAGCAGAGGGGTTATTCCAGACGGCTAAATTACGAGGCCCTGAGTAAGATGTTTCCCGATGATATGGCGGGGGTGAGGGAGGCGAGTATGGAGAGTCGGAGGACGGCGGGGAAGAGGAAGCCTACCAGAAGTGCCTCGTCGCGAGAGAGTAGTGTGGTTGGGAGTAGTGACCCTACTACTGCGTCACCAGTCCGGCCATCAGCAGCTTCAGTGACATCTTCAGCCTCCCCGCCCAGCAGACCAGCTTCAGCTGTCTCCTCGAATACCAATACCAACACCAACCGTCCCGCAGCACAGCTCCCAACCCCATCGACCTCGCAGGCTACGCAACATCAACAGCAACAAAGCCAAGCTCCTCCACCATCCTCTGCCGAATCCGCACCGTCCCAACCCGCCGTACCAGCACCAGCACCAGCATCAACGCCACTAGAAGGCGAAGAAGAGCTGATTGGCGTCCTATCTGAAAACGACGAGGACAGCCCACTCAGCTCCCTCCAACCAAGCGGCACATACAACTCGCCTCTGATCGGAACAGCGATGGGCGGTGGCTTTGGAGGTGCTGGTCAAGACGGGGATGACGATGAGGATGAAGAGGAGAGTGAAGGCGATCCAGAGGATTATGTTCAAGATGACGATGACGATGGTGGTGATGGTGATGAAGTTGAAGATGCGTTAAGTGGGCGGTTCGGCGGTGGGTTCGGCGGTGAGGATGAAGACGGGGAGTGAGATGGCGGGTTGGGAATGACGGGGAAGGGTTTGGACGACTCGAAGCTTACATTGATACTTGTTATTTTTTGCCAGCGCCGGTATTGGCACGCGCGTCGATTAAGAAGAATATCGGATTTATCTAGAGCTGGGCATTCAAGAACACAGAGCTGAGTCCTTCATCCGGTGCTTGTCTGGCCTGTTTTGGCACACGATAGATCAGAGGCATGGCGAAGATATGATCAGGAAGCAGCATACGAGACGGCTTAGCTAGCTAAGCCTGGAATCTAGAAAGAAAGAATTTACATGCAAGTCGAAGTTGGTATGCTGCGTCGGTCACGCTCTTGAAGTATGTTTGTTAGTGGGTTTCTTCATTCTGATATACTTATGAGACGTATTGTCGGTCATGGATTGGGCAGGCGACGTATGGGAGCATGCCAAGGCCTAGTTGCTGACAGATTTCATGGTGCACTGCTACTAATAGCTTGTGCGGTAAAGACTGCAATAAATTCTGTCGCTGAGCCCCAAGTCGTAAGTCTGGATCTCTCTCTGACTAAGCTTATGGATGAGGTTAGGCGACAGATATATTGGCACTTTATCATAGAGAAAACTCGTGATCATATGGCCTAGCAAATCTGTCAAGGGGTCTCATGGTAGCCTTGACTTTTGACGATTCTACGTTCATTATTCGAAGCAGAAGATGCCGGCTACTCCATTGAGCGAAACCCTACGTTAGACGCACAAGATAATAGTAGGTCATGGACAAAGACTTTCTCTGCCGGAGTGCCTCAAGAATGCCATTGTCCGGCTCATCCCCACAAATAATGTTTGCATACGCCACGAGGTAACAATGCCGTTGTTCTCTGAACAAAGCGCAGATGGAAAGTACTTAATGGCGTCCAGCAAAGCTCTTACCGTGGATATCTTGACACACCTTGACAAGCGGCGCAAATCCTTCTTTGACATACAGACACGCGAAGCATGGCCGAGTCAAAATCAACTTCTGAGGCTGGGTGGGAGACTCCAGAGGAGACGGATACGGAGATTGACTTCACGAAGCCACCCCCAAGCGACGAGGAAATGGGATGGAAACCGTCGGACACGTTCTTCGCGACGAATCTTGATGCACTTGACTTGAGCGTACCGTTGGAAAAATTCAACGAGGGGGTGATGAGCAAGGTGTGGAAAATGCGTCTCCGAGCAGGCTGGAAGGAAGCACCGTCCCGTCCGGCCGTCCTCAAAAAGTCCTGTGCACAGCTCGTGGGACTCCGAGATTTCGACAACTTCAGTGTTGTCTATGCGAAGCCCCCGGAGAGCCACGTGTACACCAAAACAGGTACCACCATTATCCTGCCGTCTGCAGATGATAGGTATAGAGATTTGCCACCTGACTCCCTGGCGGAAACAGATACTGACGTGTCCCAGCTGCTCAAGGTGCCCTACACATTCGTCGATTCCAAGGAATTAGTCACGAGCATGCTCGATGTTTTGCCAACATCTCACTCAGAGCAACCGCAACTCAGTATAGACCTTGAAGGTCTTGATCTTGGCAAGAAGAAAGGTGAGATCCACTTGGTGCAGCTTTACGATTCTTTCAGCCACCATCTCTATATCATCGACGTATGCACGCTGGGCCCTGCAGCATTCTCCACCCCAGCCAGTGATGGCAAAATGACATTGAGAAGGATCCTGCAGTCAGCTTGGATCTTCAAACTCTTTTGTGATGTTCGCAGTGACTCTCGTGCTCTGTTCCAAGAGTTTGAGATCCATCTTCGTGGCATCAAAGACATCCAGAACATTGAGCTGGCCTCTCGCCGGGATCCCACAGGACGCCAGTGGCGACGTGGTCTACCTCGATTGATTGACCGATATGCTGACTTGTCCAAAGAGCAGATGAACGAATTCCAGGCATACAAGAACAATGGTAGAGAGATCTGCGAGAAGTGGGGATTCGTTCAATTCAGTGTACGCCCGCTCCGCAAAGACCTCACAGTGTATGCGGCCAACGACGTGTTGTATTTGCCACGGATATACAGCAATCTGATCAAAGACATGTCGTCGGAGCGGTCTCAAAGTGCTGATGCTGCAACGCAGGAGAGCATCCTCCGAACACATTGTCTCGACTACGACCCGGACCAGAGTGGAATGCGGATGAGTGCTGCAGACTGGCATTGTGACTATCCTGACGATCATCTGCCCAATGCGAACATTTTTTGGGAGCCATAAGCCTTCAATCACGAGGTGGGTATTGGGTTTCTGTGATCTGCGGCGTGTATGCTGCTGACGCTTTTAGCTGTTTACATTGTTAGTATGTTAGGAATACCCAATCTTTATTTATTATGATCAGCTCCATTCTTTCTCTACAGCGTCTATGAGAACAATTATTGACCATAATGCCAAATTGTGCATCTCTATGCTGTTTCCTCTAACAGTTGAGGAAATCCATCAAGCAAGACCTTCGTACTCGCATTAAAGCATTCTCCAAGGTGATATGGCTGCTTGTATTCGGTAGTGGATGTGAAGGAACAAGCCTCAAACACAAAGTAGTCGTGCGTCCCAGTCAACAAGGCGGGAACGAGCCTTGGTTGTTTATGCTGGAGTTTCATAAGCTGAGTCAAGCATGAAATTAGGATGTGTGATTGGATGTTGTTGATGATAGGATGACACTAGGGGGTGTCGAAGGATTGTTGTGGCACTGCTGCCTGGCGGGTTTTGTGCATGAATGCTTGGAAGTTATCACTGCGCCCCCGGAAGTTGGGTAAATCCCGGTGCTCCGTTCCCCTTTCTTTAGTCATCTAATTTAAGCACATTGCCACCTCCGACGGCCTGATTCTTTGTCCTTCTTCAGCGAGTGCCTTCATACTTGACCCTTGTGCTACTTCCATAGTTTCCTCACCTCATTCTTGACTTTCCCTTACAATACACACGATACATTGTGAACCATGGCGTTCGGTGCTGCTCTCGCGCGACGCAGCGTCCAGGTCGCCCATGCTACCTTCTCCACCGCCCAGAATGGCGAGCACCCAAAGATGCCTAAGATTCCAGCATGGTCTTCTGGCCTCGTCTTATTAACCGTCTTGGGCTTTTGCGCCCTCTTCTTCGCCGTTCAATATTCCTGCGGCTTCGTTGTTGGCACCTTGACGATGATCGAATCAAACCGGACCGATGCCTACGTAGCGGTTGATACACTTCCCTCCAACGACGAAGATGACACCATGCCAAAACCCCCTACCTCCGATGCTCTTCTCGAACCCGAAGTCTTACTCGTAAAGAACACCCCCATCACCTCCTCGATCCGCCGCACAATCAACCATCTGCGTGCACGCTACGGCTACTTCTCTCGCTTCCGGGGTCTTTCACTCTTCCTCTGTCTAACTATCGCGCGCCTCTTCATCATTCAATTCGTCTGCTTCCCCAAATTCATGACCAACTGGATCGGCTTCTGCTTCGCTTCCGTAGTTGCAGATTTAATTTTGGCGCGCTGGGAAATGACCTGGATTCACGTGGTCATTTCCGAACCAACACAGAAAAATTGGTGGAAACGTGCTCCTGCCATCAAGAACTGGACGAAGATCGCACCAGCTGTGGCTCTCTGGAGCATGGCAAGCCAGATTGCCAAAGTCATGCCGATTATCGTGGGCATGAGCTTTGGCGCTTTCAAGAGGATGGGTAATCCCGACTATCAACCCAGCCGTCGTGAGCTCGATGCTGCGGCCGCACAGTCACTTCTCGTCTTCGTCCTGGCAGTCGCTTTCACCATCCTCATTCAACTGCCGGCCACCGTCATTGTCGTCCGAGTCGCCGCATCAATGCTCCCAGAAGAGAACGAGACAGTCGTGCCTTTCGATCGCTCTTTTGGTGGGAAAGTCACACCTGCCATTATTGGCGGCCAGGGCAAGATCGGCATGGTCGAGGCATGGAAATCATTTGATTGGTCGTCAAGGATTCGACTCGTGAAGCTCATGGCTAAGATCTTCGCCATCATGACTGCTCTGTGGATTCTGGTCGTTGTTGTCATGATTGGCGAGGCTCATCTTATCATCGGATCAGAGAATATCAAGGTTATCATGGGTGCTCTTGGTGCGGTGTTGAACAAGCAGCAGTAGTCAGCCGTGCTGGTGAGTGGAGTGGACGCGGCAATTGGTCTGTAGGATGGACATCTCCACGAAGCAGACATCTCTCGCTTCTTCCATCATCAATAAATCAAGCTTGGTCTATTTCGACATTTCCGAGCAAGGAGCAACAAGTAGTAGTGAGTGAGACAACATCATGAAAGATGTACTACACAGGGATGGCGTAGAGCATGGGAAGTTCCGCGCATCTGTGTTTGGATTATGCTTCGTTCAATGTAATGATACCCGCTTACAGACATAATATAGATAAGCATTTCATTGCATTAAGGATGTATATATTTTCTCTCTTCTCAATAGAGATCTCATGTAAATTCTATTTTTGTTTACCCTAATAAATGCGGCGAATCTTGACCGCGCCTTGGCACTCAGTTGGGTTGGTCGTTTCTGCTGCCTGACTCAGGAATTAGTCACCTGGCTCAACTCCGGCTCACCCTCTACCCAGGCCGTACCGCTTTAGAAATATTAGATATATAAGAAGAGCCTTGTGCACTTAGTAAGGTACTCAGACAGCCTAAGGCCAGCCTAGAGAGCCTATCCCTTGTGGCACTGAATGTGAGACTTCCCTTCTAAGGAACAGCGTCTTTATAAGCTTAAATAGATTTACCGCAGGAAATTGTGCTTCAGCCTTGACAAGAAGAACACCAAAGTTGATTTATACTCAAATATATTTCGACCTGCAACTTATAACTTTATAGCTATAACAATCAGCCCTTTATAAGCAAAAAGTTTTAGTCCCAAATAGGAAGGATATCCATTCAGATGTATTCGGGAACACAAGGGATAAATTTTGGCACCCAGCTTCAGCCTAATGTCCATGGTGGAAATGCATTCCCACGCTAGCCAGGAACGTGTGATACCCTACTCGGTCTGTGCACAAACGAAATCCTGCTCCAAATAGTCGGAACTTCACAGTAGTCTGATATACTTCCCAGCCTGGTTAAATTCAACCTGAAGGATAATTGGAATTAGCCCGCTCTTGCATCCTCTACTCCCTAAAACTATTATTCAATCCTTGAAAAACGCTCTTAAAACTAAATTTCAAAAATGCTTTGTTTGCTTGTCTAAAGCGGCCAAGAATAACTCAATTACTGTGCATTGCGAAAGTGTTGCAATTCCTTGGCGCTACTCTCGAATTGCTGGCGCCGCGGGGCAGAATTGCAGTGAGGGCAGAGGATGGCCATTTACCACCTAATTATCGTAGTAGAATGCCTAAAATCGCCCGGATAGTAAAATAGACTCTCTTGTGACCTTACTGCCAAAATTTTGAGATAGAAAATTATGGTGTTGAATTGTGAGAAGCGTTCAAACGTAGGGAGAACTTTATAGCGCTTTTATAACGCAAATAGAAAGGAGGATATAAAGAGGATAGTAGGGAGTAGGATAGTAGAAAGGAGGATATAAGGAGGATAGTAAGGAGGAGGATCTCAAGGAGGAGGAGGATCTCAAGGAGGAAGAGGATATCAAGGAGGAGGATCTCAAGGAGGAGGATCTCAAGGAGGAGGAGGATAGCAGGGAGAAGGATCTTAAGGAGGAGGATCTTAAGGAGGAGGATCTTAAGGAGGAGGATCTTAAGGAGGGGGAGAATATTAAGAAGGAGAAGGATATTAAGAAGAAGGATATTAAGAAGAAGGATATCAAGGAGAGTAGTATTATTGGTTCGTCTTATACATAGAGTTAGATGCTATATTGAACAAGAGAGGGATATCCTCCTTGAGATCCTCCTTGAGATCCTCCTTAATATCCTCCTTAATATCCTCTTTAATATCCTCTTACTTAAAGTCCGCAGAATTCTATTTAGTTCACTGCTGGCTTTGATAAACGTAATCCACTCATTAAAAACTCAACACTAAAGGCCAGCAGTTGAGATAAGGCAAGATATAAGCGCCAGCAAGGTCTATGAGTAATTTCAAGCAATTTCTACGCGTTTTTCGTACGTGGGGAGCTATTCCTATATCTCACCACAATTCTGCCCCGCGGCGCCAGCAATTCGAGGGTAGCGCCAAGGAATTGCAACACTTTCGCAATGCACAGTAACTGCAGCCAGTCAGTGTGAGGAAAAGATTGGTCTCGTATTGACCGCACTTTCAATCCTCTAAACTTGGCACCTTTTTGGGAATAGATTTGCTTACCCAAGCAGTGTATTGCTTATCTTGTTGGCTGCTTTGAAATTGCGCTAGCTTTGCAGCCATATTTTCTGTGGAGCACAGCACCATGCTGCTTATTTGCGGGTCGGTCTCAAGACTCTTGAGAAACGTTGTGGCATGAGCGGCGTCGCCTACTTGAGAGATGAGGAAGACGGCCGCCGCGTCACGATAGGATTGACGGCTGAGGGCATCTTTGCAGTAACGGATAGTATTGCGCAGACTTTCTGGGTGCTCGTCGGTAGGCTATGAGATTGAGCATTGCACATCTATTAGCATATGGTGATGCAGACGAGGAGAATGTACGCTTCAACGAGATACAGAGAGTCATAAAACGTACTTGTCCGTCTGTAATGATGACCACGAACACCGGCCTTTCGAGCTTACCCGATGTTATTTTATCAATAATTCTTGGCCGCACAATTTTGTCATTGAGGACACTGCCCAGTCGAGTGTTGCCATAGAATGGTACGCTCGAAACTTTCACTGCTATGTCATGTGCATCCGTTAAGTTGTCATATCTTCTTGCATTGCCTTCATCATGATTCAGAAATCGGACTGATATTCCCTTCGGCTGGAGGATGGTGGCAAAATGAGCAACCTGTCGGAGGGTATCATTAAGCGCTGGAATACACTGCTCATCAAAAGTCATTGAGCTACTATCATCTAGGAATAAGCTGTTAGCTATCATCGAGGATGACTTCGACAAAGTTTGTAGCTAGCTAGTGAGACGATGAGCTAACCGCACAAGATGACAAAATCATAAAAGGCAAGTTTCACGAGTCCAGGAGTTACTTCAGGACGCAATCCAAGTTCTGTGGCGACGATGTCGGCTTGGGCCGCTGCGACTTCAGCAATAGATTTGACGGATTCTTCCGTCACATCGACAAAGTTGTTTATATTCTTTGCAACAAAGTCTTCGGCATATTCCACATATTCCTCTTTAGTTTGCGGTGGAGCGACGCTGCATGCACGGGCGGACTTTTCAACGGCGGGTTCTGTCACCAATCCAATTCATATAGACTAGGTGCATGCCTTACAGTATATTTTGGCACATCAGATTGATGCGACGGTGACTGAATCAAATTAGAAGAATCGTTCGTCTGAATCGGACACATACACCTCCTGTAGGTGCCCTGGGAGCTTGATTGATTGACTCGTGTGGCGGCCAGTGGATGATCGGAGGTGGTGGCTGACGGAAGAAAGGGAAATGAGCAAAGTGCGTTAGTGGACTGAGGCTTTCTAGCATATATTTACCACGAAGATAGTCACATTAGGTGTTTGCTCGCTTGCTGCCTCTAATGAGTACCCTGTGGCTGGTTGTGAAGGCTAAACAAGCTGTTATTTTGCCAGCTGACTGGTGAAGGAGCTGAGAATCACGTACTACTTCCCATGGTATTTCTGACGATGAATTGTAGGAGGCAGCGATTGGGTCAGTCTCTGGTATAAAGTCGTCTGAACTGACTGAACGGCCTAGGCAGAGTGAGCGCCAAATATCAGCCACTAGCTTCATGTTGCTCAGATGGTGAGACGCCCGCTGTAAATGATCAAAATGTTATCAGGATGAGTTTCTCTTGCTTTGCCTCAAGGATTCAGCTACGAAGCTGGAAAGAAAATATTAATGAAGACGGTGGGGAGTCCTTCTCTTTAGGCGTGTCCTCATACATCCAAGATAAGCGGTGCTTCCTTTCTCGGCATGACGACGGGTTAGCTCTAGTAAAGACAGAAATGCTTTCTTTGTGCAGAAAGATGTAATGGAGATGCAGTTGCGTTGGAAGAGGTGGAAAGCTCACCGAATATTTAGCCTACAATGCAAAGCAGTCCATCTGGAGGTCGCCCAATGTGGTGCAGCCACGTAGTCCTTGACCTCGTACAGTTGGCCAAAGTCTTGGCCAACCAAAGAATAACAACACCAAGGATATCTATCTCAGTACTTATTTAGGAAGTAACAATAAGCTCAAGATTACAGCAAGAGTCAGAATGTTAGATAAACTCAGGAACGCTACATACAAATTACTACTGCGGAGTCACGCAATCCAAACGCCGAATATACGGTTGCCGAATATACTGTTCCAAACGCATTTTCCGCACATTGACTTAGTCATCATCTAAGGTGGTGAGCAAGACAACATCATGAAAGATGTACTACACAGGGATGGCGTAGAGCATGGGAAATTCCATCTATATATCTGCGTTTAGATTATGCTCCGTTCAATGTAATGATACCCGCTTACGGACATAGCATAAATAATCATTGCATTGCATTAACCAAAAGCCTATACATTCCTTCTCTTCACAGTACAACGCCCATGTAAAATCTATGCTTGGTCTATTCTAATCAACCCCTTCACCAGTCACACCCATAAGGACCAATTCGTCGAAGGTGAGAAATCCCTAGAGACTACTCAAGATTTGGACCGCTCCATACAAAACCTCTGATATGATTTACTTCGCGTCGCTGCGATGTTTGTCTATAAATTTCGGTCTTTGATCCCGCCGGAGATATTCGGAACGGTCGCGTGTGATCTTCCTCCGTCCTTTCCCCTGTTTTTCTTCACATAGATTCTCCATCGTCTTTCGAATTCCCTTCGTTTCATCATTTCTTCAGTACTTTCTTCAGCGTCAGCGAGTTGAGCTCCGAACTTCAACAAGACGTCGATTAGCTCTTGGTATGGTGAGCATGGATCAAACAGGTCATAGTCCCGATTGCGGCAAGCTATCTTTATAGCCTTCTCCCCTTCCCCACTCGGCGTCTGTACAAGCTGTGGCCGTTTCTGCAATATATAAGTCGCAGTTTTCACGCTCGCACTGTTACCAAGATAGCATACGAAGTAGTTGTCGCGGGCGAAGACATTCCAATGATCCGGATATTTTCGCAACAACAGCTCCACAACTGCTCCCCCGTTTGAATCATTCCTTCCCAGCGCCGCCTCTAATTCGGTGAGTTCGGCAGTCGAGCAAGACAAAATCTGGATGTCCCAACCTCGCTGCAAATTTTAGGGGAGTTTGACCACTTGTATCAGGATGTTGTGCTAGCTCACTAACCCAACACTCTTCTGAGCTTGGAGGAAAACGTGCCCCAGTCTGATCTGCCTCAAACTCCAGTAACAGCTTGAGCATCGGGACGGCGTCAGGGCGCTCTAATATTCTCATTCTTTTACTCAGTGGGCGCAAACATAACAATTGATTGCTAGTCCAGCGTTCTTGTTTCGTGATATGGGCCCGCTTTCGTTCGAATTCCAATAAAATCCTAGTCACATCCACTCTAAACTGCTCAACGGCAACTTGAATAGGAATCTTGCCAAGGAAACCGTGGGCTTCCATAATGAGTGCGTCCGCCTTTGCAGGGTAAACGTCGACGAGCTTCGATAATGTCCGGCTTGACCCGTAGAAACAGCAGACATCGAGTGGTAGCTGCAGTGCGGATGACCATTCTTCATTTTTGGGGAAGAGGCGGGCCTGAAGTTCGTCCACACACTCAGCAAGGTCCCATATGCATACGGCAAGAAAAGGGTTGGGTGTGCGGTTGTTTTGCATGCAAACTAAGACTTTCTTTTGGAAGCGCCTGCACTGATTGTAACTTTCAAGGTGGTTTCCTGAGTCCTTAAACTCTTGGGGACTTAGATAGGTGATCACAAACCGATACCACCAAAGAAGTGCTGTATTAGGCTCGGTGATAACATTACTTAAGTCTCTGGAAAGCCCCGGTCCTAGCAACTGTGTTGATCCCAGCTTGCGGCAGTGGTAGCCAAGGTATTTGAGAGTGTATGCACTGAAACCTGTACCCTGCATACACTGAATAAGCATGTCACAGTTTTGTTCGTAATTCGTCTTTGTTACCCTGCTCGAGCAATCGAATCCGCCATTCTGCTGGACGAATCTCAGTTCATCGGGTATCCACATTGGATGGTTGGGTCTCATCATCAGCTTCAGACAAATCTCAAGCATCTCGCGATGGTTTGCGGTATCCGAGAAATCGTCTACATCAGCGAAATCTTTGTCCCCATGATTTTCAACTTTTTCCAGGAATAACCTTGCAGACTCGTGCGCGAATTGTAAGTACCCATCTTCGTTCTCTATAACGAAACTGTGACACCGTCTTCTGATATATTCCTCGTCAACTTCGTTATTGATCTTTCCGTCATTTTCGATGGATACTGCTTCTCTAACTTGCTTGAGGGTCAATGGTTTATAGGCGCTCAAAATAAGACGGTAGGTTTTGGCGGTGTTCTGTCGCTCATATTGAATCACATTGTTCGCGTATAGTCTTCTGTAGGTGGGGTTTAGATCTTTAGGGTTTGCCGTTCGAAGCTCCTTTAACTCTTTCTGCACCTAAAATTCAGTCCCCATACCAAACGTTAGCCGAGAACTCCCGACAGGGCGCCTTATGTGGCAGCCATTGCCACGGTCATCTAGACTCAGCTGCATATAGGCATGAGTAGGGGAGCCGGGAGACAGCGTAGGGTACACTTATAATGCCAGTTTACATATTGCGTAATGCGAAGGGCAAAGTCTTTCTTACCTTCGTGGTTGTTTCTAGTGGCGGCTTTGGAAAGAATATTCCAATTCGCAATTTCACCCATTGGAACCTTCGATGCCGTTCAATTATTAGTAAATGACGTCTATTGAAGGTTAATGGCTTAGCAAACTTACATGCCCATGGCGCGGTTTGTGAGCTCCCCTGCTACCTCTACGTATAAGCCCGTGCGAGAATCCAAGATACGATTTCCAGGCGTCTTCGCGCGTTTCTCCATTTCCGTCTCGATGAATGTGTGCATATCGTCTTTCGTCACGGTAGAGTTTACCCGAAGAGATTCAGTAATATTATCGCCGAAGTTCTCTTCGACTCTAACATGCAGCTGACTCGATAGCAGCAGACGAATAGACTGTGGCCGGCTTTGTAGAAGGTTACCCAGGATCTCAAGCAACTCATAACCGTTATCTTCACATTCGTCGAGAGCATCGATCACGATCGTGATGCGCAGTTTTTTTGGATCACTTGGGATCAATTTTTTCAGGAGTTCTTCACACTCTGTTGTAGAAAATCTGCAGTCGACTGGATTATCCAACTTGTGTTTGTCATACTCTTCCTGCACACAGGGTGCTATCGTTAGATCATTTGGGTTTCTTGCTAGCTGTCTTACTAGTGCACGGAGGCACTGCTTGCTATCTGATCGTGTTTCGCCGGGCTTACTACCTGTGCAGTAATAGTGTATTACTGGGTGCTCACCATGATCCCCATATTTAAAGTCTTCACGCAGCTCCTCGATGGCTCTGCACCTGCAATAGGGAGTCAGCCGTCAAGTCGACCCCTAGGAGAAATTTGCATACATCAAAGTTGTCTTTCCAGTTCCCACTGTATCGCACGTCAGACGCCACAAGAGGGTTTCGCAGTGATATCAGTTTTGCCTACCTGTACCTTTGAGCCACAGTACTGGCTTCGAGGCGGGCCGACCTTTTTTCCAGTTGTGATACTCGGGAGTTATGAACAGCCACTTCCCGCAGTCTTTATAGACCTTATCTATCCCGAGTGAGGCCCGCAAGAGCTCGTGGTCCCGCTTTTGGTTCGTGTTTGTAATCCAGGCGAGAATGCTGGCGTTGTCTTTCTGGAACTTCGACTCCGCATCCATCACTTCCTTGCATGCTTTGCACTGAGCTTCGATGGCCCTGAGTTCCTTGAGCATGTTTTGCCACTTAACCTTGTCGGCTATCAACCTACGGCCTTAATTCACAGCAGTCAGCTGCTGGCAACACTGGTGAAATGGTGGAGATTACCCAATCTTAGGGCCATGTGACCGTCCAAATACTTGTATATAGTGGCTGCAAGTTTCAGCGCTGCAAAGAATAAATCTGTCAGACGGCCTTTAAGGGCGTCAATCTGGTCCTTGGTGTTGATTAAGGACGGATCGTGTTGATTAAACAATCGTGTTTCGAAATGGTACCACCGCATCATCATACAAGTGATGTCGGAAAAGATTTCAATGACGAGCTCTCGGTATTCCAAACCCCGTGCTAACTGGAGAATAGGTTAACAAATATGATTTTTCGAACAAATGGTTTGCCTTCAGTTGGAGCGAAGTACCTTGACCAAAAGGAATAACGATGCGACCGCAAAAGGGGCGATACCGTGGGGATCCACACGCGATGCTATCATCCCGAGTTGCTGGAATGGCTCTAAAGCTTGCCAAAGTCTTTCGACATATATATGTGCTTTTCCGCTTTTGACCTGCTCCTTTGATGTCAAACCCAAACAATCAAAGACCTCCTCCTCTTTCAGCGACTTCTCTTCGGATGCTGACAACAGGACCTCAAACTCTTTCGGATGCTCCTTTCTTAAAAGCAATATGGCCTTTTTCCAGCAAAGTCCCGTCTTACTATCGTTTTTAGTTCCGGGATTGGTTACATCGACATTAGATGGCTTTCCAGGTCCAGGAGCATCCTCTAACCTCAATGGCATGTTGGCTCCATTTACCCCATTGAATTCAGATGGCATCTCAGACCCAAATCCTTGCCTAGACGTGGCGGCTTTCCCAGATCTTGGTGCGTTCTTTGGTCCGCTTGACTCCTCAGACTTGGGCGGCTTTGTGAATTTGGACGCTTCTCTGGATCCGGGGGCACCTGAAGACGCCTGCTGGGGACCAGATACCTCACTGATTCTGGTTGCTTCAACCGATTTCGGTGGCTTTGTGTTCTGAGGTGCCCTCGTAGATTTGGATTGCAGCTCTTTGGATTTAGACAGCTCGCTTTGATTGTTGGCAGCAGTATTCGCCGGATTTCTTGAAGCACCACCAAGTGATTGCGAAGACGGCTTCATACGACGCGGAATGATGCTGGGACGTCTTTCGCGAGAGCCTGAAAGAGGGGTCGTGCTCTGTACTAACTGAGGTCGATTTTCATTCTGAGCGTTACCAGGACCTGAAACCCCACTTAGCTCAGTGCGCCTGACAACTTCATCGACTTGTCGCTCGCTCCTTGATGGAGAGTCATTTGGTGCTGGAAGGCGTGTGCGAAACCATGGCATTTTACTTCGTCCTTCTTTACCAACTGACATTGGAAATTTGAGAAATCAAGAAGTCGGAACCGGGTTTGCAGTTTTCGGATTGTATAGAAGGAAGCTATTTGATAGTAAGTGATGGGCGAGCTGTAGGTTCGATAGTTAATAACATGACTATCTATTGAAACACGACGTGACAGCCAGCCATGAGGCGAATTTAGCCCCGTTGCAAACTGAGCCTCAACGGCCAAAGAGGCCAGTCTTAGCGATAAAAATATGGGAGCTGATACAAGGACAACTTCAAATATTAGTTGCGGAGCGTCAGCCCCTGCACTCTTTGCTTCACGTAAGTAATTACTTCTTGTTGGACCAAAAGGTCGCGGCCATCAGAGGACCGATAAATAGCTTATGTCTAACACTGCTACACGAGCTAACACGACTCAAAGCTGGGACACAGGCTTACTTTGTGCGTTGATCAGGAGCACAAACCTCCTCGGTCCTGATTTAACCGGTTTGCTGGGAGTTGCAGTGGGATCAGTTCCAAATCAGTCCCTTGCCAGTGTCAAAGTCGAACATGTGCGTTTCAGGCAGGGGGTCATTTTCGACCGGCTTGCCTTCGCCCCGCTCGGGCATTCAACCTTCTTGGCGAGTTTATCCTAACTTTGCATCAGCTACTCCTTATTAGTACTACGTAGGTACGTTAAGATTGGGTGTGGTGCTGCTGACTCAATTTTAAATGTTTGAGTATTTATTCGCACGCCAAACCTGCCGTTACACTAAGCTGCGGCAACGCTATTCTGAATAAGGCACAGGCACCCATTCATTAACACCGGGAATAGCCCTATTTAGAGTAGTAGTAGGACTCATCTTGTTAAAATATTTGTACGGAGTACAGAAAACGTGTTGTTGATTTGTTGATTTGTTGACTTGCTTCGGCTCACTTTCGGCGCAAACTGTGGTCCTGCAACCCCTGGTGCTGGTGGTGCTGGTGCACATTGACTTAGTCATCGTCTAAGCCATATAGCACGGCTGAGAACTGAGGCAAACACAACACCTTTTCCTACCTGCCGACGGCGCGAACTTTGCAGCCACTTGTTATTGACGGTGCAAATCTAATTCATACCTCTTGAATCTGGGCCTTCGGCATACAATGCTGGAATAGCCTGAGATACACTGAACACCGAAAGTACCTCGTGAGACTTTCACCATGAGCCGAAGCAACAGGCTCGGGCCGCCAACCGATTTTCTTTCCCTGCCGCTTGAGATCAGAATACAGATATACGATAAAGTTTTTGAATATTCGACCTCTGCGTGTCAGCGGAAGACGGAGTTCTCCGACCACCGCAACTGTTCGCCACGCGCTATCACTCAGAAACGCATACACTCACAAATGCTGCAGTTAGCATTGCAACGCTGATTTATGATCTCCTTCTAGGTGATTCTATAGCTTGCCTCTTCTATGCGTATATATAGCGGTCATCCTACTCCTCAGGAGTTGGGATAGCAACTCAATCAATTCAATTGAACCCTCTCTCTCTTGATACTGCTTAGTATCTCCGTACGCTATTTGCTGCATACTTCTAACACTGCGCAGTTCGAAGTCTCCATCGATGTCGATAAATACGCATCTTCGAATACAGGCCAGCTGGTTCTTCAATGTTCTAGGCAGCCAAAATGCCATTTGAGCCTTGCGATACTTCGATGTAACAAGCAGATATACCGAGAAGCACTTCCAGCGTGGTATAACCGTTGCGTCTTCTTCCCACTAGCAGATGAAGGTGTCATCGCGACCTTCTTTGGAAGAATGTCCGATTTCGCTCGTTCAAACATACGCAAAATACACCTTAGGCCACGGCCACAGAAGATCATACGCCGTGTTGGACCACAGGCAACAATATCAGAGTTACTACGAGCCCCCTCATGGACCTCAACGTGCGACACAATTCCAGTCCTCCTTTTTGCCTTAGAGGAAGTGTATATACATCTGCACCCAATGTATGGTATTGACCTTGGACGAGGAAATGGGATGGACTGGATTATCCGTCCACTATCTCGCCTTCGAGGGGCAAAGAAAACACTTGCTTCTATTGGAAGTGGATCGCAGAACACAAAGACTGCTGAGTTGGTGGGAATATGGAATGAATTAGTGGAGAAGGCCGATACAGAGGCAGCAGAGTATATGGCCTGTAAAAATCGAATGCTTGAAGGTAGAGTAAATTGGTCAAGTCCTTATTGGATGAAGAAGAGAAGCGAGCTACAGAATACCCAAGGATCTACCTAAGTCTTCAAACAAAAATGCTCTAACTCAAGTCTCATCTAACGCCAAACAGAGCAAGGCTCTCCGTCGGAATTAGCCTGATTGTCGCTGTCTTGACAGCATATACGCCTCAATGATTCTCGTTGCAGCAGATTCACCGCTCCAATACGCACCGGTCGACGTCCCCAGTGCGACAAATGGAGCCGTGTGTTCTCCTGCAAACCAGATACCTCTCTCTGGCAGCCCGTGCCGTAAGGTCAGAAAATGATCATCAATGGCCGGATCTTCATTAGACTGTTCCCCACGTAGGTGAGTCTTGAAATTTGTATAAGATCCCTTACCGGCAAATTCATCGTTTTGCCAATTTGTGGCAAGGACTTCAGTAGGTATACAATCCGGATGACCTTCTTCGTAGTTTGGAAGTCGACTATAGAAAGGTCGAAATAACATGTCCATAACCTTATAATATTCGTCACTGGACGGATTCAGGCTCGCGATGGCTGATGTCATATGAGCGGCGGATGCACCCCAAAGGCAAAACATGATCACAGGCCGAGCGTCGTCACCAAATATAGTAGGTGATGACAGCGCTACCATTTCTAATGTCCATGAGCTCTGCTCTTCTGGGACATAGGAAGGGCGGAGGAAACGTGTAAACATTGGGAACGTGTTCTCTGTGGCACGGGTTGCGTCTTCGTCTTTGAGGGCACTCATGTTTGACCTCTCCCAAAAAGGTGCAGAAAAAGCAAGGAAAGCCTTCTCCAGGCGGCCGTACGACGTGTCTTTGATAGCACGATGGACGTTCTGAGGAAGTTCGGGAACAAACTGAACGGTACCCATTTTCAGACAACCAAGCGGAATAGTGACAACCACTGCGTCGAAACTAAAGTTTCTATTTGCGGTTTTTACGACCACTCTCCCAGCTCCCTTTTCCTCATGCCGAGCTTCTATGCTCCGAACAATGGTTGAAAAATGGATGTCGCCACAGCTTAACGCAGCCTCGGCAGTGCGATTGATGATGGCCCGGTGCGTATTCGACACGAAAAGATTCTCTGGAAGTCTAATCAGAACAAGCTTCGCATTGTGGCTTTGATAACATACCTCCCTCGAGACACTCTTCCAGCCAGAACCATTTCAAGCTCTGTCTTTCAAAAGGATCACCAACGAAGCCACCCCACATTTCTGCGAGCTCCATGACAGTACTTTGAGCTTCCTTGTCTAGTTGACTCGCTGATAGTCTTTCAATGAAATAATCCTTTAAGCTTCGATTCGGTGCTATGCCGTTGCAATCCTCATCACTGTATTTGAAAGCATCCGCGAGAATGTCCCAGAAGGTCGTGTCGGCACTCAAGACTTTCTGAGCATTCATATGCATCCCAGCAGAATCGTATACATATGTGCTTTCATTAGGGGAAATGAGTTTGCAGTTGACATTTTCAGCAAGTTTAACCACTGGATTATCATCAGTGCCATGAATCCAGTTAGGCCCCCTACGCGTTGATTAGCTGAGTAACTGAGGTTAGTGATCTTGTAGCCTGCTCACATATCTACCAGTTGGCCAGCAAGGCTGGATTGGTGAATCTATCAAAAACTTCAGCTCTAGGCTTTGTTCTGGGTGCTTTAAGGGAGAACTCACGCGGCCACCTAGTCTACCCCGTGCTTCTATCATAGTAACAGCGAAGCCTTCTTGAATAAGAACCTCTGCACATCGCAATCCAGCCAGTCCAGCTCCAACGATTCCTACCTGGAACGTCCGATGGGTTTCGGTTTCGGTTTCGGTCTCGGCAGCAGGCACATTCTTGACCGCCGGCGGTAGGCGCTGCTTGAAGCGGCGTAAAAGATTCTCGGAATAGCTTGTAAGATCGTCCATCATCCGGTTTTTCTGGCCAGATGAAGTAGAAGCCTTGCCCGGATGAGCTCGGCCCTCCATTGCTTTTTCCACTTCTTACACCTCTCTTTTCATCTTGCTACCTACCTATCTTTTCATTTCGCGGGAAAGTAGAAAACTATGTTCCCAGAGCTACAGGAGAATAATCACCAGGCCCTGACTCATAGGTAACGAGGCTGGCGCTCTGCCACGTCATGAGATCGCCTAAGTTAAATTTGGCGAGTGGCAGCCAATCAATGTCGCAGCCTTGTTTCGGGATCCTGCCGCTCGTGCAGTCCCAGCTAAGTACTCCGTACTTCAAGTAGGTTTACAACAGAAACGAGTTTTGCTTCCTCTAGATTTGCCAATGCGTGACGTACTGCGGTTCCTTTCAAAGTTCATCCTCGCCGCTCGACCTATCAGCACTATGACTGAGGCATTCGCCGTTGTTGGATTCGCTACTGCTCTCCTCCAGCTTGTTGAATTTGGTACCAAGATCGTCAGGCGGCTGCGGGAAATCGAAGACTGCACATCAGAGGGTGCAGCTTACTTTAAAGGTTTACGCATTCGATTTCCCTTCATGCTAGACCTTGTCAGAAAAATCATGCTACAAATGGAAGCTGGCGTTGTCAGCGATAAGTCCAAAGAAATCATGTACCCTGTGGTACAAAACTGCATCACGCAGGCCCAACAACTCGATAAACTCATCAGCAGGAGTTTGCCTCTTCCGAAAGACAACTCTTGGATGCGAGGGAAGAAAGCTGTCTATGGAGTTTGGTCTGAGTCTGAGATTGAGCGAATCGATGCCTCGTTAAAATCAGACCTTGAACTACTAATGCAAGCGGGCACATTCCAGAAGGTCAATCGCTCAGAGCATTCTGAAGCTGTAACTTTCGCGCCAACTTTTAGCATTGCACCAAATATCCAGCTTACGTTATCGCAGCAGCAGAGTCAGTCTGCACCATTGCCGTGGGAAGAGCTCGAGAGACAAGTTCACCCTACGCAATCGATATTTATGGTTCCATTTTCACGAGATTCTAATTTTCTGGGTAGGCAGGACGTAATTGATGTCGTGTCTGAGAAGTTCAAGAAGTGCCAGTCAGTGACACTCTCAGGCTTAGGTGGAATCGGGTAGGTGAGATTTCTGTCTGAATGTTCCACCTGTCCTTCGACCCTTGAAGGGCGAAATGGATGGTAAGCAATTGCTAACAGGCCGTGATTGCAAAGCAAATCGCAGATCGCCATAGAATACTGCTATGTTTTCAGAGACACACGCCCATCTGCCCAGGTCTTCTGGGTGCATGGAACCGACCCAGTTCACTTCGAACAAGGTTATCAGGAAATCGCCAGGAAAGCTCGCATTCCCGGCTGGGATGATTTGAAAAAAGAGAAGCTGAAGCTCGTGCAGGAGTGGCTTCAGGACGAAAACACCGCAGAATGGCTCTTGGTTGTGGATAATGCCGACGACGCGACCATGTTCTACAGCAAAAGATCAAGCGAGCTTGGCAGACTTCAGAACGGTTCAAACTCACTTGCTCGGTTCTTGCCACATTGCTCCCACGGCCGTGTGCTCATAACCACAAGGGATAGAAGGCTCGGAGAAAGAATCTCGCAAAGACAAGGGATCATCCAGATTGCGCCGCTTAGCGCAGAAAATTCAAATAACCTTCTACGCTCCAAGATTTCGGAAGAGAATTGGTCCGAAGATGATGCGCTGAAGCTTGTGGAATACCTTTCTTCTCTACCATTGGCCATTACCCAAGCAGCAGCTTTCATTAGCGAAAACAGTGTTACAGTCTCGGAATACCTAGAGATGTTAGTAAATGACGAGGAAGACTTGAAAGAGCTTCTAGATGAACACCTTGAGGACCCACGACGGGATTGGAGATCAGAGAACTCCGTGATCAGGACTTGGAAATTGACTTTCGAACAGATTTCAAAGGAGTCCCCCCGTGCCGCGGAGCTACTATCGCATTTAGCGACTCTTAATTTCTACGAAGTTCCCCGGTTGCTCTTGCGCAATGATAAAGAAACTGAGATCGGGTTCCGGACTGCTCTTGGCGTTCTCCAGGCATTCTCCTTAATTACGGCGACGAGAGGTCAAAATCCAATATGTAACATGCATCGACTAGTCGCTCTTGCAACACAAAGATGGCTGGAACTTCGTGGAACTCTTGAGTATTGGCAAAGCCGGGCTCTCAGCACTGTGGGACGAAGGTTTCCTGGCCCGGGACAACAGCACTTTAGAGAGTTCACAAATATGATCGCACTGATGCCCCATGCCCAGGTGGTATTAGGCTATCAATTCACTTCAACCAATGACATGTTAGCGTGTGCAAAGCTTCTCATATCGACAGCACTTTTTGATCTTTCCAGGGGTGAATATCAACAGGCCTCTGACAAGTGCGAACGCTCTCTAAAGATACGTGAAAGCTTACTTCCTCCGGATCACCCCGAAACACTAGAGAGCGTCCAGACGTTGGGTGAAACTCTCTTGCATCTTGGAGAATTCGGCACGGCCAAAACCCTACTACAAAGAGCGATCGTGGGCAGAGAAAAGAGCCTAGGTCCGCTCCATGTCGATACGCTGGACAGTCTGAGTGATATCACCATCACTTATTTGGAGCTAGATGATCTGGAGTCAGCAGAGACTACCGGTCGAAAAGCTTTGGAGAGAAGGGAAAAGGTCCTTGGGTGTGATCATCCTGAGTATTTGGTCAGTCTGAATATTATGGCCATTTTGTACCAGCTCAAAGGAGATTATCTACATGCGCTGGAAACGACGGAGAGGGTGTTTAAAGAAAGAGAAAGATTGATCGGGTCTGAATGTCCAAACACAGTGACAACTCTCAACAACCTCGCTTGTTTAAAGTATCGGATGGGAGATCTGAACTCGGCGAACCAATTGCTTGATAGAGTCCTCGAGTGCGAGCGGTCAGCTCTTGCGGGGAACACATATGACCTCCAGGTCAGCTTAAGCAACAAAGCTGCTGTACTGGCCGCGCAAAACCGCTTTCAAGAGGCAAAAAGCGTGCTCGGAGACGTTCTCCGAATGCGAGAGAGCACCTTGGGCCCATCTCATGCTTTGACGCTATTCACCATGGAAGCTTTAGCTGATGTCCTTGGAGCTGGGGATGATGCCGAAGCTGCAATGAAGCTACGTGCAAAGGTCGGGGAGGACGGTACTACGAGACAATCGCTGCCAGGAGTAGGTGTCCTTCTCCGGGCAGGGCTCCTCTTTGACTAGACAACGGACAAAGGTGCGCGCCCGTATGTATTGATATTCGTGACGGGGAGGATGCTGAAATAATTCGATAGCCTTACGATATTGAGAACACGACCTTTTTAAGACCTAGCGGTACTTTCAACTCGACATTATGTAGTATTATGCTGGGTGAATGTATCCCTTGTGCTGCGTGCGGCTGGATCGAATTGCAACACTTTCGCAATGCACAGTAGTGCATTACGGCGGACTATAAAGGCCAAACGGCCAACTCAAGGGCTATTTAGGACTAATTTAACGGTCGATTCAAGCGTATAAGGAGTAATCTGATATATAAAATTAGATTAACAATGGATTAAGCAATAATTAGACTTAGTAATCATCTTATTCCATGGAGATATTGACTCCCCTTGAGCAGCAGCGGAGTTGAATATTGAATAGGCCGTTTGGCCTTCATAGTCCGCCGTGTTAGAGGATGTAGCAAATAGCGTACGGAGATACCAATTGAATTGATTGAGTTACTCCTATCAAGAGGAGTATTTGCTCATACTAATAGCTATAGAAGCGCATTACTGTAACAGCTCAGAAACAGCATTTGGCGTTCAATTCGTATAGCAATGCTCACTGCCATAAATAACAGGGCGTAACAGTTACAAGAGCGTTTCGTGCGTTTTGCATGCGGGGACCTTGTACCATCATGCTAGTACGTAACAGATACGTATCATAAACGCAGGGATTCTAACACGCCGTACGGATGATCTGCACATATGTAGTAAGATAATGGGGTGGAGAGTGGGGAGGGGCCGAAGGGCTTGGAGAAATTTCACACAAATACTGCAAAATTTCAATATCTCTTTTTTGCGACAGGCACCTTCCAAACAGAACGAAATTTTCTTCCATTCTCAGCCTGGATTTGAGAGTGTGACTCTGATCCAGACCAGGATGTCGGAAATTACACACCCTTCTATAAAAGGTATGGTTAGCCACCCACCTCTTCGCTAAGACACCGGCGTTGCCGAGACGCCCCCAGCCCACGCTGCATTTTAATAGGTTGTGCCTGCTAAAGTCTTCTGTGTACTCCGTATAGACGGTTGGTTCCACGAGACCGGAGAGCTATGGCCGGGCCAGGCAATGACCCTCAAAGTTAACCATGTGTTGCACCACGAGAAGTCCAAATACCAAGACATCCTGATCTTTGAGTCCAGCGATCATGGCATCGTCCTTGTCCTTGATAACGCCATCCAATGTACGGAGAGCGATGAGTTTGCGTGAGTGTGATGAGTCGCACGCATGTGTAGCCAATTCCGAAAACGCCCAACATTGACCAACGTTCTCAGTTATCACGAGATGATCACTCACTTGGCCATGAACTCTCATTCGAATCCGAAAAAGGTTCTCGTCATCGGAGGCGGCGATGGAGGCGTCTTGCGTGAAATTGTCAAACATTCATCCGTGGAAAGCGCAGTGCTATGCGATATCGACGAGGCCGTGATCCGTCTTTCAAAAGAGTACCTGCCGACAACGAGCATTGGATTCCAACACCCGAAGGTCAGCGTTCATCACGCAGACGGGATGGAGTTTCTCCGCAATTGCAAGAACGAGTTCGATGTTATTATCTCCGATGGCACGGATCCGGAAGGACTGGCGAAAGGTTTCTTTGAGAATTCATACTTCGAGCTTCTCAACAATGCCTTAAGGGAGGGTGGTATAGTCATTACACATAGTAAGTGGAACCAATTTCCTTCAGACCTCTTTTCAACCCGGGCGTTGCAAAATTTATTCTGGTCAGGGTGTGCTAACATAATAATCACTTAGCTGAAGACCAATGGCTTCGTCTCCCCATGCTCACTCAATCACGGAAGTTGTGCATCGAAATTTTCCCTAGCGTCGAGTATGGATATACGACAATTCCCACATACCCCTGCGGTCAAATTGGATTCTTGATCTGCTGCAAGGAAGAGAATCGCAATCTAAAAGAACCGGTACGCTCGTGGGACGAGGAAACGGAAGAGAGGCTGTGCAGGTACTACAACAAGGCAATCCACAGCGCGGCGTTCGCGCTACCTGTGTTCATCAGGAAAGCTCTCTCGTGAACAAGGAATGCTTTACTCTGTGTTTTTATCAGCTTGGCGTGGAGCTACAGATAGCCCGTGTTCTGTTCTGTTCCGCACTGAAGTACTACGTTCGATTGATTCTACCAGCCTTTGAACAATGCTAGTCTCCACTACCCGATATGCATAGCAACTACCCGCCCGTACACATTCGAGCTTTTTTCTATTCGCCCCACGATGTCCCTCCCGAAAGTTCCACGAGATGACTCTGAAAAGGGTATGCTCTATAACGTATCCCATCGAAGCTCGGGCGCATCTCTAGCGTTTTAGACCATGGCAGAAGCTCTGAGACTTATAAAGATTAGGTCGATGTCCTCCACAGCTTCTTCTTGCTCTACCAACTCTTCTATCACGCTTTCCACAGACAGGCAACACCTCAGTCACAAGACAAACCAATCCCGATTGTCACCATGAAGCTTTCTGCTATCGTCGCCGCTGCCCCACCCACGAACAATGGCGTGTGGCAAGCAGAGAGGTCCGGGGCTCATCCCGCCCTATTTTGATGATATGTGATTGAATTCGAATTCAGAGACATCACAACCTCGATCCACGCGGGCAATAGCCTCAGCACCGTAACATTTTGCACAAATTGTTAAGTCGCTCACATGCAGCTATCGGATGCTCAACCAAAAAGCAAGTAACCTTAGCTAAGGTATCCTAGAATTCTGCGAATAGGACAGCCAGTGTTTCCTTTGCTTTGCAACGACCATACCAACTAACGCAGTCCTCGATGTTAGGCGCAACACTTGACTGGTATGGTGGTAAGCGTCAAGATAGTGAAGGAACAAGTTGGCATGGATATTGAAAGTATTTTAGGATTCGGATCTGATTTGTGATAGTGAATTTCACTACATGCATTAATCCCATGAAGAAAGGCAGTACATGATCGAGTAAAGAGACGAACCGGCACCACCCCTGCATTCGGAAATGACGATGTACCATGTCCTCTTCTCAATCAGAACGGTCTCGGCATATCGATGCAATTCAGAGTGACTCCATGGGAGTGGCTCCGCTCATGCAAGGGTCTAACATTTTCAATAGCAATGCATTATGTTCCTACGTTGGTGAATCGCAAGTAGGGTTTCACCTCCCTAATATCATTGCATTTCTTCTTTTCGTCTTCCGTGCTCACTGTCAGTGGAACTATAGCGTCCCCGCCCACCTTATAATTTATTGGCGTAGTCACCATTTTCCTTGTCACCTGTCTGTAGGCTGTCGATCACACGCAAGACTTCTGAGGCGGTACGACCCACTGAAGCAGGATAAAGCGTTATCATCCTAATCTTCTTGCTTGGATCAATGATAGGGACAGCCCGAATGGTCAAGGCTATTCTCTTCTCGTCGATATTGGCCAAGTCTTGGGCATCTAGCATGTCTTAGAGGTAGGCGGTCTTGCGATCAGCGTCCGCATTGAGTGGAAATTGTGGATTTGTCTTGGAGACCTCGTTGATGTCCTTGAAACAAGATCGCTGGCACTCAATCCAGTCGTTTTCGCACTTCTTCTCCCAACTCATCCTTCATCTTAGCGAAAGCTCCCAGCTCTATTGTGCAGACAGGTGTGAAGTCTACGGGATGGAGAAGAGAATTGCCGAGCTGTCGCCAATGAAATCATGAAAATCAATGTTGCCATGAGTACTTTTGGCTTGGCAGTTGGGTGCAATTGATCCCGGCCGCAGTCTTGGTTGCTGGAATTGCATAGTGGGGTCAGAAAGGCGTACTGAGGTAATATGGTCACCGTGGATGGGTCTGCCACAACGGAGCTGTAAGGGAGCGCAGAAAGATTCGAGAAGCTGCGGACAACATTGTGATTTCCTCCTAAGAACGATTAAGTGTCTCTGAGAATGACTTGCACTCAGAAAAGGGACACATCCACCACTCCGCCAAAAGGACAAAGGACAGCGCCGATGGGTTTTGAACCACACTTAATTGATGTACCTCTCTCCCCCGATTAGATTGCATCATTGCCAAGGTTTGTCCGCGAGTAGTAGTACTACTATAGTAGTGCAAACATGCCAAACATAGAACTTCGAGAACACCCTGATTGCCAAGATATTTGTCCTGATGACGGCGGTTGAATCATGGGGTGCAAACCATCCCCTTGCAGGATGAGATACCACATCACTCGGTGACCCTTTGGTCGTACAATATGTAATTCTGAAAAGAGCACACATCTCGGTCATACGGTCATACGATCATACGCTTAAAACACACGAGGAAGCACACATTGCATCAACACCTACCCCACTCAGCGCCACTCACTAAACTCCCAGCGCCCCTGGATCGCTCGTCAAGCAGTTTACCTCTCTCCCTACCTCCTCTTCGTACTACCTGTTCAGACCTGCTGCCATAGTTTGATACCCAGCGCCATGTCGACAATTCCAGCGGCTGGATTACTGGCCCGTCAACTCAAACAGATGCAAACCGATAAAGATATTCCTGGAATCTCCTGCGGTCTGGCCGATAACAACATATTTGAGTGGGAAGTGATGCTTATGATCAATGATGAATGCAAGTTTTATGGAGGTAGCGATTTCGTATCAGGGTTCAGAAACAAGCGCTGAAATGTTCTTGCAGGTGGATTTTTCCGAGCAAGACTATCGTTTCCATCCGAATACCCACATTTACCCCCCAAGATGAAATTCGAAACTCCTATATTCCACCCAAACAGTACGCAGCCTAAACAAAGGTCATGGTCAGGACTTTCTGATGGATGGTGTAGTCTATCCTTCTGGCGAAGTGTGTATTTCAATCCTTCACCCCCCAGAAGAAGACAAGTATGGTGAGTGTTGGAAATCGTTGTGTCTATGGGCTATAGTGCTGAATAGGTGACAGGCTATGAATCTGTATCGGAAAGATGGTCACCTGTTCAATCCCCCGAAACTATACTATTATCAGTCATATCAATGTTGAGCGGCCCTAATGACGAAAGCCCTGCAAATGTCGAGGCGGCAAGGTTGTGGCGAGAAGACCCCAAGGAGTTTCGAAGGAGATGCAGGAAGAATGTGAGGGAGAGCCTCGGAGACGAATGAAGAATATTTTTTGCAAGTATGAGGAGTTTAGTTTGGTCTAGTGATGTGACGTGTGCTATGCATCATGGCTCAGCTATCGGCGTTTCCTGGTGTCACACCACCAAGGAGGTTGGCATTTATCTTCGGTATGGTGAATAGGATAACTCAAGCTAAGTACGTTCTCAATCAGTGCGGAATCTACGCCCTACTATTGCTCTGAAGTTCGCTTGTCGTTGCTGAAGTTCTTTGTCTTGCAGTGATTGCAGTAGTTATATCGAGACAGTGACAACGCTTGTTCGCTCATGGCTTGCGGTTGTGAATATACCCAAATTCATCTTTCTCAAATCGGCGTTCATTATCAGTACCACTTCATGTTGATCGGCAACGTCGGTCACTCTTGGGTATTTATAGCTTGATTATCTTTTCACAGAGGGAATCGAGGACTTCTCACAATCTTTGTTTCTCATTTCCGACCTGTGCTCAAGTCTCCCTTTCACAATGCCGGAAAGATCGGTTCACAAACGCAGACATCCTACACCACCTTCAACCGATTCAGATGCTGCTGCGCAGGCTAGCAGTCTCACAACAAAACGCCTGCGTAAAAGTATGTCTAGGAGAAGATCTCCCAGCAGTGATTCTCCGGGAAATGGATCAACAGGGCACGCAACTGCAGGACAAACAACGCAAGGAGAAACAGTCCCAATGCAACTAGGTCAACAAGCATTGCAGGCCAACCTGTTGGCTCTCAACACATCTGCCCACGGACAAGGCCAAACTGAGGCGCAAAATGGTCACCGAACAGCAACAGGCGAAGAGACTTGCCCAGGACCATCTCAGACAAGTACATCCAATCAGAGCACGAGATTGCACGGTGGTGGATTCATACCGCAAAACCACAATCAGCCCATGCTGCTGCTAGGAGAAGCATCGATGACGATGCCAGGACCGAATCTTTCGTCGTTCATGAATGAGTTCGTTTTCGAGGCCTTGGAGTTGTCACCGTCCTGCTTTCCCAAAACGAAAGCATTACATAGATCACCAAAGAATAAACTACAGCTTCTCAATGGTGTTTCATTGCTGCCATCTGGTTACAATACTCAGAGTAGTACACCAGATACGTCTGTCACAACATCTGTGACATCCACGTATCCACCGATTTTGTCAACCTATGAGCTTGGAGGGGGTGTGCAGCAACAGCCGTCACAAGTTTCCTTGGCCTTGCCGCAAGCTTATTCTGTTCCAACCGGAGTGTACCTGCAAGGTGGCGTTCAGCAGGCTCATTTCACACCTCCGAACTTTATCAGCGTTGGCCAACCACATCCCCTCAATCAAGCACCACAGCTGGGACATCTATCTCAGCAGTCCGCTTTACCTTTGCAGGCGGGCGCTTTTGCAGAAACAGCCATCTCATCAGCCCAGGCAGGGCCGTCGCAACACCAAACTGGCAATCTCGCACCTCCATTTCGCCAAAATGCTGCCACTTACAACAATTTCCTCGATCCTTCTGCTGGATACGACGCCCAGGTCAGCTATGGCCAACAGGAACAACCAAATAGTGCATCAACGCATACAGAGTCAACCCCTCACGCAGCGCCGATATTCTCGCCGCATCCCCAGTCCGGTACGACTTATGTGTGGCCCACGCTACCCGAACCACAGCAGAACCCATTGCCACGACAACTTCCGCCCGTGCAACAAGATCTGACTCCACAGCAGAATACGGCAGCACAGCAGGCCCCCCATCCACAACGGACGCCCCCACTCCATGCCCATTCTCACACCAACCTCCCCATTGATCCTCAATTAGCCAGCTCATCCTACCTCTGGGCCCAACTCGAAGCAACGCAACTAACCATGGTGGGCATCTTAACTGCTCTACTTGTTCGAACAAGGAACCTAAATGAAGATCGAGGTGAAGAGGCAGGAAAAGCAGGCGGGCAGGGGTTTCTGGACGGTGTGGAGGGTTTGGATATCGATATTGATGAGGCCCAAGTGCAAGCCATCACGAGGAATTTGATCAATGTGATGACGCTTTGGTGGTTGGTTCGAAGGGAGAGGAGATGGCTTTAGTGAAAATTCGGAGTTCCCTCAGGGCAAGTGGGGGTTGAGATGGCACAAGGACTTGCTGGGATATCCGGAGGATGGGTGGCCTAGATTGGAATCTGGAAGGATATGAGAGTTCCGGGAGGATCGCGAAACGGAGCGTGGCATCGTATGTATTAGGTGCTCTTCGGACAGATCCTCTGTGGTCGCGATGGACTATTATAGATATGGTACTTCCTAGGACAGGCGACTGAATCGATGAGATCTTCACCAGGACAATCGTTGCAGCACTGAACTCAAGTCCTGGACTTTATGCTTGAACGTTAGCGGAAGCCCCTTGGAACCTCCCCTGGCAACGAGGAAGAAACTTGAATCAGCCTAACAGTACTTACTAGTAGTATTGCTAGTCACTAGGCTTGGCAAGAGATGTCCTCGATACTAGTAGTCAAGTTTCTTACCACCCGAGTGGCGTACAGAGGGCGCGTGGTCCATAGATCTAGTAAGCCAGGTTTGCTACTCACTGCTATTATGGAACAACGCCATACTTGATCTTCATATCGAAGCCCCTCTGAATCTGCAGATTTCTCAATCTACAAAAGAGCTCCAGCGATCGTCTTTAAGACTCAATCCTTGTCCTCCCGTCAGACACTGAGCCGCATTACTTATATGCTTCGTGACGCCATGATTCTCGGCCCAGCCCCGTTCGTGAAAACGATCTAGCTGCATATACGGGATTGCAAGCAGAAAGTTGGTACCAAAACTGGTGCCTTTGCACCCGTCGAGTTACGTCGTAGAAGCAGACGGCGCTACATAGCCCACGGAAGGTCATACTCGGAAGGTGATCATGGCCACCACCGTGGCAGCGATAGCGCTCATAGAATGCTGCGGTCGGCGCTATTGAATTGGGGTGATTGACTTGTGCCGCTAACGAGTGTGCTGGCAGCAGGTGGAGGACGGGCAGGTACTGCGATTGCAGCGTTGCACACGTGCCACAGGGTCTAGATAGTTGCGCCCTGGTATGGCTATCTCGAGGGTGAAATATATGTTTCCTCGTACATGGCCATGAGACAGGCGTGTATTGTGTCATGTATCATGTGTCATGGTGGTGCGACTGCGGGTTCACCACAACGCTGAACGGCATGTCAGGGTGTGCCAGTTGTTTGTCATCTTACCGTGGGTCACCAGATTGCAATTGTTCACCATTGAGTAGTCCCGTTTCGACCTTGAGATGACCGAGTTTCAGATCGGTAAGGATATACTTGCAGCCTTGAAAATTTTCGCGAATAAGTTGTCTCAGCGAAGGCCCCGTGGAAATCATGCAATAATCTTTAACAATGGGATTTTGTTGAGCCAAGAGGACCGCAGCCACAAATCAGCCGATCACCAGCTATTTGTCTGACAGATTTAATATTATCCCGGTAGATTCTGAGTACCTGTGGGTGTGGGAAGGCGGCAGAAAATGGTACCCGGGCATCAGATTTCCCATGCTTTCCCACCCATTTCTGGGCCACTTCTAGGCCATTTCTGGGCCCCGTCGCCCGCCGCTTTAAGCTCCATGCAGGTGACACCCCGCGGCTGCTAGGCTCTATCCCTGGTGTCACTAGATACCTCCACTTCCTTATCAAGAGTGGCATTCCCGTGTATTTAGCGCGGTGATCTTGCCCCAGTCTTGGCAGAAGGATCATTAAAATCTTTTTGATACAAATTTTACATCGGATTTTCTCCAGTGAATCTTACATCTTTAAAATTCTAGGACGGTAGAGCTATCTAGAGCTTCGCCGTTATTACATAATATCATCTTCTTGATCAAAGGTCCTATAATTAGGGTTATAAAGGCACAGAAAGATGTAAAGGCACAATATCTTGTGTTCCTTTGCCAAGGCTGAAGCAAGCATTCTTGGCACTAAATCACGGAAGCACTATTCTTAAGAAGGAAGTGGAGGTATTCACTGACAGGGGTAATCGGGTTGATTGTCGTCACGTCCGCCGTTCTTTACACCCACCCTCCGTTCCTCCTCTTTTAGCTACTCCCAGCAATGTGAAAAAAGAATCCACTTCTGGACCACGGTGATGTTGGGTCCCAAAAAAGAGACCCTCTCGTTGTGATGTGGCTTTGCTGACATCGTTGGCGTTGCCCTCCCGACTCTGCCTTCTTCTCTTTATATCTACCAAGGCGCCCTCTCGAGGAGAGTCCTCTCCTACAGCAGTGCCTTTTCAGACCAGAAACCTCCATTACCAATGATCTTGGATCTTCTGAGCTTCGCTTGCTATCGAGATGATTGAGCCCTACCTCCAAATTGACCCTCCTGTCGACGCTCAGCATGTTGCGAGCGAACAAACACTGGCAAATATCCAGAGATCTATTGTATGAGGCTAGAGCGTACGAAGTTATTGTCTACAACAGCTACGTAGTATGTTACGGAACTCTTCGCTAGCTACCGTTTTAGTGTCATACCAATTAGGTTGTACGGCACTTGTGGCGTTGCTCTAGGTAGGGGTCAGGCTGGTAAGTCATTCAGAGCAATTTATGCCAAGGGGAGGCGCTAATAGGGCGCAACATGTCAGCTCACCCCCCGCTCTCAGCTTCGAAGCCTCCCATAGATAGGACCTGCCGTCTGATGGAAGTCTCGGCTATTAGGCCACCATGATCCCAACGTGGAAAGATCAATGGGTATGCATATTGTGAAGCATCTCCACCCCCCTCCTTTTCCACCTCAACCCCTTTAACTCCCCTTGGCTTCCCAAAGCTGTGCTTTACCTACCTCTGTGTCAAAATGCCGGTGGATCAACGCCCGGAAAGTTTGAGTAAAGTGATACACCCCCGGCGCGAGAGCTTCCATCCGTCGCCAGTCGACTGGCGTGAAGAAATTCTGTATTTTTTGCTCCCCGACCGCTTTAGCGATGAGCAAGCTGCCAGCCGCACACCTCTTGACCTCAACAATACCCCGTTCCCTCCAAACACGCCGGTCCCTATTCAATGGGATAAATGGGCTCAATCAGGCGGTGAGAGATGGCAAGGTGGCACCTTAAAGGGCTTGGAATCGAGGTTGAACTATTTGGAAGAGCTGGGTGTAACAGCTATCTGGATTGGCCCTGTGTTCAAGCAACGGCTTAATTTGAACACATACCATGGTTATGGCATCCAGGACTTTCTCGACGTGGACGCGCACTTCGGGACACGGGATGATTTAATCAGTGTCGTCAATGCTGCCCACAGGAAGAAGATCCGCGTGATTCTCGACGTCATCTTCAATCATTCCGCTTGGAACTGGAATTATGAAGGATATCAATCTGATCCCCCCTACCGGCCATGGCCCGGCTACTACAAAGATGTCTGTTGGCTGGACAAAGACGGCAACGAGACGCCGAGAGCTCTCACCGACGCCGACGGTGCCGTTTGGCCGATCGAGCTACAGGTTGCCAACGCTTACACCCGCGCCGGCAAAGGCAGCTTGAGTGGTGAGAAGCTCGACGACGTGCACGCAGAGTTTCGGCGAACAGATTTCGATGGCTCAATGCGGGACTTCAACTTTGACCGCGAAGCAACCCTGACAGACCTCGCTCGCTGCTACAAATATTGGATTGCCTTGACGGACTGTGATGGGTTTCGCCTGGACACACTCAAGCACGTTGGAACCGGTGTGGCTCGCAGCTTCTGCGGGACAATCAAGGAGTTCGCCTCTGGCCTGGGCAAGACCAATTTCTTCCTCATGGGCGAGGTGGGAGGCCCGGATTTGAACGCCGAGACCTACCGAACGATACTGCAATCGAACCTGAACGCAACCCTGGATATTGGCGAAAGCCGAGTCGCCTTAACAGGAGTTGCCAAGGGCCTAAGACCTGCCTCTCATTACTTTGATATGGTGGCGCAGTGGGACCGCTCGCTGGGCTCGCACCGCGACGCTGGACTACACCACGTGGTGGTACTCGACGACCACGATCACGTGTTTGGAGCCAAGGTCCGCTTTTCTACCGATGCAGCCACTCACCATCAGGTCGTGGCCGGAGTGGCTATTCAGCTGTTCAGTCTCGGGATCCCCTGTATCTATTACGGGACGGAGCAGTCGTTGTCTGGCCCGCCGAGAGCCGAGCGTCAAGCATATCTCCCAGATTTCGGTTCAAGCGACAAGTACTTGCGTGAAACCATGTTTGGCACCGAATATCCCCGTAAAAGTGGTGCAGCAGGCTTGTCAATTGCGGGAGAAGACACTAGCCTGCCCGGTTTCGCCGCCTTCGGCGCCAAGGGAAAGCACTGCTTCCGCACCGACTTCACCACCTTCGTGCGCATCAAGACCCTCATCAAAATCCGCCAACGCTACCCCGTCCTTCGCTTCGGCCGCCAATACCTGCGAGAAATCCGGAAATCTGGCCCCTTCACCAAATCCAGCCCAGGCGACCTCTTTGCCTGGTCCCGCATCCTGGACGAAGAGGAAGCCCTCATCGTGATTAACGGTCACGGCGCCGCCGTCTCCAGCGCCCAAATCGCAGTTGATGCGGCGCTCAACCCGAACGGGGGAGAAGCAAAGCTGCGCGTCATCGCCAACTCGGCGGAGGTGGGTGGCGAGGCACGTACGTCGCATCGCATTGGCGATATGTTGGTGGTAAAATACGACTCGGACGGCCGCGCTTACGTCGAGATTAGAAATGTGCAGCCGTCCGGGGTCTTGGTTCTGACGAATCGGCCAGAGTAGGTCTTTTTCCCCGAATCCGGAGACTACGGATACGGGAGATTTTCTTATGAAGAAGGACGGTAGGTTCCTAAAAGAGTACTGTTTTCCAATATCAAATCTAGGTTGGCAGTCTTCCTTTCTGAATCAGTAATTCTCGAAGATGGAACATGACATTTGGATAATGAGAATAAGAATTAAAAATAGAATTAAGAACATAAAAAAATTTATCTAAGATAACTAGGTAAACTAAACATAGAAAATTACTCTTTAGCATTTATCTTTGACGAAAAGAGATAAGAATAAGTAAGTCTTAACCAGTTTTACTTGCTCCTCTTATGTAGAATCTTAGAGAACATTTCTTATAAAGCACTCTTTATATGTATAGAATATTCTAGTGTCTCTCTAAATAGTCAGAACATTCTGTTCAAACTTGCAAGCTGTGACTGCAAACGAAGTCCAAGCTTTGTGAGTCTTCATCCTGACATACATAACGAGCACAAGCTGCAGCCTACTACGTACGTACCAGTAGTACAGGATTAGCTTGGCAAACCAAGCTTAACAAGACCACTACTAGTAGTTAGTAGTTGTAGTAAGGCTAGGTAGGTGGTGAAGCTATTCTCGACCAACCGCCAATCGCGCCAATCGCCAATTCGACCAGCCGACCCGCCTATCGTCTGGACTATCTCACAACTCTAGATTCCGGGAAATAGGGCGCTGTTTCAGGCAGTCTTTGACGCCGCTTTCGGCGTCTGTTACACCGCGGGTCATGTGATGTGCTACCACATTTTTTTGTCACCCAGTCTAATTTTACCAACTTCACACCTTGAAAAATATCCCCCCTTTCTCTTTTTTGGGCTCTTGGTGGATCCGCTTTAAAGATCCCCAAAATCAGTCCACAATGTGGCTACAGGTAGTGCTCCTGGTTGGAATGGTACGGTACGGACCCTTTTGTACCGTCTTGTTGTGCTGTCTCCGAACGCTGGCATCGAGTCATGAGATCGATGGCCTGACTTGAACTTGGGAGTCATTTGGCTTCTGAACGCAAGTCGCAGAGGAGAAAAGAGACTGGCGAATACAAGGAAATGACTCATGTTCATATTCGACAGTAGCTAGTTGACAGCGATTCAACAACGATCATCCTGAGTTTCCTGATGATAGTCTCGTCATGACGTACTCAATGATAGTAGTTAACGAGTGTACAGTTTCATACCCAACTTTCCAATTCATGTCTCAGGTCTGTCTCTCCTACAGCGAATTGTTCCTGAACCTTAACATCTCCTCCTATAGCTTGAGACTAGCCCATCCGTTCTTACTTTGGTACGTATACTGGAAGTAATCGTCGCCGGCGGCCTTGTATGTCACAGATGCGACTGCTTTGTTGTTCTGGTCCTCGTCAATCCTCGTGGAGGCAGAAACGAATGATAAAGCATCGATGGTTCGAGTTTTCCACCCGATGTCGCTCTCAAAAGCCAATTCTTTGTTAGCTGGACCCGGTTTCAGCCAATCCTTCGAGGGATCCGCATTGTCAGAGCCAGCGTTGGCGAGCTTGGCTTCTCTGAGAACAGGATCCCCTCCGGCCTTACCAGGTCCAGTATAGTACAGTCTGATTGAGTTGTCCGAGAAGACGAGTGCTGAGAGAGGCCCTGGTCTAGCCTCGAGCCTTCCATCTTTTGCGCCGCATTCACCTCGCGAGTTCTTCGCATCCGCGGGTCTCTTGAATTTGAAAAAGTCGATGTAGTCGGTATCTGGCCGGTTCAGAAAGATATATGTCCAGCCGTTGACGAACACCGAGCTAGAGGTAGTTCTCTTGGTGCTATTGAACCACACAGTCAGCGCTCAGCCTAAGTCAGAAAGAGTCCAAATATACTTACGCACTCGATACTTCTGCCATGATTGGTAGCTTGAGAAGTCAATGGTTACACAACTGTTGAAATGCTTTGACTTATGTTGGCTCTGCAGAGTTTTGCGAAGAAACCATGACATATTTATACGTGTAGCTTGGAGCTTACCGGTTTCCCGCCTGGTCATTCAGCTCGTATGGAATCGGAGATCTCTGCCTATTCCACACCGAGCCAGATAATGGGCACCATGCCAATTCATGGCTACCTGAGCTCAAATCCTGCTAGAGAAGACGCGGTGTGCGCTCACAAATGGCAGCAAGATTCGTGTTTCCAGACTGCAGCCACATGAAGCTAGCGAACAGGACTCAGCATCTACTACGCAGATCTTCTCGCTCTCAAATGAAGTGGCGGCATACATGGAGCTGAGAAGGAGATACTACAACAAGTCAATAGGTTACTCTGTATGGCTGGAGCATGATACCGTCGATTCATGAACGTCCTTGATCACTGCATCGTTAGTTCAACGTAGTGTCGGAACTGTCATTCGCGCCGTCACAAAGCTCGATCTTACAGTAGCTCTGCATTCTTCAGCTGACGCCATAGAACTCTATTCGCTCCGGACCGTCTCCTTTCTTATAATGCCGGGGATGGACGATCTAACTAACCAGGGGCGCTGCTTATTTCTCCCCACTGATCTCAACAAGGTAGGAAGATGTATAGTACTTTGATGTAGACCGGATGTCACGTGATATCTAGCGCTGCAACAAACGCTACTGGATTCTGCGCGTCTTCGATGAATTTTGCTGGTTATCAAACGGTGGCGTATTGTGCGACGTTTTGAATGCGTTTATCACAGATTTGTTACGCGTTTCGCCTCGAATTAACATGTATTTTTAGTATTGACGTTTCGCGCTATTTCGCATGGATTGGCAGTTTGATATAGCAATTTGGTATGTATAAATAGGCTCTCCTTGCGCGGTCAATTAGATGGGACAACTTGCTATTCAGATTCTATTTCTCCTGATTAGTCAGCAACGTTCGACATTTGATCAACTAGAAAGATGATTCCCGCAGGCCCGCCATTTTAAGCTTATTACACTTTGCAGCTCATTCCTTGAGCATGGCGGTGTAGACACATTGGGGAGATAATTAGGCTGTACCTCCTATAGTAAAAAAGCTAGTAGTTAGTGGTAAGTTACTCACTACGTAGATGTGAGTATAGATGTCACATAGTAACCCAAACAGAACTAGTCTAGAATTAAGTTTGCATTCTGTTTGCATCTATCATTATCGGGTTTGGAGTTCAATTCAAGTCTGGGTGACCTGTAGCGGCCAACAGAAAAGCTAATGTCAGCCTTAAAATCAACTTACTCCCGTTTCCGTATCTGCAATCTTCGTTTTGAGGGAGGTCAAAAACATTCAGTCAACACATTTCAGGAGCTGTATTTCTTTCGGAAGGGGAAGGCTAAGATTTCTCTTATCTTGCTAGCCGCTTGGATTCAATTCCGTATTTCGACCTTTATTTGTAGCGCGAAACATATTGGGTGGACCAAACCAAAGAGGCTGGCTGACGGCATTTGGAACCAAAAGGGCATGAGTGGCTGGCTGAGAGAGATCTAGGTTTGTTGCCAGCGAGCTACCGTAGCTACCGTGGCTACCCCGTACCTAGAAGCCGCCTTAGGTATTGACTCGGTTAGAAGAGGTAATACGCTCTATGATCGTCCCACACACTGCGCGATGCCGTCACGTCCTAGTGCTTAACAGCAAGACGCTTTATCATATAATCTTATTTTTCATCTTTTATTTCTTTACGAATTTACATCTGTAGATGTCAAAAATTGATAGGTGTTAGAAGTATGCCATGAAGCAGTGCAGATTAGATTAGTAAGCAAGAGAAAGTAGATGGAATGGATTGATTGACTTGCTATCTCAACTCCTGAGGAGTAGGATGACCGCTATATATACGCATAGAAGAGGCAAGCTATAGAATCACCTAGAAGGAGATCATAAATCAGCGTTGCAATGCTAACTGCAGCATTTGTGAGTGTATGCGTTTCTGAGTAATAGCGCGTGGCGAACAGTTGCGGTGGTCGGAGAACTCTGTCTTCCGCTGACAATAGGAACATCTGGTAGTGCATAATGTTGCTTTTATCACGGTAGAAGGCATAAGCATTGTTGGCTCTAAGCTAGAAATTTGATATGTGAGGATGACGAAGATAAATCTTACTGCAAACAGTATTAGTCTCTTTGACTCTTAGGCTAGTGCCAAACATTATCATCACTGAGGGATTAAGATCTACTGGCACCTTAGGGGACGGCTAGGCCGCTGGGCCCTCGGATTGAAACTTAGCTAGCACTAACCCACGCTAATAATACTTGTGACTCCTGCCGTACTAAGAGAGTCAAAATTCGAATAAAGACTACGGAGTATTGTTGCAGAATAAATCAAAACTAAAGCGTTTCACTATTGAACACTATGACGCGGTGGCGTTCGCAGTGCGTGGGACGGTTAGTTGTTGTGCTGAAGGAGATTCTCAAGTTTGAAAGGGGAGGAAACAGAGTTCTGTTACCCGTTGGGCCGGATACGGGGTTTCTTGGCACAGTTAGTAGGAGGCAGTTTTTCTCGATTCAAGTCACGTTAACGGGCTATAACTATCACGTGACCATGTGACACCTACTCACATTCAAGACTCTCTTTAGCTTGTCGTGCTCAATGAATTTGCATTTTACTTGGTGTCTTCAATAAATGCTCCGGAAAATGTGGAAGTGAGGCTTTATTAATTGGGTTTATTCACACCCAAAGAGAACACCTACCCCACTACATATGACATTTCTTTTTCATTAATCTAGATGCCTTTCAACTTAGCCACAGAGACAATACAGCTGTCTGCAGGTCTCCCAATTCTTGCGTCTGTTATTACCGCGCCAGTTATTATCGATTCGAAATGTATCATTCTCCCGTCCGTGAATTCCTGCTCACAGACACGTCGTCCACACTTCAACTCAACGATCCCAATCAACAACCAATCTGTGCCCTCATGGGTAACTGCGGAGATGCAACAGCTGTTCAACAAGACCTTGATAGACGCCTGGAACGGCAGCCTTAGCGCGAGCTTCAGTGCCAATCTCGCCTGTGACCACTGGGATGGCTTTTTTACCTGGGCAACGTCCTTCACTATCCATGCTGACAATATCATGAGTGGATATGCGTAAATGGGCTCGCATCCATTCGGCCGCCAGGCCGGGCGTTTGGCTGACATAGGTTCTCGGCCAACTCAACAAAACAGGGGCCGGAAGTTATTTGGAAGACGCATCCTGCATCGGCAAGCTTTATGTCTCGATCGTCAAGATCTCCGACATGGCCACTTGGGTAGTGTCGACTTGATCGGCGGCAATAATGGGAATGTGATAACATTCCATCCTTACCAATTGTTTCCTCCGCTACAGCCAGATTCACATTGTGTGCGTTCAGCTCTGATGGAATCTCGGTTAGCTTACCGACACTAGAGACTCTCACATACGCCAGAAGCGTCTGGACTCGCAGCCACTTCACCGGAAATGGCCGGAAAAGGCCTCTTGAGGCAGTAGCATTGGCAGGGTCATCCCCGTTTTGGTCGAGTGGCACTGTCGAGCTTTTGGGAGGATGCGATAGGCAGGAGTCTCACAATTTTGAATTGCTGCTGTTGGCCTTGTGAACCTTGAGAGTTGCAATCGGCATAATTGTTCGCAACCTTGATATTCACTGCGAAGTTGAAATCTACCAAGAAGGCTAACACGATGTATAAAAACGTGTCGAGCAAAAAGCCCACTCATATCATTCAAATGGGAGGCAATGTGAGTACTCCATCAGTTCAATTCCATAAGTCACTGGTGGTAGCTTACGCTGAACGAGGGCTTCTTGCACAATGCATCCAGGACCACCAACCAAACCACAGATCCAGAAAAATGGAAAGTCCTCATGTATCAGATCCCCGTGCCGCTGGGAGATTGCTCAATATATGTACTCATGTACGACGACGTTATACAAAAATGCTTCATCATGGACGGAGGGACAAGCAGTGCAGGGTCCGACGCTGCAAAGCAGATCATGGACGCTTGGACCGTCATCCAGGAGGAACTCAAAGACAATCTCCCGTGCCCTGACAAGAACCAACATCCTCTCAGATTCGATTCGTGGGTCGTAACTCACTGGGACCCAGACCATTGGAGAGGTGTTGCCGATTTGATTGGCTCGCCCCAGGGGAACAATGGGGGCAAAAGTATTGGAAAGTATTTCACGGATGCGCGGACCCTCATTGCAGGAGCCCCTTGCGATGCAGTCCTGTGGTATGTGTCTCACTTGTGAACTTGCAACGAAATTCAAGATGAGCTGGGCTGACGGCCGAGCCAAACAGGAAAAAGGCAAAGGGCGAAAAACGTACCGACGCAGCAAAAATCAAAGGTAATGAAGAACTGGTACGGTTGAACTCTGTATGACTTTTCGATCTGCGTTGATTACAGCTAGAAAACACTTGGATTTTGATCTGCGTGGCAATTACATGCGCCATAATTTGATAGGCAGAGACCTCTTTAGCCCGGAGGATCAGTACACGAAGGACGGCTCTGGCAAGTTGAAGTGGGCTGGTGATCAGGGTAGGCCTCGATTCGTCTGTTTAGGTGCTGGTGGCTACTGCATCGGCAAAAACGGCGCATCCAACGATGACCCTTCACGGAACGAAGTCTCGATTCTATTGCTCCTGTACTGGCCATCTACCAATCGAGCATCCTACTGGACCGGCGGCGATGGATTCCCCTCGCTTACCCAGCATCTCGCTGAAAACATCTTTGGCAAGGCAGGATTCTTCGACAAGCCTATCAAAGTGGTCAAGCTTGACCATAACGGGTCATCCAGAGAGTTTTCTAATGTCGCCAATACCAACAATATCTCGTCAACTTCCATGGAGGAGCCTTTCTTCACAATGACAGCCAAGGCAAATCCGTCAAAGGTTATCGTGACTCCCGGTGACGACTACGGGCATCCTTGTATTCAGCGGACAGCAAATTGCGAGGTTGCTAATTGAATCCAGGCTGGGATGTTGTCCTGTTCTGGTATTGCTGGTGCCAGAATCGGAAAGCCATGCCTGCGAACGATTATTCGGCATCCAAGAAAGCTCCAAAGAAAAAGCTCAAGACTGCTGACCCGCCCGACCCAAGGATGAAAAACCTTATGGTGGTTTCATATTGTGCAGATATTTTGTATACCACAAAGACACCATATTGGATGGCAAATCTCAAAGTCGGCCAGAAGGACGTAAACATCACGGATGGTCGTGCGAAGCTTGCCGATAAGATCATCCAGGAATATTTGACGCACAATGACGACGTTACAATGATGAACCTGTACAGAGAACTGTGGCTAACACCGCGGGATTTGCATCATCGAATCAAGCCAAATTTCGACCGGGATAACGACCCTAAAGCCTACGACTTGGCCCTCAAAAATCCTGAGTCTCACGATGTCATATACGACAGGGAAGACATCGAGCAAGAAACTCGAGAGACTCTTGCCGACATGACTTGCGAATGGTGGAACTGGCTATCACCGTAATACGTCCAAAGAGTGCAGCCTGGCATACACAAGGGAACCGAAAAATTCTACTTGCTGAAGATGACATCGGTCGCTAACGAAGACGCTGATGGACACATCGAGGTGCTCCAACCATGCGGCGAGCCAGAATATCTCACCAGGCCAACATTGGAGCCCTTCCACAGAATGATCACACGGAAGAAACCGGCCGACTCGAGGCTCGCTCAAAAAGTCAAGAGCAAGGACAAGCAGAAGCAAAAGCAGATCCAGATCCAGAGTGACAATTTAGACGTCGACGAGAGGTTCGGGGCCACGGAAAAGCGCACAAATAAGAACCGCAACAAGAACCCGGAAGTCGAGGAGGATAAGTGGGAGGCCCCCGAAGCCAAATGGATGAAAGAGCAGATCCCCCAAGGAAGAGTACACGGACAAGGACTCAGAAACCGAAGGGTTTCCTGGCGGAAAGTGGGACCAAACCACGACAGTTGACCAGAAGCAGAAGGAATACAAAGACCTCAAGGCCTTTCAATCCGGATGGGGCGATGGGGGCAAACGATCTAAGCTGTTTATGAAGCTGCTCGCTGAGGAGCTGGCCAAGGACAAAAAGAACGCCAAAGGAAAAGCGGCGACTTCGAAAGGAGGCAAGAACGGCAAAAAGGTGAAGAAGACCTACCCGCGAGCTCATGTTATCAACAGACTCCCGAAGGATGGGAAGTTCGAGCCTGGGGAGGCTGATGAGTCGGAGGGTGATGATCGATTTAATGCTTCCGAGGACATATCGGAGGACGAGGAGGACGAGGACGAGGACGAGGACGATGCTCCTAGAAGAAGAAAAGGCTCCAAGAATCCGGTCAAGAATCAGGGCAAGAAGCCCACTGCCACTAAACACAAAGGCAGGGGTAGAAGGTAGGATTGGGTGCTGGGTTGCCAGCGGAGAAGCTGAAGGACTAATAAGTACTGCCGGAAGCCTACTTTGCAATGCATTCGACGGTTTCCCTCTTCCTATATCATAAATCCTCGGCTCTGGCTCTTTGAGAATGCCAATGCCCCTTTCACTTGGTCTGCTTCCTTTCAGAAATGGAGGTTGCTGCTCCAATACTTTGTTGGTCACTTGGGGGTTCCTATCCTGCTTTCTCCGTATCTATTTGATAATTCACAATGTCGTCACTGCCCACTTCATCTTGACTTTCCTTCGTTGCCAATGCTGGAAAGGGAGAAGAGCTTTTACGAGCAACGACCGATGAAGGTTTTGTCCAGTCTAGTAAGACAAAGATTCTCAATGCCCGGCTCAAATTACTGACTTTGACAGGTTGTGGAAAAGTACTCAGCCTTGCTGGAGGTCGAGCAAGAAGAACAGATCCCGGCCGACGCCGACCACAGCATGATGTGCAAGTTCGAGGCGGACAGCGAAGGTATCTTAGAGAAGGTGTGCAAGCGGATCGGACGGATAAGAAGGGGAGCAGGGACCCAAGCCACCGACCAGACGGGTACGTCGCCGTGACACATGTTTGCTGCGGAGTAGCCCTGACTCAACACCGCATGATGCTAGTGTCATACAACCAGCATTTCGAAGTATCGCACCTGCTCAGCCCAGCCTACACGGAACAAGACGATATCGGCCGGAGCCTGGAGTCGTCACTGGCTCTGACGGAGGCGCCTCGGCAGAAGGTACAGCGGCGGTTCGTGCTGTGGGGCCTAGGGGGCGCAGGCAAGACGCAGATCTGCCTGAAATACGCGCAGACGCATCGTGAGAGGTATGCTATAGAATGAACGGGAGACAAGTTCAACGCACGCTAAATGTAACAGATACTGGGGCGTTTTTTGGATCGACGCCAGCACGCGTGATAGCATCCAGCGCGGTCTGGTACAGATCGCCCTTATTCTCCAGATCGACCAGGACACGGACAGCGTCAAGCGAGCGCTGGCCAATGCGTCGAAGGCGTGGCTGCTAGTGTTCGACAATGCAGACGATCCAGACCTGGCTTTGAACCCCGTACTTCCCGGCGGGCGACCGAGGCAACATAATTATCACCAGCCGCAATCCAGAATGTCGTCAGTACAGCATAGTCGGACCCCGTGAGATCGGGCGGATGTCTCGCGAAGACTTGGGGCGCTGTTTCGGAAGACTGCCTACGGCGACACTATTTCCAGTGATCGGATCAAAGGCGAGGACCAACAGATCCGACAGGGGATAATCATCAAATGATCTAGAGAGATGTCGCTTGAATCGACTTCTACAGCTTGATGCTAGTAATCTATAAAAAGTTAGAAAATATAGAAGTTGAAATCCAAGCAGTAGATAAGAGGGTTCTTCCTCTAGCATTTTTTAGCAAAAGAGGGTGTTGAAAAGTAGGGTGGCTAGCACATTGTGTAGTGAAAAAGAGAGGTGATTTATTTAAATAAAATACTATTTTTCGATTGATCTTTCATCCTTTACAAGAACAGCCTTACTATAGATTACTTGAAAAGTTCTGTCATTCGGTAAACAACAACCTCCTTATGCTATTACGTCGAAAATTGTCTAATCGACTAGCGATATTTTCAGGATCTTGGCGAGCTGCGGGCCATTGATGCATTTCAGGATACTTTGCTTACAAAACAAGGATTGAAAATTCTCTTTAGATCCGCAAATACATACATGCTCGTGTCGTCTTAGAAAACAAGCATCATCTTCCGCACGAGCTTTTAACCTAACCAGGTTCTTCTCGAAATTTTCAACGAGATGCGGCTAAGAGACGTACAGCGTCTAGAACTACCGCCGTCGGCAGATATGCATGTCCATTTGAGGCAGGACCAAGTTAATCTCCACCGGCCCCCAGTACTGGATCAGACTGAATAATTTCTTCCTGGCTACATGTAGGTCATGGAATTGGTGGTTCCCCAGATTTTGAATGGAGGAGTGGACACGGTGTTTGTCATGGTAAGTAGATCTTCAAACATCTCATTCCATCATTAGCTGATCTGGTTTACAGCCAAACCTACAGCCGCCCATCACAAGTATAGCCAAAGCTTTAGACTACCAGTCCTGTCTGCGAGCCATCGAACCTAAAGTCCATTATCTCATGTCACTCTACGTGGGTTATCTATGGTTATGAACTTGCCACGCCGCTTAACTACACCAGCTTCATCCCTCCATTACCCCCGAAGTAATCGCTGAAGCCGCAGCCGCTGGTATTGCTGGTGTCAAGATGTATCCTCAAGGTAAGGCATCATTGACGAGGCTTCTTTGCTCCATGCTGGAGTATTGATACATTTCAGGTGTGACCACGAATTCCGAGTCAGGCGTGCCAGCCGATTTCCTGAAAGCCTATTCTCCTGTCTTCGCTGCCATCGAACAGCATGACATTGTGCTTAACTTGCACGGAGAGTGGCCGGGACGTCCACCAAGCGACGATATTTCTCTTGAAGAAGCGTTCCTGCCAGAGCTTAAGAAGCTTCACGAGAAATTTCCACGTCTTCGATGCGTCCTCGAGGTGTGTAGATCCTCATCGTTAACTGCCTCATACTGTAATAACGCCGTGCAGCATTGTTCCACCGCCGCGGCTCTGGATGCCGTACGGGCTTGCGGCCCATCAGTTGTTGGTTCGTCCGTCTACAGTTGATCCTGATGACCCAGCCCCCATGACTTTCCAACTCCGTTCTCTCTTCTTCTGCTCTCCTTCTAAACACATGGATACCGCAGGAACGATAACGGCACATCACCTCTACTTGACGGGTGATGATAGTCAGACAGATCCTCTGGCTTTTTGTAAACCTATTCCAAAAAAGCCATCAGATCGAGATGCCCTGATCAAAGCTGTATGTAGCGGGGACCCTAAATTCTTCTTGTGAGTTAGTCCGCGTCCTTCTGAGCGTGATCTTTCCTTACTAACCTTGCGTGCCTTTCAGCGGTAGTGATAGCGCACCGCATCCGTTAGCGTCTAAGACTAAGATCGAGAGTGGCCAAGCAGTACCAGCGGGCGTATTCACACAGCCCTTCGCTAGCCAGCTTGTGATTCTAGCACTTGAAGAGGCAATTGGAAGGGGAGTTCTCGAAGAAGACGAAGTCACACAGGACCGGCTTGAGCAGTTCCTCAGTCGATCTGGAAGGCGCTTCTACAAGCTGCCTGATCCTGTCACCGAAGGACCACCCAAGATCGTGCTTGAGAGAAAAGGCGAAACGATTCCCACGAGCATAAAGAGCGCTGATGGCACTCTTGAGATTGGGTTATCAAGATCAAATGCTCCTGTTTTCAGTTTAAGCTGGCTTACGTAGGGTGGCTTCTAATTCCTACTGGTTTTGGAAATGCCAGCGACATAAGCGCCAGATGTACTTGATCAGGTAGCGCTACTATATGCAGAAGACAAATGCTGAACCAAGAAAACACATCCTTTCGAAGAATGCACGAAGTGGAACATGAAAATAGGCAAATGAAAGGCATTATTACGATGTTAACACCAAGATTTCGGCACGACAGGAGTATTCAACACCAATCCATACAGGGTTCTATCAGCAACAATGAAACTAGTCTCATTCCTTCCACACGTGAAGACCTTATATCGTAGAATATGTGAAGACTTTGTTTGCTTAGTACATGCGATGGCTTTCTTATCAATCTTCCAGGTCATGATAATACTTGTAACACACATATTAAGTCAAGTTTCCTTGCCAGACCTGCAGGGTTATCATACTTCATTAGCTACAACAGTCACATAAAGATTACTTGATTAAAAATCAGAGTAACAAAGATACTATTCTAACTTATATCTTATATTAAAGATTATGCTTGCTAAGAAGTCTAAAGAATTTTGGCCCTTAGCTCTGGCCTGGCGGTGGTGGTGCTGCTGAGTTTGGAGTTTGAACGCTGAAAGATAGAGTCAGTTATACATACGCAGTAGTATGACCGTGTCAGCCATGAGGTAGAAATAATGTTGATATGTTATATAACTAGTCGTAGATGTCTCAGGTCTCAGTCATGATATGTGGCTTAGACGATGTCTGCTTAGTCAATTACTAGTCCTTTTCGAGCATAGCGTGTGTGGCTATGCCACTAAGCCCGTCTGGGGGACCGAAGCAAAGTCGCAGCTAGTGGTCAGTAAACTATTACTAATACCACACTGTCCCTAACGGTCCGCCGCAACTGAGGGGTTGGTTTAGTGTGTACTATGGGGCTGAAGTAATGTTAGTCAGGTGCTAGTAGCGGCTCCTTCTTGTTACCAGATTCCAGTTCTATGATTCGTCAATGTAAAGCTTATTTTGTACATAGCCATTCTAACGAGCTAATTTATTACATCTAACTTCTTATAGATGTAAGTTAGCTCTTTTGTGCAAAAGACGTTTACAGTGAAGATACTAGCGCTGAGCTATGTTACGTCAGGCCTCCCCCTCCGCACCGCAGCTTGTCCTTTTTCCTATTAGTTAATTATCCACCCACACCCATCAGCAGCCTGGAATCAACACATCACGGGATAAATCATATGACGGATTTCCATCATGATCTCTATCATGGCATCCCGTCTGTGCCTCCTGGAGGATATGTGGCATCGAAGTGACAATGAAACTTCACGCTGTCCTTGCCGTTTTTCTTATACTTGCAGTCTCTTTGACCCCGGCTGAAGTAAGCGACGAGATCCACCTTCAATGGTCCATATGTGATCCGAACCCACAGGTCGTGCTCCAGAAGCTCGGCGAAGACGTCCGTAGTGGTCCTAAGAAGCAGAGCCCGATCACTTACTTTGACACGAACCCGCCGGTCTACCTGCAGCAAGGGCGCATGTTTCGTACAAAAACGAGCCACAACGAGGACCTATCCTTAGTCAAGGTCCGTTTCGCGGAGAAAACCTCAGACATCCCCGATACCGTCAACTGCGTCTGGGATCGCTACGGCGACCAGACGTTTTTCACATGCGAAAAGCGATCATCCTTGGATGGTGATGATGGAATGAGTCTCTGGAACGAGGAACAAGTCCGCTTCGCTGAACGTTATGGGGATATCGTCTGGGAGGAACTCGTTGCGTTCGGCCCGTTCTTGAATGCCAAGTGGAAGCTGCATCTTGAAGGATTCAGAGCTGTGTTTGACGATGTGGTGGTCAAATCGCACCATCTGATGGAAATAGAAATCAGGGTCTCTACGTTTGAGGGCGATGGTGTCTATCACGTGGTCACCAAATACCTGAGAGAGCACGGGTTGGAGCTTTGCGATGACCAGGAGTCAAAAACTTTTAGACTATTCCAAGTCTTGGGTTATCGCAATGAACCGGCTCTGGTACTAGCCTCCCATGATCTCCGCCGGAAGGTCAAAGCACTCGACCTTGCCGCTGTTGGAGTTGTATGAGCTCTACAATTTATCTTGCACTAAACTGATCCAAGACCCCAGTCAATATTTATATTATGTTGCTCGCTCAGGCTTAGTGGACCCTATTGGTTTTTTTTGGTTTTTTTTTCGTAAGGACGCACTTTGCCAAAAGTAATGTAGGTGTAGTAAGTAGGCCTGCCCAGCGGTCACATAAATAGCTCTTAGCAAAGCCAAGTCTCGGTCTCCTTTTTCACAAATCTTCAAGTTGGTACCCCTGCTTACTCGTCCGCGATGGCATTTCCTACTCAGCGAATCGGCCATATCTCGATCCCAAATATCGTAGGGTGTCCCGACAAGGGCCCTGAAGGAAATCGCTAGCAGTAGCAGTTCTACATCTCCCATCTGATTACAGTATCGTCGTCGGTCAATCTGAGGGAGCTCAGTGTTCAAGTTTCTGTGTTCTTATCTTAATATTTCCATTGTCCTCTATCAACTGATTGACCCCAAAATATCAGATATCATCTTATTCTGTGGAGATAACGACTCCCTTTAAGCAGCTGTAGAGTTGAAATGCAAATTAGCCGTTTAGATTCAACCTACAGCGGACTATTACAGGCTTAAGTACGGAGTCGTGCATCAAAAGTCATTAATATACGCTAAAACTAGGGCGCCACTAGCACACATGATCCAAGCTTTAGCATGATGTTGAAAATGTTGCTATCGGGGTAGAGCCCTAGAGCTGCCGCTATGACCCCCTTTTTCTTTAGGGCGCTTCGGGCTGATGCGGCCCTCTTTAGGTTATCTAATGTGGCTCAGAAGTCTGTATCTGTAAAGCTTCAGCCATCCGCCCTCTGATCATCCTTACGTTTCCACTGACCACCAACACCATGCTAGCACAAGAAAAGTTAGCTTTTATACATCCTAGTTAGCGTATATCAATGACTTTTGATGCACGACCTGTCACGTGTCACGTTGGAAGCAGGCGACGAGTGCGCGAGATCTTCAGCCCATGTTGAGTGCTATCCTAAGACTGAAGAGTCGACGGTGAGGGCCCTGGGGTCGCTTCTATATAGCAAGCATGCCCCTTACTAACGTCTAGTGCTAATCAATCCCCGGTGCCCTAGCGCTAGCGGGCGACAAGCATGGCAGCCGTGACATCACCCCCCCCTCCAGAAGACTCGACATGCCCTCATGTCTGATGAGAAAAAAAAAAACAGCAGCAGCACACAGCAAAACAAGCACAACACAACAGCACAGCACGCCGACCCAAGGTATCCTCCTGCCAAGCCTAGTCGTCTTGAAAGTGGTTCACGAATAGCCGGAGCCTTGTATTAACGATCTGATTGATGATTTCCGTTTAGCTGTCTGTCTGAGGATGTGCTGATGTCGACAGCTTGAGCTTGACATGATAGAGGCGAGATAGCTCGTTGAGAAAGGCGCTAATAAACTGCGGTCCTCTGTCGCTAGTGATGGTCTTTGGGCATCCTTTGAATCGCTATACGTACTTATAGAAGAGGTCGGCCGCAGTAGTCACAGTAACTGTTTTCTTCGTCGGTAGGCAAATGTGTCTCTTGCTTAACTGATCTACTATTACAAAGACGGCGTCACATCCATTGCTGACGGTACCAGGTATGTGGAAATCCATTGAGAGGTCGTTCCATGGTCGAAGAGGGACAGGTAAAGAATGCAGAAGGCCAGGTGTCTTATTGCGCGGCTTGTAGGGTTAAGGTAATCGTTCTCGGCAGGGGGAACGGGGTTGTCGGTCCTGGCCGGGCCAGATGAGTCGAAGGCAGCCGTATCGAATGCGGTCTGGGGGGCTGCCTTTACATTCTCGCGTATTGGCGACTGGTCACTAGTTGGTGTCGCCATTATTGATGCGTGGCCTGGCTCTAATAGAGTGTCACGTAAGTCAGAAGAGGAAAGGCGACAGGTCCTCAAAGGGTGTCGCGATTGTCAAGGTGGGGAAATGATTGGTGGCTCTTTTGAACAGGGCAGCTGTCCGACAGCTCTAGAGTATGTCGACCCTATGTTTATACTCCGCCTCGACCACAGAGTCGTCGTATATATGCGTACGGGGCGCCCTGTTCTTTTACTCACTAGGTACGAGGATCCCGCTTATTTGAATTCGGAGGTCCGAATCTCCTTGTCTTCTTTAACCTCGTCAGGGGCGCAGAGGGTGTCGGAGAGGCTTGCTTTAAACTCGAGTCCGACCTCAAATGTCAACACCGACCCAGAATGAGCTGGCGACGGGTCCAGAGATACAGATCTCTTGCAGTCGATAGTTTAACGACCGTTTCCAGTCAAAGAGGAGTCTTAGGAATGTCACGTGTCACGTTGGAAGCAGGCAACGAGTGCACGACCCTGTACAGCGGACTGTTATTAGGTTGACAACACATCAAAATTTTGAAATTCAAAATCAGTTTTAAGATATTACGAGAGCTATGCAAGTTCTATTCTCACAGTATATATTAATATTCCTCTTATAAATTATAGTTATATAATGTTATAGAAGACTAAGAACTTAAGTTATTATAGATATAAAAGATTTCTTAAGTAGAAAGTGTGTTAAGAAGAGAATGTAGAAAGAGGGTGCCTTAAGAGGGTGCCTTTAAGAGGGTGCCTTAAGAAGGTGCCTTAAGAGGATGCCTTAAGGGGGTGCCTTAAGAGGGTGCCTTAAGAGGGTGCCTTAAGAAGGGTGCCTTAAGAAGGTGCCTTAAGAGGATGCCTTAAGGGGGTGCCTTAAGAGGGTGCCTTAAGAGGGTGCCTTTAAGAGGGTGCCTTAAGAAGGTGCCTTAAGAGGATGCCTTAAGGGGGTGCCTTAAGAGGGTGCCTTAAGAGGGTGCCTTTAAGAGGGTGCCTTAAGAAGGTGCCTTAAGAGGATGCCTTAAGGGGGTGCCTTAAGAGGGTGCCTTAAGAGGGTGCCTTTAAGAGGGTGCCTTAAGAAGGTGCCTTAAGAGGATGCCTTAAGGGGGTGCCTTAAGAGGGTGCCTTAAGAGGGTGCCTTAAGAAAGTGCCTTGGGAGAAAAGGGTGCCATAGGAGGGTGCCCCAAGAGAAGAGGGTATCCTATCTCAAGAGGGTGTCTCAAGAGGGTATCTCTAAGAGGGTATCCCTAGAGAGTGTCGTGAAGTGATCTCATATTTCTAAAACAGAGTTTGAAAATCCAAAAATTTGAATTGGCCTTAAGCCCGTAACAGTCCGCCGTACTTCCATTGCAGAGGAGCTGCAGCAGCTCTGCAGCATGCGCTAAGAGATTGCAACACTTTTGCAACGGGCAATACTAGCAAATCTGTCACCGGGCCGCCGCCTTTTGAGCGCTTGCTTCGACAATCAATAGCCATCCAGATATGAATATGTGTTATGCCCTCATTCTACGCATATCCAAGAAGCTTTGGTCTCCAAATTGGGGCACAAGGATAATCCTAGATGCTTAACTGTCTGCCTCCACAACGTCAGGAAGATTACGCCCAGGGCGGCTACTTGTTGCCCCTTTCGCCCCAGAACTGCGCTCCCATGCTAGCTAGGTCGGGATTGGAAGCCTTCTTCTCCTTCCCACCATTGCCACTCTGCATCTTGCCTTGCAACCCCAATCTAGCAGAGACTGGATCCTCGTTCTCGGCGAGATATCGTTGGAGGTTGGAGGACCCTGCTCTCTCGTCAGCCTAGTTGCAATTTCTTAAGGGCTTGCGAGCCTACAAGTAGACGCCTGCGCGTTATTGCCTTGTCCCACCATGTGGGGAGCTGACGCCTTTTCCTCCATTCTTTTGCTGTTGTTGCTGCGAGATTCCTGCAACCACATTATCATCTTGCATTTATGAATGAAGGGTGAATATACTCACGGACATCTTTAATTCTGCTTCTGTTCTTCGTCTGTTCAGTCAAATTTGTTTTGGAGTGCTGTTGATTGCCGCCTCGATTACTATTGTTGAACCTGAAGGATACAAACCATTTACTAAAGTACATCGAGGGTCTCTTGTACTTCAAAATCAACTCCGGCAGCGGCCATCGAGTTCTCGACGCCGGTGGTCATGTTGTAGCCTTCGCCGGTGGACTGTCGTCGCTGCTGACCGGTCGGCTTACAATTGGCCTGTTTCGAAGCTGCTCAGGAGAAGCTGCTCGCCGGCCGGCTTCTGATTGGGTGGCAAAAGAACCCGGAGGAAGACGTGTTCGGTGCTGGAACTTTGCAAGGTAGACTGCTACGGTGGCGACGTGAGCATGACTACGGCGGCGACAGATGCGTACTGGTAGTTAAGAAGGTGGACTTGGAACGACGGTGATATTACCAGCACTACAGGCGACAACAGACGCAGCCAGGGATCTCTTTGGGCAGTGAGCTCCTCGCAGCAGGGTCTAAGGGATAAGGTAGTCTAGAATGCCATGGACGAAGATGGCAATCACGCAAAGAAGAACTGAATCTTTTGATTCCTCGGTGGGTCTGTAGAGCGATCGCCGGTCGAATCACTTTCATTTACAAAGCAGGTACGTACTCCATGAGATTAGTGAAGATGCCCTCTGGGTCATCTTCATCACCGCTCGCCTCTATCTTGCAGACGTCTTTGTAGCCAAGCTTCGAATATATCTGGTATCCCATCCCAGCCGCGCTGACGCATTGCTTTACATCGTCAGCCTTGCTCAGTTCAACAGCCCACTGACCCATCTTGGTCCCATACCCACGTCGCCAATACGCTGGATGCACCACGAGCATGCTCATGATGGCATCACCGCTGCAACGTCTACACCTGTTGTTAGTCAAAGAATCAATGAGGCTAGCGGTGGGACGAGGCATGACTGACTCCTCGCGTATCTTGCCCACCAAGGTGCCCCAGGATTCATAGTGCTTGCAGTTGAGGTCCCTTCCTTCATTCTCAGGGAGTGTTGGGTATTCACCTGCTTGATGTATTAGTGCTGGGACAGTCCACGGGCTAGGGTATCCGAATGTCCCTTGATTGTCCTTGTACTCGCCCTTGCGCTTGGAACCAGGCTCCAGTTTGATGCTTGCAACACCGACAACGACCTTCTCACCGGCAGTAGGTGCCTTCCAAGCATCATCTGAGGGGATAGTGGCCTCGGTCTTCTCATTCTCATCAGGCTGGTACTCGTCCTCGGCCACAATGACTATGAAATCATTGCTTTTGATAGTATCCTGCAGTTGCGTACGGTAGGAAAGTATGGTGTCTGCTGGATAATCTTTGTGATATGGCCTTTCCCAGCGAAACAGCGGTGAGTAGCGAAACCCTGCTGTGGCGACAACCCCCATGCGGAGAACATCACTGGGGCAAGCGATACGTAGACCGCCAAGAGGCGGACCAGATGCTACTAATTGTGTCTTCATTCCGAAGTCCATACAAAGAGCTTAATGTCTCGTATGTCTACGAGACATTGCAAGTCCACCCTCTCCTGGACTTTAAATTTTGCTCTCTGGCAACTGTCACGGCCGGCATGATGCAGACTGTAGCTGCAAACTAGCGAAGAAGATACTGGGGATGTTGCCCCACGCAGCGCCCAAGACCAAGCGAAGGCAGCCAATCAGGTGTCGACCGGTGAGGACATCCATCTTGACGGTCATGGCGCTCTGCGAGGCGGGACGACCGCGCTACAGTCTCACAACGTTCCTAGGCATGCAGTGCAATATATTTTGTCCTACTACCTCTGTGTCGAGGGTCAACGACGTCCGATCAGTCCACCTAAGTGCACAAGCTTCGCGGCCATGACCAGCACACAGTCGCCTTCTCAGGAAGGGCACAATGAGGGCATTGTGCCTGAACAGAACACTTCCCAGTTTTTCCATGTAGATTATCCAGTCGACCCATTATTGGCATTCAATGACTTGGGGGGTGTAGACTATGCTTCAACAGGAACGACTACTCCGCCTGCCTTTTCCTTCAACGAATCTCTTGAGCAGAATACGGCAGACTGGGACATGCCCCGTCACACTAACAGTCAAGGGACTTCTGCGCTCGAGCATTCTGGGATGACTGGGGAGTTCCAGGCAACCGATCCGACCTCGATCCAGCCTTGGGCTATGGTTCTTGCTCCTATGACCCCACCATCCAATGGTATTTCCTCAGGAATAGACCAAAGCAGCGACAGCTGGGCAATAATGACTACTTCATCCAATGGAGAAGTATCGCATTGGAACAGCTCAGCGCAATCTCGTGGCGGCCGCAACTCGAGCTCGTTGCATCCGTCGAATGCAACGACCACTTCGGAGGGATGGCCGACGCCTAACAGCGGCAGCGGCAACGTATCTGCGAGAGGAGATCCTTCCAAGGAGCCACCTTATGGTAAACAAGCTGAACATCCAGGGACATCGCAGGCTGTGGTTCTCACACAGCGCCTGCTAGCTCCGAGCAGTGCCCCTTACTATAGCCCTCCAAACGACGCAACAGAAATCGCGCGAACTGCGCCAGCGTCTTCTGCTACCCAGGAGAGACCGCCTTATACGCCACCAACGCTTCTACCAAAAAGGAAGAGGAAGGGCCCTTATACAGAAGAGACAAGAGATCGTGTCAGGAGGGTTAGAGATGCACGCTGTTGCATACGCTGCAGAATGCACAAATCACGTGTAAGTAGGTGGCCCGAAGACTAGTCAGCTTCTAAAGTTGTACAACACACAGTGCGATGATGAGGCTGATTGCCTTAGCTGTGCGCAAGGCAGCGCAAAACTCGAATGGCCACCCTGCTCTAGAGCCGGCTTCGAGGGCGTCATCGCCTTCAGAGCAGGCAACAGTCGAGCGGGCAAATCAAGATACGAACTGATTCGGCCAGCTGATTGGCCATCTATGAGGAAAGGTATAAATTCTGGGCTCGAATGGGCTCCGGGATCCTCCGTGCAAACCGTGTGGATCTGCTACCCTTTTCGTGGGGCTACGGACTCGTCAGAGACGGCTATGCCGATTGGCGTGCGGAGATTTAAGCCGTCCGTGTACCAAGTGCTGGAGGAGCCCTGGGAGTGTCCAGATGGTCAAGTCGTGCCGCTGAGATCTGAACCTTATGCCTGCGTACGGCTGATAACACACCGGTGCGATCCGACACTAACGTTGTCACAGGTGATCAATAAAGATAATCAATCGGACCTGGCCAAGTACGTCGAGAGGTGGAAAGACGCTCTGCTGGCCGAGGCGATAGATCAGCTGAAAGATCGTCTCATCCGGGAGCACTATCATGAAGCCGTTCGCTTCTCACGTGAATGGGAGAGAGCTAGAGCAAACAGTGAGAAAGATCAGGTGAGTGAGACAGGCACCCTCGCGCACCTATGTCGCTAAACGAGGCCATCCTCGAAGCCTTGCGCAGTCACCTTTGCTCTGAACATTCAAGCGGCCGCATACTTCTCCTGCACTCGGATGGTTGAAAAGGACTCTGGTGGACTCAAGCTTCGCATGAACGATGAGAATCGAATGAAATTGAACGGCATGTTCCCGATATCCGCTCATATCGACATGCAGATTGATCTTATGGCCATCCAGTACATGCTGCAGCAAATGGACCATATCAATACTCGTCTCAAAAAGGCCATTTTTGTCAAGGAGAACTACTGCAATTGGTATGAGATCTATTTAACCTCGTTCCTCCTTCTCTGTAGCTTGGAGACCGTCCATAAGCGCCAGACCCAAATTGTCAAGCGATTTGAATCGTCGGAGGTAGGTACTATTTATAAGTTGTTCACCCATACCACTCGTCTTACATTATGTGCCGACTCTGACCGGCATTACAGAACCCAGGTAAACATGCCTCCGTTCTGGAGAAGAGCAACGACATGCTTCGAGATTGGCAGAAATCGGCAGTTGTAATCCTGCATCATTGGCGAGCCGTCCTGAGAGGCCAGCTCAAGTTTGCGAACCCATGGAACGATGAGGACAGAAATAGGTTGCGCAAAAGCTTCAAGCTGGACGACGAGGCGGTCAAAGCAATGGACCAGCTTAACAACATGATACAAAAACGGAAAGATGAGCTTAGGGAAGCCGCGAAGCTCGAGCTGGATAACAAGGAGGCGCGGCCGATGGCATGGTTGTCACATTTGTGGGTGGAAGACTACACATGTGTACCTACATTATCTCCGAGAGCTGCATGATTCAGCACTATGAGCCAAGATGTATACGGTTGGCAGCGAGGCGGAAGTGAGATTGAGTTCAGCAGATCGTCCGCTCAAGGTAGACTAAGTTTAGTCATAACAGTTCGTGTCTCGTGATAAAGGAACAATTCAGTGTAACACCAAGCAGGAGACTTATATACCAGAAGCTCAACGCCTCAGCGGACTTCAACAGCAAAACAGCAGCAACAAGATGCCAGCTAAGCAAAAACACCAAGGCATTGAACCTTAGTCATGGCAGTCATTCCCGGAGACACCCACACTCTTGACACGCCAGCTTCTCGGCAGCTTATCCCACTCACTGCCCGTCATGAGCGCCTGCTTCTCGGGCGGAAGATCGAAGTTGTCGCCCATATTCCGCTTCAGCGCCGGTGCCGACACCCAGCCTTGTTGGTCGTCGTGCAGCCACAGACGCATCATGTAGCGGCGCCTGGTCGGATCCGTTGGCGAATCTGTCCAGGAGTCGCGCGCATGCAGGACGGCGTAGTTATTGATGAAGAGCATGTCGCCTGGCTGCGGGGCCAGACGGATACGAACACGGCGGGCGACGTCCTGGATGACTGCCATGGCGTGCTCTTGATGTGGCTTCAGGCCCGGTGCAGCGGCCGTTAGCGGATAGGTGGCGCTCGCGCCAATGAACGCACCCGCGTAGTTGACTTGAATGTTTCCGTTGTCGTCAAGGGCGATGAGGGGGCGGTAGAAGGAGCGGATGACTTCTTCGCCGATCGCGGGCCTGTGGTTGACAAATACAGTGAGTCGCGGGGCTGAGATACATTGGAAATGTAGGCGTCACGTGCGTGAGCAGAAGTGTACTAGAGGAAACGGTGCTAGATTAGGGAATATTGCTTACCTGTGAGATCTCTCCCAGTACCAGTCCTCAAACAAGGTCTTGATGACTTCCGGGTCCTCTACGGCAAGCATGTTGTAGATAGAAGTCATCGAGGAGAGGTACTGGTCGCCACCCTCCAGTGGGACGCTTTGAGTGAACATGGTCAGCATGTCGTAGACGTCGATGTCGGTATGGAAATTCATTGAGACGATCTGCTCTGGAGGCTTCAACTTCTCGTTGAGCGGGTTATCCTTCGTCCTGTCACGGATGTGATCTGGGAAACAATCAGCTAGTGTACTTGACAAGAAAAGAAGGGCAAACAAGGAAGGACAACACTCACCAATATTGCGGGCACGGGAATTCGCTGCATGGCTAGTAAGGCCAGCATGAAGTATAACACGTTCTTCCTCCGTGTATACAGCTGGGTTGAGGCCCCGCAGAACGCAGAATCCTAGGCCAGCATATACAGCTTTGGTAATGCCGCGCAGGCGCTGTCGAAGCTCTTCTGGGAGTGGGAATGTCTCCGGGCTTGCGAAACCGCGGGCGATGGCCAAGCCTGACACCTCTGTAAGCCTTGGCTATCAGATCATAAAGCTTCAAAAGAAACACACCTTTGAAATGCTGCAAGGCTCTATCAATGTGGTGAACATCGTCCTCCGAAAGTCGTATGTAGATCCGCTCACTTTCGGACTCTAGCGTAGAGCCTGTCCATGCTAGTGGTCCAGATAGTTGGATTGGATAGCCTGGTGGCAACCGGTCTTGCGCAATTTCCGCCATGATTAAGAAGCCTTTAAAAATATGATAGAGGTATGCGCAAAAGAGGATGGGAAAGAGGGGAGAAGTCTGGTCGTCCGTTCAAGGTTATAGAACCACAACCCGCCTGCCAATAGAGTCATGCTGGCATAATGTAGCTGGGTAGCAAGGTATTGACTTGCTCCGGCCTATCAGGAGGAAGTGTGGCCGAGCTGTTTTGAAGCCTGCATGATTAACCGAATCCTGGAGCGGATCAAGAAGTTGTCTGTAAATAGGTGCAAACCTTCCCGCACCTCGGAGTAACATGGCAGGTTAGCTCCCATAGCCGTCGAACCGTTCCGTCCGTCAAAGGGGTGATGAGGCAAGCAACCATAGACACGACCCATGCCATGTCTGGAATTCCCTTGCGCCTGGACGGGGTAGAGCTCGGACCTTTGAAGTCACCCGCATATGCGAGAGCACATGGTCTGAAGCACTAGGCACGAACAAGCACTGGAGCGGGGAGAATCGATACTAGATAGGTTGCCACAGGGCCATGGTCTGCTTTCGCGGCCTAATGAACAGCTTGCAGATCTGTCAGTTGCCTTCTCCAATGCGACGATCAGTAGATGAGGAGCCCGATGTGACGGGAAGTGATAGGCAATGATAGGAGACTAGATGCCACGCAAGTGGGCACAGTTCGCAACCGCAAACGACCTAGCGACAGGAGTAGCGCGGTCTACAAGAGTACAGAGGTAAGGCCAAGCGCTATCATACAATCTAGGGCTGGCAGGTCTGCATGTGCCTCAGCCTTTTCTGCTTGGGAGAGCACCTGAGATTGGATGACAGCGCAACCTTACGGCCTCTTTTCTCCGCCGCAGAGCCTCAGCGTCGTATCGAACCCCTTCTCCAGACAGTCGGTACGTACTTGGTCGTCGCTTGCCCAGGAAGCTTGCAGGATGGCGTCTGCAGACAGTACGGCTTGAAGCCTACATTCGCAAATATGAAGCTGCAGCTCAGCAAGGCCTCACCACAACATTGGTCGAGGCCTAAGAGCCACTGATGCCGAGGACGAGTCAAGGATGGGACGTTAATTAGAGACTTTCCACAGGACAGAATGGTCAACTTGACACATTTCTAAGCGCATGTATTCATTAGCTGACGTGCAAAACTACTTAACGTGAAGATCAAAATGAATTTTTCTTGTCGATTTTGATCAGGCTTAAGGAGAGGTGTTGACAAGTCACGGAAGGAAGTCAATGCTAGGGTGTGGTCTTAGGAAGGTTTCAACATATCATAACACTTACGCTAAGTCAGCTCATACTGTTGGGGATAGAACATACTACTACACTTGAGTGAATTATAGCTGTTGTCTTCAAGGTGTCCATTTGAATCACATCGAGTCAAATAAACCAAATCAAATGCTTGGCAAATAAAGCAAATCCCCACTCAAATCAAATGAGCATCTGTAGATTTGTCAAATGAGTCAAATTGTATGTACTCTGTATAGAAGACAATTAGGCTAATTCTGAGCCAAATTGGCTAGTGATTAGTTAAGAAATTAATCTAACTATTGCTATTATCTTTATATTCTACATTAGTATTAAGCTTATGTTAGGGATGCCGAGCGGAATTCCTGAAGGAATTCCCTCGGTAATCCAGTCTTTTAGCGCATGCTTCGCGCATGCGGGGCCGCACGATTCATCTTCCTGACAGATTTAGGCTGCGACATGGGCCGGGTTCTAAGGGGGTCGGGCCCAGAAAAAAGAGGGCTTAACCCGGCCCAAAAACCTGCGGGTTGGGCCGGGTTAGCCTAAGCTATTTCTTGGCAGATTAAGAAGCGCACAGAATTCGCAAACAGAATGCATAGAAAGAGCGCACAGAATTCGCACGCAGAATGCGCAGAAAAGCGCACAGAATACGCAAAAAAAGCGCACATAAAATGCGCAGAAAGAACGCAAAGAATGCGCAGGAATCGCGCACAGAATTTGCATACAGAATGCACACACAGAATGCGCAGAAAGAACGCACAGAACTCGCACGCAGAATACACAGAAAAAGCCCACAGTAAATATAATGTAGCGTAGACGACGCTGAGATAGATCAAAGAGCAGTATACACGAGTAATGGAGGCTGGAAAGCGAAATCTAACAATCTGAAGGGCACAAAACTGGGATCTCTGAGTTGAGAGAGAGAGAGGCCCGGATTCTAGTCCCCACGGAGAGCTCAGAGTAGGATTCATTTGATGTTCAAGGTTGCTCAGGCTTGGAACAGTCTTGCACAGCCACAGCTTAGGGCTCCTTATTCATCGCTCAGGTTGCAGTCACATGTACTCAGAGCTCGAAGTTGAAAGGGAATTTGGAGATGTCAAGATTGGTGTGCGAGTATGGTGGAATTGTGAAGACTTTTGTTTGTTTCGTACATGTGGCAACTTTCTTTTCCATCTTCCAGGTCATGACAGGTGGATCAATCTCAATACATTGAATCAATTCTGTGGTGATCTCTTCTTCGGCCTAGAAATGCCAATTCCTTCGGATCTCCCTCTTTTGGGTTCTTTTTGCGTGATCGTGCTTCTTTAACTTATCCAACATGTTGTTCATCAATGGTATCCCAGATATCTTTAGCTTGGGCCACTACATCTTTCTTTGTTCGGAGGGAGTCTTTGACCCTTGGCTCATAGGAGTTAATCTATTGTTGCAAGTCCTTTTTGGTAATTTGCTGAAAGTCCTCCCGGACCAGATGCTTCATGCCCTGGAGATCTGAGTGAGTCTCGGGATGCCTGGTCCGACTTCGACAATCTCCCTAGTTCTCCGTGGGATGGGACTTCGTCGGGCTTGGTGGGGTCGCTATGGATGATATCTGGGTTGTCCCACAACCGCCGAGCTAGATCTGGTAGTGCTGCTTGTTTCGCAGCCCTGCTGATAGAGTGCTCCTAACCTTGAGACGGAAGTAATGAGATTGTAAGACAAATCATTAAGATCTGCGACTCCTGCTCCCGATAGCCTGGCTTCATTCAGCCCGACGGATCAACGATTCTCCCCGACCAACAACTTCAGAAACTTTGTACAGAATAGGTTTTTTTGAGCACGTCACGCCCCTGCATCTTCGCCGAGAAATGGCATTCATAGCGGAGGTGTGTTTATATACCTTTTTCTAGAAGACAGTCTACATGGAAATTTTGTTTTAAGCTAGCATAACGTCAGAGGTTGTGAAATCAATTATGGGATCGGTCCACTGCTTCTCGGACACTGTTTTTCGTTGGCATTTCGAAGACTTCGCCTGTTGTCTCCAATTCGGTACGTCGGCGGTCCAGTACAGAATGGCTGTTTGATGCATCCATCTCGGGCTTGCTGTAACCGTCATTCTGAGCTGATATGCGGTTCTGGACGGTCATCGACCGGCGCCGCCAGAAATAGTAAAGCGCTCCCAGAATAGCTAACATGACCAGCACACCTACGCCAACTCCAGCACCGATTGCGACGCGGTTATGGCTGGTGCTGTCGGTGACAGTTCCCGAGGCCCTCGAGAAGTTGGCGCTGGAGGCCGAAGTCGAGGTGGTCAGGGTCAAAGCAATGGTAGGGACTTGGGAGCTGGTGGGGATTGAGTCTCCCGCCGTATTCGAAGATGTGGTAAGACTGAGGGTTGTCATAATGCTGGCCAGTCCTAGACTAAAGATTTGAGATGGATCGGAACAGTTGCAGCCAGTAAATCCGTAGCAGCAATAGTAGCCCACACCAACATTTGGGCAATTCAAAGCGCCGTTGCCACTGACTATTCAGATATGATTAGCAATCATTTTACAACCAGAAGTAGATCCCTCCACCAGTTCCAAAGTAGACATACTCTGGTTGCAGTTGGACATGCAGCTAGTTTCTGTTACTCCGTTATAGTGCCGTGATTTGTTATTGCAAAGCTTGATTTAAGCACGACCATTGAAAAGAGCTACTACGGGTACAGGCCTAATTTTTGTACCCCCCCCCTGGTCAAAATATCTTACAAACATGTTTTTTACACAACCCACCTGCCAGCATCCCTGTCAGCATTGCGTCACTATTTTGCACGAATTTTGCTCATCCTGCAAATGCTACTCTTCTCACTCTGTACGCATTCTACTAATTCTGCATAGATACTAATGAGCTTGATGATAAGATGAGCTATAAGCACTGCTTCATGGTATATTATGTCTTCTAAATATCTTACAAAAGCTGCTTCAGTAGATACAGACAAGATGTCAAGCAGTTAGAGGTGTTAATAGAATGTAAAAACTTGATTTTAGAGACTAATCTTATTTAGGCCATAATGTGGACGACTATACCTAATTGTATGTAGTATGTTATGTACGGATACTAACCTTTTCAGCAGGGGGGGGTACAAAAATTAGGCCTGTTACCGTAGTAAAATATTACTATCAGTCTGATATAGGCTTAGCTGTTTTGTATAAATAACGTTATGGAGTAAAGATACTAGCGCTGAACTAACAATACTTCCTGCCCCCCCCCATAGTAGTATCCTAATAATTTCAACAGAAACTGGTTCATCAAATTCCTTAATAAGCTTTCTTCCAGCGATTATATCAGCACCATCAAAGCTTAGATATCAATTACCTCTACAGATGAAGACAATTATTGGGACGATTCTTCTCCTCGCTATGTATTAGAGGTCATATTTAAGATCACTGGATTGTTGTCTGTGGACCCTCAAACTGCTGCCAAACATGTATATCAGACTTCAGCAGCTGAGATGCAATCGAATATGACCATTTGAGCGAATACAGCATTGTAGATTACCTTACACAGGTGACGGCAGAAATGTCACACCAGAAGTTGGGATGCTCCTCAAAGCTGGCATCGGACTTGCTTGTGAATTGCTCGTGTCCCTCGCAAAGAGTTTCTATGGAGAGCTTGTTGCTAGAGGAGCAGGGGTTATGGTGAACACGAAAGGGTTTCCAGGCACTGGATAGTGCAATGTGCGGAATCATCTCTGTGCCATGTTGCTTCGCTGGATGCAAACGGCGCGACCTTGGGATGCTGAGTCATTGGGAGTAAGTACTTCAGAAAAATGGAGTGCTTACAGAATCCTCAGAATAGCAGAAACTGCATATGCCAACCGCAGCTCAACAGAAGATAAGGATTGATTACTCTTGTGCTACCCGACCTCAAATACGATTTTATCAAGTCGTATCTGCGCTAAACATGGGTCTCACACTTCCACATCAAGTCAGTCCTCGTGCATGTTCATCGGTATCCCCTCCATACTCAATGCCTCAATTAGCACATTTGGGTGAGATTCAGATAAGATTATCTACAAGATTTCTTCTCACCAGCACTTCATGTTACATGTACTCAATGGATGACTCTGACATATTCTAGAAAGCCCCATTATTAGGGCTATTGCTTCGCCAATATGTATTCATCGTCGCTGCTTGTCAACACCAAGTAACGAAGATCGACGAAGCTAATTGAGGCATTCCCCTGTCTGGGTACGGAAGGATCAAGGCAAACTCTGGCAAGGCTGAACTCGGGTTTGGGGGCGAGGTTGAATCTTAAACTTGACATTCAACAGTTGGCGTCTCAAGGCCTTGCTCAGATACCACGTCTTCCCTTCCATCCAAATGTGAGCGGCCCTGGGACTTTAAGGTTGTTAAGGTCCAACATGGAGCCACTCAGTATCATCGCATCCATCACAAGCATCCTCACTGCTGCGGCTAGGATTTCTAGCGTCCTTACGCAGATCCACGACGCGCCCACCACCATCTCCGCTCTTTTGACCGAGGTCGACCACATAAGGATTGTCTTCACAGCCTTCCAAAACTTCCTAGACAAAAACGCTAAGATTTCGGGAGCACGTGCTGCTTTGATTCAACTTGACGACATTATCGTCATTCTCACACAAACTGTGCTTGTTTTCTCGGAACTCCAGACGCTCGTTGCGCCCTTGTCGGCCAAAAAGCGGCTGTCTGGTTGGCAACGACTAAATTGGCCAAGAAATGAAGCGGCCGCTATGCGGTTGGTCAATTAATTGCAGAGACATAAAACCTCGTTATCCCTCCTACTACAAATCATTCGATGGTGAGCGGAACACTATATCGTATACTGAACTCTCTGCGAGGTCTAACGCTGCCAGCGAATCGGATCTTGATGCAAGGCAAAATGCCACCTCTCTGCAGCGCCATGTTGAGCAACAAATAAAGAATGATTCAGATTTATCATTACGGCTCGAAGAGCTCCAACCTGCTCCTGCTGAGAAAAGGCTTGACAAGCTAGATTTTGGTCTGTTCACTGACCCTGCGGGTTTGGGGGATTGAGGACTGGGGCCCCTAACACCAACACACGTTAGAGGCTTCCAGCATCATGATCATGGCAACAGTTCAGATTCGGAGTCTGGACTTTCGACTCCGGGGACATTCGAAGCCGTTTTGTCGGCCACCAGGGCATACGACCGAGTCAGAGACAGAGGCGTAGATGATAGAACGTCGATAGCAACTACGAGATCTCACGCCTGGTCTGCGCTCTCAGGGTTGAGTCTAGCAGAAATATCGATCATTGCCGTCGTCCAACTACCACTTCACAAGGCTGAGCTTCAAAGGTTTCGACAGATCGCTTCCCCTTCGTGGAATGATTCAGACTCCCTGCGGGATGTACAAGTTGATGGATTGTACGATTGCGACTTATGGGAGAGCGACGAAGCCGCTAAGATCCTGCAATCTACCGGTCGCCTTTCTGATGCCTTTCAACGCCACTATGGACTTATGAGCCGAGCATACGACGGAAAGCCATCATTGGCGAGGTTGAAAGAGGAACTACGCGATTTAGAAGGTTATCCACCACGGTTGATTACCGCTGGACCGATGGACGATGCATTGGTATGTGTTAGCCTTAGACGGAGTGTTCGGTAGCTAATAAGGGACAGGAAAGGTGGCAAGGCACAATTCAAGGTCCTGTGAGGCACCCATTCCTACCTACACAGTGTCTACCAATAGCAGCTTACTCTTGGCCCAGCTCGACAGCCCATACCGAGGCGGCCTGTTCTTCTTGTCTATTAATTTCCTTGGTACTGATTATCCTCACTCTCCGCCTCGCATGCATTTCACAACAAGGATTTATCATCCTAACATCAGTTCTCTGGGACGCATCGCTTTGGATATTCTGGGAGAGAAATGGTCTGATGCTTTGACCATTGAGAAAGGTTCGCATTGTCACCTCCAGCTAGGTGCGCTTCAGATCTCCTGCTAATCCATGGAAACCCTTTAGTTCTACTCGCGATTTACTCTCTCCTAATCAATCCGAACGTAGTCGAGCCACTTGTTCCAGAAATTGCCCTGGTCTACAATACGGACCGGTCTCGGTATGAAGCGACGGCGCGAGAATGGACAAGAAAATATGCCATGTAAGCGAGCCTGGGATTAGTGGACTGGCTTCCCCTTTTCAGCCAGCACTCAGAGCCAGGCGAAACGTTCTTCTGTTGGATATTTTTATGCACACTGATCTAGTAGGAAACTGCTCTAGCTTGCTGTGGGTCATGTATCTTGAAGACATGACCTCTAAAACCACCTGATGTGTGGGAACACATGACACCCGTTGGCGTTGGCGTTGGCGGTTGTCGATTGTCGATTGTCGATTGTACCGGCCTTGAATCAGTAGTATATATAAGGCTTTGCCAACAAGCATCCCTGACTGTAGAACACGATTTGAAACCATCACCAAATCACTCGCATTTGTACACGTACACATTCACAATCATTAACCCCTGACTCGCTGGAAAAGTAAATCCGCTTGCCCAGGCTGCAGTATACGGCTTGGCATCCGAGTCCCAGATCATTCACGGCATTCGGTCAGATATCTACCTTAGACGAGAGATGTACAACCATCTCAACTGATTGCATCAAAGATTCAACACATCAAACATGCCTTGCAGCTTACTGGCAGCACACTCACGCGGATAACAGCGCCTCGTGCGGCGCATCCTTTACTCCCAGCATGCTCGATCCCATCCCTCCACCCCCCTCCTGGCTGTCCAGCTCGATCGCCTCCCTCTCCGCCACGCTCTCCTTCCCCACCCTCCCCCTCCACATCCACGAACTCATCGCCTCATTCCTCTTCTACCAGTTCGTGCAGACCGTCATCTCGCCCCTGGTATCCAGCCACCTCTTCCCCTCCATCTACCCGCAGCTCAACCGGCGCACCAAGATCAACTGGGACGTGCACGTCGTCTCGCTCGTGCAGTCCTGCTCCATCAATGCGGCCGCGCTGTGGGTCATGTACGTCGACGAGGAGCGCATGGACATGAGCGCCATGGAGCGCGTCTACGGCTACACGGGCGGCTGCGGCATGATCCAGGGGTTGGCGGCGGGCTATTTCCTGTGGGATCTGGTGGTCACGAGCCGGAATGTGGGCATCTTCGGCTGGGGGATGTGGGCGCATGGGGTCTGCGCTCTGTGCGTGTTCAGTTTTGGTTTTGTAAGTACACCTCTCTCTCTCGCCCCCCTATCTACTTACAGCCGGGGGGGGGGGGAAATGCTGCTCTGG